TAAGATGTTCTTCCGATCTTAAATTCTTTCTTTGTTCTCAATATGCTCCTGTTTGTAATGGAAACCCACAATGTTACCATGTCAAGTATATTTGTGAAAAGCAAAGAACGGATGTATAGAGAATAATGCGTCAGTATGGTTTTAATTGGCCGGAGAAGTTGCAATGCAAACTATTTCCTAAAAGGAATGAAAATCCTTTATGTTTACGAAAGCATGCTGACATTACAGTCTTTGTTCAACAGAATGCTGTGTCGTCTAGTTCCAACTCTAACACAAAAACACAATCTTTCTTTACAACTCCTCCAACTTCAGGTACAATTAATTAATACATAAAAGCCAAAAGAACAAAAGGCTCAGTTGGTTATGTATTTATTGTTTGATTTTGCATGGCATTAATCATTTGCACTTCATGGAGAAACCAAAAAGAAAAACTGCAACAGCGATGTCTCATCCGTTTTTTTTAAAGTTTGACTTTATTCGGAATTTATTTACCTACATGCATACGTTTTATTGCAAAGTAATTCTTTATCAATAAATGTGCAAGTACCATGCATTAATTATAAAACACAATATCACCATGAACGATCCAGCTGATCAAATGACGAGAGTAAATATAAGAAGCTCAACAAAGACAAATAGAACAATTTTACTCCAGCTAGGCAATTTTTTAACCCAAAGGAATTTCGTTCATTTCTTCCAAAGTCCTTTATTCATTTTTCCAGTGAATGGACACAAAAGTGTTTTCAAAGCAAAGAGGTAAAAAAGGGACAGACTTTGCCACTGCATGTATAGAAAAAAACTCTACGTTTGTCTATCTTCAAAGCCAGAATCATCAGTAAATTTTAAAAAACATAACGAGTCGTTATCGCCAACATATTTCACGCTGGAATCTTTGTTTTTCTATTTTTAATTTATGCTTTCAATTCAATTTCCATAGCCAAAACGTCAACTTCAAATAAATGTGAAGATACAATACCTATTTTGCAGAATCTTGGTTTACAACAAGACGTTCGTGCCTAACAAGATTTTTCATGAAAACCAGAAGAAGCAGCCACGGAATTGCATAAGGTATTGGCCACTTATCAGTATAAGATGTTCTTCCGATCTTAAATTCTTTCTTTGTTCTCAATATGCTCCTGTTTGTAATGGAAACCCACAATGTTACCATGTCGAAGTATTTGTGAAAAAGCAAGAACGGATGTAAAGAATAATGCGTCAATATGGTTTATAAATGGCCGAAGAAGTTGCAATGCAAACTATTTCCTAAAAGGAATGAAAATCCTTTATGCATTGCAAGCATGCTGACATTACAGTCTTTGTTCAACAGAATGCTGTGTCGTCTAGTTCCAACTCTAACACAAAAACACAATCTTTCTTTACAACTCTCAACTTCAGGTACAATTAATTAATACATGCATCAAAACAAAGGCTCCAGTTGGTTATGTATTTATTGTTTAATTTTGCATGGCATTAATCATTTGCAGTGAACGGAGAAACCAAAAAGAAAAACTGCAACAGCGATGTTTCATCCGGTTTTTTTTAAAGTTTAACTTTATTCGGAATTTATTTACCTATATGGATGCGTTTTATTGCAAAGTAGTTCTTTATCAATAAATGTGCAAGCACCATGCATTGGTATAAACACAATATCACCATGAACGAATCCAGCTGATCAAATGACAGTGAATATAAACTCAACAAAGACGAAGCCATTTCTAATTTTTACTCCAGCTGAGCAATTTTTTAACCTAATTCTCGTTCATTTCTTTACAAATTAACTTTATTCATTTTTTTCTAGTGAATGGACACAAAAGTGTTTTCAAAGCAAGAGTAAAAAAGGGACAGACTTTGCCACTGCATGTATAGAAAAAAAGTTTCTACGTTTGTCTATCTTCAAGCGAAATCATCAGTAAATTTTTAAAAAACATAACGAGTCGTTATCGCCAACATATTTCACTGAATCTTTGTTTTCTATTTTTAATTTATGCTTTCAATTCAATTTTACACTTAGCCAAAACGTCAACTTCAAATAAATGTGAAGATCTCACAATACCTATTTGCAAGAATCTTGGTTACAACAAGACGTTCGTGCCCAACAGATTTTTTCATGAAACCCAAGAAGAAGCAGCCGCGGAATTGCATAAGTATTGGCCACTTATCAGTATAAGATGTTCTTCCGATCTTAAATTCTTTCTTTGTTCTCAATATGCTCCTGTTTGTAATGGAAACCCCACAATGTTACCATGTCGAAGTATTTGTGAAAAAGCAAAGAACGGATGTATGAGAATAATGCGTCAATATGGTTATGAATGGCCGAAGAAGTTGCAATGCAAACTATTTCCTAAAAGGAATGAAAATCCTTTATGTTTACGAAAGCATGCTGACATTACAGTCTTTGTTCAACAGAATGCTGTGTCGTCTAGTTCCAACTCTAACACAAAAACACAATCTTTCTTTACAACTCCTCCAACTTCAGGTACAATTAATTAATACATGCATCAAAAACAAAAGGCTCAGTTGGTTATGTATTTATTGTTTAATTTTGCATAGCATTAATCATTTGCAGTGCACGGAGAAACCAAAAAGAAAAACTGCAACAGCGATGTTTCATTCGGTTTTTTTTTAAGTTTGACTTTATTCGGAATTTATTTACCTATATGCATGCGTTTTATTGCAAAGTAATTCTTTATCAATAAATGTGCAAGTACCATGCATTGGTATAAACACAATATCACCATGAACGAATCCAGCTGATCAAATGACAGTAAATATAAACTCAACAAAGACGAAGCCATTTCTAATTTTTACTCCAGCTGAGCAATTTTTTAACCAAATTCTCGTTCATTTCTTTACAAATTAACTTTATTCATTTTTTCCAGTGAATGGACACAAAAGTGTTTTCAAAGCAAGAGTAAAAAAGGGACAGACTTTGCCACTGCATGTATAGAAAAAAAGTTTCTACGTTTGTCTATCTTCAAGCGAAATCATCAGTAAATTTTTAAAAAACATAACGAGTCGTTATCGCCAACATATTTCACTGAATCTTTGTTTTCTATTTTTAATTTATGCTTTCAATTCAATTTTACACTTAGCCAAAACGTCAACTTCAAATAAATGTGAAGATCTCACAATACCTATTTGCAAGAATCTTGGTTACAACAAGACGTTCGTGCCCAACAGATTTTTTCATGAAACCCAAGAAGAAGCAGCCGCGGAATTGCATAAGTATTGGCCACTTATCAGTATAAGATGTTCTTCCGATCTTAAATTCTTTCTTTGTTCTCAATATGCTCCTGTTTGTAATGGAAACCCCACAATGTTACCATGTCGAAGTATTTGTGAAAAAGCAAAGAACGGATGTATGAGAATAATGCGTCAATATGGTTATGAATGGCCGAAGAAGTTGCAATGCAAACTATTTCCTAAAAGGAATGAAAATCCTTTATGTTTACGAAAGCCAGCTGACATTACAGTCTTTGTTCAACAGAATGCTGTGTCGTCTAGTTCCAACTCTAACACAAAAACACAATCTTTGTTTACAACTCCTCCAACTTCAGGTACAATTAATTAATACATGCATCAAAAACAAAAGGCTCAGTTGGTTATGTATTTATTGTTTAATTTTGCATGGCATTAATTATTTGCAGTGCACGGAGAAACCAAAAAGAAAAACTGCAACAGCGATGTTTCATCCGGTTTTTTTTAAAGTTTAACTTTATTCGAAATTTATTTACCTATATGGATGCGTTTTATTGCAAAGTAGTTCTTTATCAATAAATGTGCAAGCACCATGCATTGGTATAAACACAATATCACCATGAACGAATCCAGCTGATCAAATGACAGTAAATATAAACTCAACAAAGACGAAGCCATTTCTAATTTTTACTCCAGCTGAGCAATTTTTTAACCTAATTCTCGTTCATTTCTTTACAAATTAACTTTATTCATTTTTTTCCAGTGAATGGACACAAAAGTGTTTTCAAAGCAAGAGTAAAAAAGGGACAGACTTTGCCACTGCATGTATAGAAAAAAAGTTTCTACGTTTGTCTATCTTCAAGCGAAATCATCAGTAAATTTTTAAAAAACATAACGAGTCGTTATCGCCAACATATTTCACTGAATCTTTGTTTTCTATTTTTAATTTATGCTTTCAATTCAATTTTACACTTAGCCAAAACGTCAACTTCAAATAAATGTGAAGATCTCACAATACCTATTTGCAAGAATCTTGGTTACAACAAGACGTTCGTGCCCAACAGATTTTTTCATGAAACCCAAGAAGAAGCAGCCGCGGAATTGCATCAGTTTTGGCCACTTATCAGTATAAGATGTTCTTCCGATCTTAAATTCTTTCTTTGTTCTCAATATGCTCCTGTTTGTAATGGAAACCCCACAATGTTACCATGTCGAAGTATTTGTGAAAAAGCAAAGAACGGATGTATGAGAATAATGCGTCAATATGGTTATAAATGGCCGAAGAAGTTGCAATGCAAACTATTTCCTAAAAGGAATGAAAATCCTTTATGTTTACGAAAGCATGCTGACATTGCAGTCTTTGTTCAACAGAATGCTGTGTGGTCTAGTTCCAACTCTAACACAAAAACACAATCTTTCTTTACAACTCCTCCAACTTCAGGTACAATTAATTAATACATGCATCAAAAACAAAAGGCTCAGTTGGTTATGTATTTATTGTTTAATTTTGCATGGCATTAATCATTTGCAGTGCACGGAGAAACCAAAAAGAAAAACTGCAACAGCGATGTTTCATTCGGTTTTTAAGTTTGACTTTATTCGGAATTTATTTACCTATATGCATGCGTTTTATTGCAAAGTAATTCTTTATCAATAAATGTGCAAGTACCATGCATTGGTATAAACACAATATCACCATGAACGAATCCAGCTGATCAAATGACAGTAAATATAAACTCAACAAAGACGAAGCCATTTCTAATTTTTACTCCAGCTGAGCAATTTTTTAACCTAATTCTCGTTCATAGAAAAAAAGTTTCTACGTTTGTCTATCTTCAAGCGAAATCATAAGTAAATTTTTAAAACACATAGCGAGTCGTTATCGCCAACATATTTCACTGAATCTTTGTTTTGTATTTTTAATTTATGCTTTCAATTCAATTTTACACTTAGCCAAAACGTCAACTTCAAATAAATGTGAAGATCTCGCAATACCTATGTGCAAGAATCTTGGTTACAACAAGACGTTCGTGCCCAACAGATTTTTCCATGAAACCCAAGCAGAAGCAGCCGCGGAATTGCATCAGTTTTGGCCTCTTATCAGTATAAGATGTTCTTCCGATCTTAAATTCTTTCTTTGTTCTCAATATGCTCCTGTTTGTAATGGAAACCACACAATGTTACCATGTCGAAGTATTTGTGAAAAAGCAAAGAACGGATGTATTGGAATAATGCGTCAGTATGGTTTTAAATGGCCGGAGAAGATGCAATGCAAACTATTTCCTAACAGAAATGAAAATCCTTTATGTTTACGAAAGCCAGCTGACATTACAGTCTTTGTTCAACAGAATGCTGTGTCGTCTAGTTCCAACTCTAACACAAAAACACAATCTTTGTTTACAACTCCTCCAACTTCAGGTACAATTAATTAATACATGCATCAAAAACAAAAGGCTCAGTTGGTTATGTATTTATTGTTTAATTTTGCATGGCATTAATCATTTGCACTGCATGGAGAAACCAAAAAGAAAAACTGCAACAACGATGTTTCATTCGTTTTTTTTAAAAAGTTTGACTTTATTCGGAATTTATTTACCTATATGCATGCGTTTTGTTGCAAATTAATTCTTTATCAATAAATGTGCAAGTACCATGCATTGGTATAAACACAATATCACCATGAACGAATCCAGCTGATCAAATGACAGTGAATATAAACTCAACAAAGACGAAGCCATTTCTAATTTTTACTCCAGCTGAGCAATTTTTTAACCTAATTCTCGTTCATTTCTTTACAAATTAACTTTATTCATTTTTTCCAGTGAATGGACACAAAAGTGTTTTAAAGCAAAAGTAAAAAAGGGACAGACTTTGCCACTGCATGTATAGAAAAAAAGTTTCTACGTTTGTCTATCTTCAAGCAAAATCATCAGTAAATTTTTAAAACACATAGCGAGTCGTTATTGCCAACATATTTCACTGAATCTTTGTTTTCTATTTTTAATTTATGCTTTCAATTCAATTTTACACTTAGCCAAAACGTCAACTTCAAATAAATGTGAAGATCTCGCAATACCTATGTGCAAGAATCTTGGTTACAACAAGACGTTCGTGCCCAACAGATTTTTCCATGAAACCCAAGCAGAAGCAGCCGCGGAATTGCATCAGTTTTGGCCTCTTATCAGTATAAGATGTTCTTCCGATCTTAAATTCTTTCTTTGTTCTCAATATGCTCCTGTTTGTAATGGAAACCCCACAATGTTACCATGTCGAAGTATTTGTGAAAAAGCAAAGAACGGATGTATGAGAATAATGCGTCAATATGGTTATAAATGGCCGAAGAAGTTGCAATGCAAACTATTTCCTAAAAGGAATGAAAATCCTTTATGTTTACGAAAGCATGCTGACATTACAGTCTTTGTTCAACAGAATGCTGTGTCGTCTAGTTCCAACTCTAACACAAAAACACAATCTTTGTTTACAACTCCTTAAACTTCAGGTACAATTAATTGATACATGCATCAAAAACAAAAGGCTCAGTTGGTTATGTATTTATTGTTTAATTTTGCATGGCATTAATCATTTGCACTGCACGGAGAAACCAAAAAGAAAAACTGCAACAGCGATGTTTCATCCGGTTTTTTTTTAAAAAAGTTTGACTTTATTGGGAATTTATTTACCTATATGCATGCGTTTAATTGCAAAGTAATTCTTTATCAATAAATGTACAAGCACCATGCATTGGTATAAACACAATATCACCCATCAATGAATCCAGCTGATCAAATAACAGTGAATATAAACTCAACAAAGACGAAGCCATTTCTAAATTTTACTCCAGCTCAGCAAATTTTTCAACATAATTCTCGTTCATTTCTTTATAAATTAACTTTATTCATTCTTTTTCCAGTGAATGAACACAAAATATTTTCAAAGCAAGAGTAAAAAAGGAACAGACTTTGCCACTGCATGTATAGAAAAAAACTTCGTACGTTTGTCTATCTTCAAGCAAAATCATCAGTAAATTTTTGAAAAACATAACGAGTGGTTATCGCCAACATATTTCACTGAATCTTTGTTTTCTATTGTTTTTAATGCCAAAAATTTCCTAAGAGAAAAGAAGATCTATCATGCTTACGAAAGCAAGCCGACATAAAAGTCTTTGTTCAACAGAATGCTTTGTCGTCTACTTCCAGCCCTCGTTAAACCCTACAATCTTTGGGTCCAGATTTACCAACTACAGATTTTTTTTAAATACATGTATATGCACGAAAATACGAAAAGCCAGCATTGTAGTTGTGCATACATTATTTGATTTTGGTGTTTATCATATGCGCTGCATGGAGAAACCAAAAAGAAAAACTGCAACAGTTATGTTTCATCATTTTGATAAAGTAATTTGACTTTATTAGTAGTTTGATTGCCTATGCATGCGTTTTATTGTGTAGTAATTCTTTGTCGCTAAATATGTAAGCATCATCATCGGTATCAACTAGCTATAAGTCTGTGAAAAGTTTTGGATCTTGTTAGACAAAATGTTGTTGTTGCTGTCAGTACATTAACTTTACAATAAAAATTGCTGGTATGTTTAAAAATATTTTTCCAAGAAACTCTGTTTTCATTGCATGTTAATTTGCTTTCGTTAATTTTGTGTTTCCAAGGATCCAAATTTTAAAGTCCCTAACTTTCTTCGTGTTTTTGCTCAGTTGTTTCGAAAATTTGAAAGTTTTATAGCAATAAAAAAGTTTCATCAAATTGAGTTTAAACTAGTGGAGCTTGTTCTATCAATAAATTTAAGAAATTCCAAAATAAATCATCAAAATATATGTCAAAGATAAAATATTAAGAATTTTGACTTTGACGTGAATCGTAGTCTCCATTTTAATTTACAATCAATACATCGATCCAACGACTGTTTCAAATGACCCTAGTTCAGACAATGCTTCAGACATGTTGGTATATGTTAAATATATTTTTATATTGCATACAGCATAAAAGCTTGAATTTTTCATCCACTCTGAAAATAATGCAAATAGCATATTGGATTATGGTACTACATATTTAACACAAATGTTAGCAAAGTAAAAGCCACAAAATGTGGTTGAGATTGCAAGAGGAAGCCTTGGAAGCTCTTTGAAATGCAATTTTGTGTGTGTTTTTTTTGTAAAATATTATATAGACTTCAAAGCATTTAACATGTTACAACAACAAAAAAACACGTCCAATTGAGCTTAACAAACTTTATACCTCACTCCTTTCTCTCAAACACTTTTCTTCCGAACTAGATCATGCTAAATAACTGATCGATTTGATGAAAGTTGTGGTGTCGAAAAATTAGCTTGCCACCATTGTTCTATCCGTTGTAATTTTACTGGCTATGAGAAAATTAGATAGTTAAACTTCATTATAAGCTTACATCGAGCACATTTTTTTCTTATTTTTGGACCAGTTCATCCATTATCAAATTATACTTAACAATTGCTGGCGCAAGGAATGTCAAAAGCAGACATCAGCTGGAGATAATTTCACTAAAATGTAGTGGAAAAAAGGAAAGCTGCAAAAAGTATTATAGGTTTAATTTTTGTCGTACATGAAGTTCTGTGAAAACTACTATATATATATATATATATATATATATATATACTAAACAGTGAAATTAAACATCGTTTGTCACATTATGTTTAGGAGAGACGAGCAAATTTTTACTGGAGTGGAGAAAAAAACGCTGCAGAAAGCAGTCGCTGTACCAGTAGTCGCTGTACCATTATTTCTCGAGAACTTACTAATCAAAAAGCACAAATCAATTTTTCTATGTATCTTCGTTTTTCCTACAAATAAGGAAGAATATTTTCTATTTCTAACAAAAAGCTAGTGACGTCTTTAATTAGGCGTTTATTCCGTTCAGCGTTCTCACTTTAATTGTTTTACTCCATTGTATGGTAATCTATTTTCGAAATCATCGCCCACTAGAAATCATTTCTAAGTTTTTCATATTCTGAATTTTATTGATACAAAATAATCCTTTTCTGTGTCTAAAAAAATATGAAAACATTCATATTCAAAAATTTCATTGAAATATTATTGTCACATGAGCAGATAGTGCTTAAGGTCAGCGGTCTACAAAGATAAGAAATTTAAGATGTCCACATGATGTCTGGATGTCAAATTCACGACAAATGTTACAGAAATCAAAGAACACTGAACATTGTCAACAGTCTTTGATAAATAATACAGATGAGGAACTCTCTGATTTGACATTGCTTGAGATTTTTAATTGCTGGTATGGAAATTGTATTTAAAATCATTTCTACTGCTGTTATCTTTTGATTATACCAACAGGCAACAGTACGAGAGAATATGATTTCTCCAACTGCTGATGATGATCTCAATACCTTAGACAACAGCAAGGTATTTTTACTTCTACCATTTATGAAATATGGTTGTTAATTGATTTTTAACATTTAGATCTGATAGGCTCATCCACATATTCCTGGAGTATTTTTGTCGCCAAAAAAAAAATACTTAGCAATAAATTCTGCTTCTTCGAAATTGTTCTGCCATGTTAGTTATAAAATTATATGTTTGACACATGACTTGAGATTGAACAAAATGATTTTTATGTGTGTATCTTAACCTGAACAGATGTATTGTGTGGTTATGCACAAGAATATTGCACAAGGTTTCTTTTTATGGGCTTAAAAATTGCTGTAACATTTCATCATTATTAGAAGAATTTTTTATTGGGAGGAAATTGCCAAGAGGTGTTTCAAAGTGCCTTTGAGATCTGAAAATAACACAATTTATTTATGTACCTAGATAAATATACATTGAAATTTCATAGTTTTCATCCTTTTTATGTGTCATGTAATTGTTGTTAATTTTCAGCCTGATGCCAGTCAGATTTATCTTCTTAATGGAAAGAATTACAGAATATCTCGTAGCATTAAAGTGTCATGGTTTTTTGATAACTTTGGCAAAGTAATTGTGCCAAACAATGATGATGTCATTGTAAGTTTGTGATAGACCACAATTTTGATTAACAATTCATTCAAAGATGATTTATAAATGATTGGTTTATAATTGTCACAGGAGCTTTCCAAAATATGTGATGTTGAAAATCCTAACAAACTCAAATATTTGATATGCATGTGTACTTTCTTTTTAGAAATCGTCAGAAAAAGAGCTTGAAGTGCTGTCTGTTGTATCAAAATCTTCCACAAAACATTCTGAGAGATGCATTGTCGTTCCCTCAACACTTGTTATTTTTCTTGGAAGAATGTATAAGTTTGTGTTTTGTTTGGATGTTAGTCAATCTTTGGCTAGTGTGGTATGTCCAACTGCTTAATGCTATTCAAATAGACTATTTCCCTCATTGCTTCTAATTGTGACTACCTGAAATGGTCTTAAACTTTCTCATACAAATACCAAAACAGCACAATGCAGTAAGAATCTTGAAAGGCTGATTATTAAACCAATTTTTGACTTGTTACTCTGTACAAGATTGTATTGGGAAGCATTGAGACCTTTTCAAGAAGCCAAAGAAAAAACTGATGAGAATAAACAGTATTTTTAAAGTTTTTATTACTGTTTCAATCTTTATTCTTCTGTTAAGGATTTATTTTCTGGAAAAGTTGTAAATGAACTATCCTTTGAAAGCTTTGAAAACTGTCTTCGTGGTCTAGTTTTACCGGTTAGTATGTAACAGATCAATAAATCACTGATCAATGAATATGATTTGCCCATGAACATTTTCAGCTTCAACTAGATCATCATATTAAAATACTCCAAAATATTTTTTAGTTTACAGTTCCTGGAAGTAATTTGCTACTCACTCCAGAATTATATGTTACAGTTCTTGGTTATAATGGTGTCGTAGAGTGTGGTACAGTCCAGGTTTGTGTACAGTCTAGGTTTGTGTGTACAGTTTAGGTTTGTGTGTGCAGTCCAGGTTTGCTTTTATGTGTTGGCGAAGGCATTATCATTTAACAAATGTTTCGTTGTTCAGTAGTTTAAAGTTCATTATCATGTTTCTAGGTTTTAGTTGAGGGTTGTCTAGTCACTCAGAATAATATCGAAAAGATTCTGTCTTCTGTTCACAAACAGTTACTAGAAATGGAAAATAAGAACGCTCATGCCATCCAGTTTTATGACAAACAGGTACTCTTGAAAGAAGTGATTTTTTAGACCACTATGACTTGCTGTTTGTTCATTATCATGTTTTGGAGAATTTTCGAAGAAAGTTTGCACTATTGACATAATTGGCGAAAAGTCATGATTATCATGCATCACAGCGTAAAGTTTTCTTTGGGTCACCGATAGTATATAATCAATTCTTTAAAGCTTTCTGGAGTACGTCGAAGATTTCTGGAGCTTCATTCACATTATAGAAGTTAATATTTTGCAGGTTTCATTTCAACATTTACATATTCATTGTTAGCATGACTCTGAACTCAAACTTCAGATTGGTTGAACTGCGTAAAATTAAAGTGAAAAACAAAAGACATTCTGAACTGCAGAAACAACTCAACTGTAGATATTTATTATTTGGAAAACAAGACAGTCTTAGACATTACTGTGGAGAACAAGACAACTGTAAATATAATTTGTATAACAAGACAAGCACAGACCTTAAAAGAAGTGGTTTTCGCTAGTTCTATAATCATTACGCCATTTGAACTAGTAAATGAACGAAAATATTTAATTCAATGGATTTCTTCTCATGATATGTGAGTTAAAACTTAATCGGAGTTAAAGAAGAAATGTTAAAAATAATTTCGTAAATTTAAACAATGTACTCAAAGGATGTGTTCTACTTAGCTAAAATGAGTATTAGCTAACAAGAGCATAATTATATGTTTGTAATAATCGATTAAAGCGATTTTCTCAATTTTTACTTGATCACGTGTTAATGACGTCATCAAATATTCTGAAGCATCATCTCCTTTTTAACTTATCACAATTGCTGATTTAGTCATCTTTGAAATCGAAAACCCATTATCATGAAGAATGGAGTTTTTTCATAAAATGATTTGACAATCTTGCCAGTATTAAAAAATGTCTCCCAATAGCTCTCTCGAAAATTTTCTTAAAATTGTTTTGATTTGTATTTTAGAATCAAGAAGAGAAACAAAAATTCCCTCATACAGCGTTGGAACTGTCTATTGTGGTCATGTTGAAAATGTCTATTTTATCTTTAGAGCTTCTTCCTAGAAATGCTAGTGGAGGTACTTATTACATAATGCTGTAGGTTTTAAGTTAGTGGGCATCTTTTAAGACGATTTTTCTACAGCAATTGTATTAAGAATAATCATAATGATCACAAAATCGTCCCATTTAAAGTGAGAAATATTTTCCTTTGCTTGTTTTCAAAGTATTTTAAATATTTTGTAAAATTTTTATTTGATCGAAAATACATCTAACTATATAGTTGTAGCAAAGCGAGAAAATGTATCATGAAATTTCTTAATGTTTTTCCATCATTGTGTTCACCTTTTACCTTTAATTTACGTTTTAAGTGTATTTTTCAACTTTCCACAAATTAAGGTATTGTGATCATAAGTGATGGTGTCTTTGGTCTACCAAATGCCGCTATGGTTCATGCATTACTGGCTCAGTTGAGATCTCATACTGTCTGTTGTTCATTTGTGAAAGTGGGAAGCCCCTTTCAGGCACACTGTAGGTATGGCTTGCTTCAAATTATATTTGCAAAACAGTCAAAGTGTTAGAAAATAATGTGTACACCATCTGGCTGAATGAACACTTTTACTTTATAATATTTTCTTTGATTGGTTTGTTTTAAAGTTTGGGTTATATTCCAAATACGGATCTGATGAAGTTTTTGGCCAACGCAACTTCCGGAGCTTACTTATCTAAAACACTTCCAGTAAGTTAGAAATTGACAAATTTGCATGTTTGGTGTCTTTATCGTGAAATAAATCATTACATGTATACTTGATGGTAGTGTAACTTCTATTTATTACGACATTCATTGTGTTTGATAAATGTGAACATTAGTAATAACACCTAACTTAATTTGTAAGTCAGTGCAAGCAGGCTTTTGTATGAATATATTTGTTGTTTTCCAGGTAGATGAGCTTTCTAATAATGGTAAGAAGAAAAAACGAAAATATAAATACTTTATATTAAAATTCAAAGTAAACAGTTCACGTTTGTCCTTTGTAGAACTACCTTTAATGAATTTTTATCAAAAAGCATTTCTTTGTTGGAGTTTTCAATGGGAATACGACTTGGGAAAAATTAGTTTTTGGGAAGGTATACTTAATTATATATTTTTTAGCAAATGGCTGCTGTCTTTTTGGAATAGGATAAGTGAAGATTTGCATGATAAACTTTTTTGTTAATAGAATTATTCTATTTTATTGGTGACTATAAGTTCAACTGGTTACGTTTGACATAAGAATGAATATAGAGCAAAAGTAATCTTCATATTAATTAATAATTGTTTCATACAGAGTTGAACCATGAAGGAGACGATGTTCTTCATAAATGGTATGTGGTATTTGAAAAATATGTTTGAAATCTTTTATATGTGCGCACTTAATACCAATTTGCAACGAATATTAATTTTTATAAACACAACTTCTTCTCCAATGAAGGACTCATTCGAGCTATGTTTCTGTCTACTGAGTCGTCACACATACAAAATAACGTCACAAACCCTTACAAAATCATATATTACGTCTTAAGTGTCCGCCTCCCCCCTTGTTAGCTCTCCCCCCCGGTAAGATCTTCTCAATGGGCAATTATCTTTGTATGTAAGTACTGTTATCAATTTGTATTATTTCTTCAGTTCTAGTTTGTCGTTATCTTTACATCAGTGGGATAAAGCTCTTACTGAGCCATTGATACGAAAGAAACATGTCGAAAAAACTTTACAAACGTCCATATCATGGTACAATAACAGTTATTTTTTTAACAAATATGTTTTTATGATCTCAAAGTGGTGTGCAGTTGTGCAAAAGCTCCAAATTCAAGCCTTAAATTTCTAGAAAAACTTCTGAGTTTTCCATCTCTGAACTGCTTTGTGTCTTCCGCAAACTGGAGCAGTGAATCCGGTTTTGTTTTGAATTTATTGGGATCTACCATTTCAACTTATACGAAGCTGTATATTTTTAGCGTGTTGTCGATTCGTTTACGTGAAGGATATTGCATTAAAGATATCGCGTTCCAACGAGGTCATTGAGTGTATTACCTAAAAGTTTTAATTGAACAATCTTTAAATATTTGTGATGTATTTTTAGGTGGAAAGGAACTCGTTGTTAAATTGTTGTTGCTATGGAAACAGAATGCTTATATTGAATATACAGCGTCATCTGTAAGTTGATAACATGGATGTTACAGACTAAACGTATGAGAAATCTATAGCGTATGTATTTTACGACTTTATTATTAGTACCAGTTGTATTTGCAAGATTGTGTTCATTGAGAATGTTCATCACTGACTTTCAATACTAACTTTCCTTACTGTTTATAAATGTATCATTGCAAGACAAAAGAATGAACAAAAACCTTCTAATTGTTGTTTTTACAGGTTTGGCCAGTTCCAGTCTCAAGGTAAATTTTACATGTGGATTAATTTTTGGAAAAGTTGTTATCTTTTTGCACAAATTTGACGTTGTTTTTGCGCACATTTCAACAATTTCTTTATTTGTAGTGTATCAATACTTCATTATTATTACGTCATTATATGCCATTATATGTCATTTTTATTTTCTCATTTCAGTGCTTGTACAAAGGTGGACATAATTGTTCAAGGAACGTACGGATTTCTCCATGATGTTTATACAAAGAAACTTTTCTCAATGAAAGGATATAGGTACATTGATTTTAATACACAGTCTGCATTTGTTACTTATTGTTTCACTGAAAGTAAAATAAGCAAATCGATTTCCTGGATCTTACTTAAGTTTAATTGCTTTTCTGTTGTTGTTGTTCATATGTTTGTTGATTCCAGGGCAAATGTTGTGGAAACGTTCAATCTTGCTCTGAAAAAGTAAGTAGAAACAGTTAAATTTTTTGTGAATAAACCTATGATGAAAGATCATATACATCTTATATTATCATTGAAACCATTTGCCAGTGTAACTATCATGAAGTGACCAGTCATTTGTGTGTTGACGATATTTTAGTCTTGAATTCACGGATTCGTTGTTGGTTAACCTCCAGTCGTTTTCCTCTAATCCACTTTATTACTCTACTCCTGAATCAGTAAGAAGAGGTGTGCCTCTTTTTCATTTACCACCAAATTCTCTACATCCGGTAAGTTGGCCTTTGCAATCATCAAAAAGAAATAGTGATATTTTTATGGTGTGAAAATGCGTAAATTTCATAAATAGTCTTAAACAGTAAAATGCTGAAGTAGTTTCCACAACTCTTTGCTGTTGTCATCTACTGTCACTCAAGTCTATTAAGGATTTTTTACTACGATTCAATACATCAGTAATTGAGCATTTCGAACTTCCAAATGAAATACAAAAACATTTTTAATTGTGAGAAAAATGCAACAAAAGAATAATGTTGTTTTACTGCATTTTACATTCATGTTGCAAGTTTGAACTTAACTGTTTGGATTTGTCTCTCAACATTGTAATGACCACACGGCGCGCACATCTTCGGGGATTTTCTACTTCATCAAAAGAATTTTCGTTTATTTTTAAATTTATTTTTAGGTATTGGTTGTGGAACAAGGAAAAACTAAGTAAGTTTGACATTTTTTCCCATTTTTGTTACAATGTTTAAGAAGTTGGGAATTATTTCTATAAAATAAGCAAATATGCGTCTTCCTAGTTACAATAGCAGTTAAAACAGTAGTAATTGTAAAGGAACTTATTATACGCGTCCGTTAAAACGTTTGTTTTTACTGTAATAAAAGAAAATAAAGTAAAATAAAATGAGCGATCGAAGTAGTATGATCTTCCGTTACACTCTTAACTTAAAAATTTTTTGTTATAGAAAATCCTCGAAATCACAAGAAGCACAATTTGCTGCATTCTGGAGGGCAATCTTGACCCTGGATGTCAATAATTGGTATATTCAGTGAAATTCTTTGTCAATTTTGATACATGATATAATTTGGTGATTTTTATCTTTCAGGCAACGTTGGATGCATTGTCATCGTATCAATATGGTTTTAGAGCATGACAGGTTAAAAATAGAAAATTATATTTTTCAACTGTTCGTCATTCGTGTTTTAATTTGTTTATTTTGTGTGTGAAATGTTCTTGGCAAATGAAAATTGTCGCTCGTTTGTTCGAGACCTTTGTTAATGTCAGCTAATTTTCTTCGACATAAAGAAGATGCACGGAAGTTTCATTAAACAAGTTTTCTTGTCTGTTTTTGCTTATTTTAGACCTCTTCCAAAATCGTTGTTCTTGCCGTCAGTTACTGATCGTTCTCATCATATTCACTGTCGAAATTCTCTCAGCTCTCTAGCAGTCTTCCTAAAGGAATGGAGTTCTTTTGCTTTAGCTGAGAATCATACTTACATTAAGTTTGTTGAAGGGTACGTATATACTTGTTTATATGTCTGTGCATCGAATCGTTAATTGTTAATAAATAAGAGTGCTCAACACAGGAGTACAGCTAATATTTTTTTTCTTTGAAAATCTTTTTTACTTAACATTTCACGATAGTGCAATTATCATAAAGTAACTAAAATGCCAAAATGGTTAAATTAGGTGTTATACAACATCACTATAAAAATTGTCTGAAGTGCGAGGTTGTTTGAATCCTCGTGTTTGGAATCTGGTTAATTGAAGACATCAAGTTGATCTTTCAATTCTCTTCTGTGCACAAGTTTGAGGAGTATTTTCTGGCAGCGTTATGTGTATTTATCGACACTAATTGATTTTTGTTAATTTTTTTATCAAGTAATGATCCAGAAGATCCACCTAGGTCTTTTTGCATCGTACGCATATCTTCCAAAGCTCCCTCTATCGTGGTACGAATTGCGTTTTTGGGTGGAACACCTGGAGCAGAGAGACACAAGGTGATTTTAATGAACACGATTAATTTTTTTTGGTCAATTCGCATTCATTGAGAGAAGTTACATTTTTAATCGTGTAAAAAATCTCACTAACACACTATAAACTAGGCAAGTATATTGTTTTATATGACATTGTATTACATTACTTTGTCATCTCTGTTAAAACACATTTTTTTGTGTGTTTTGCTACCACAATTGTAAAATATAGAAGATCTTATTTGTGATACTGAATGATTTCAATTAGTCAAATGTTTTGTTTTAGATCGTAAATTCTCTTTATAATGATCTGAAAGAAATAAAAGCTCCATTTTCTTCTTCTGAGAAATCTTCCAAACCGACGGATGGGGATAATGAAGTCGAGAGGCCAAAAAAACTTGTTTGTTTGAAACTTTTACACAAGCCATTGGATAGAATACTCGTCAGGTGATAAAATTGAAAATTCCGGAGGATTTTTCTCTTGATTGTCGTTGTCAGTTATAATTAGTTCATCTGTACAAATGTTTTTGTAAGTGTGATGTATTTATGTATTGTAATGTACTTTTTTTATTGTGTTATTCACGAAGTGTTATATTTATAAGATACGAAGAACAACCCAAAGAGTTTGTTATCCGACCATCATTACACAGCAAAGATTCCTCGAGAGTTATTGAAACGTATGAACCATGGATGTATCCTTCGAAAGGAAATCATGATTCCTCACTGAAAGTTCTATCGCGATTTCTCTATCATCAACGTTGGGTGTTTACTTTGCATCCTAAAAGATTGGATTCTACTACTCCACCCGATACTGTATCCAAGATATTGAAATATATAGCAAAGTGCGTTATTTATGTGTATAAAACAAAATCATAAACATGTAATTTTTAATCAAAACTGCTAAAAACAGCGTTGAACAGCATTGGGTATTTTTTAGGGTTCGAGAGAATCAAGGGTATACATTTGTTTTCAGTAATCTAGGAGTGACAACAATGTTTAAAGAATTTAATGTTAAAGTAAGTATTTCAATACTAATGCTTGTAAATTTTTTCAAAGAATGCGTGAAATCTTTCGTTAAAGTCATTAAAAATACCGTTGACATACACAATTTTTCTTCAGGAAACTCATAATGATGACAAAGCACCCAACACATGTATCGTACAGTTAGTTCTATTTCCACCAATGACGTTGTCCAGTCATAATCGTGTTGTTCGCTGGGCATGTGATAACCGCCTTCCCGAAGATGAGAGGGAGCTGGAACTAGTAGTAGAGGTTTGGGTTGAACCTCAACATGGCGTGGTTGTCGAAGAGGAAATTCCTGATTATTTACATGGAAAGCAATATTTTGAAATAGCAGCCAAGGTAATGGTTATAAAAATGTTACTTGAAATACGCGTGAAGAATTTCATCAACTTTAGTTTTATTCTAACCATAAAATGTTGCTTATCATTTTGAGCTGGATTATACCACTCTCATTTTAACATTGTCTTTAACACATATCTCTCTTTGATAACCGACTGTTGTTTTTATAACAACAAAATAAGCAATGAAATCACAACTTTCCTGGGAAAGGATTATTTTTGAAGGGAAGGACTTTTCTGAGGACATTATTTCAAAATATCTTTTACATCATCATCATCATCATCTACGTATCATAATTTGGTCAATAACTTTTGCAACATGTTAGTCTCATATCTTAGCTGATACTTAATGTTTTTTTATGGTTTTATTCAGATTTTTGAAGAAGATGTTGAGATTATTTCAGTATGGTTGACATTTGATCATATCTGTCGCATGTGTGATGATCAAGTTGTACATTGCCCCAATGAAGCGGTAAATGACGTCATGCCTCCGCCTACTGATCCAGACAAAATGTCGCTCATATATGAAATTCCTTTTCCTTTCAATGTGATAAAACTTCTTACTCATTCAAGACAAGTGAAATTTCTTTTTTCCACATTAATAGAGCACGAAAGAGGTAAAAATATATCATATTTTTTGATAGTTCATTTATTTAACAAATTCACTACCTGTTCTTATTGAAGATAGTTTAATTCATCTACATATGTTTATGAAGGTTCATCAAGATCCACTTATCATCGAAGTAACGATATTTTGTTTGATCACATTCTCGATCACATGAAAAGATTTCACGATAGAGAATTGATTCTCACTCCTGAAGATTCAAAGACTTTTCTTGAATTCCTTTTACATCGTTGTGATGTTGAGAAATGTCCACCACACGTCGAAAACATAACATGGAGATGTTTTACGAGAATTGAAAATAGACATTTATTATTAACGTTTTTACCTGCAACCTATAAAGCATTACAATCTTTTGCCAAGATTTTGAAAGAAGACGAGAATGCGCTAAGAATAAAAGGGAGACAAAATATTTCAACGTCAAATGTATCTTTGTTGTCTGATGAGACTGAAGTGGAGGATGAATGTAGCGAAACTGTGGGAAAATTTTGGCGTTCTAGACGATCCAGTGAAGGAAGTTGTGTTGACCTGTCCATCTTTGTTTATGACTTTTCTTTGTCTTCATTCATGGAAAATAAATTATTCAAAGATATCTTGTTGGACTACAGGGACAGCCTTGGAGAGTTTGGTTCGAACCCTGATTTACATACATCCAAAGAACTAACTCACCATTGTATCATTGTATACGACATGTTTTTATATTGCTTTGTCTCCACTGTGTTTGAAAGCTTACGAAAAAATGAATTTGTTGATGATGATAATGTGGATGAAACACTTGCTATCTGCTCAGATAATATTCCAGAAGAGATTGATATTTTTGGATTTCTTGGAAGTATTTGCGGTCATATTAAGCATGCTTTCATTGGTGATAAAGATTGCGAGGAATCGTTGGAGGACTGGGACCGTGCTCATGAAAGAAACGCTATAGAATTTTTGCGCGGTCAAATTGTAAAACGAAACGAATCTGTGTGGGCGCCGAATTGTGAGGAATTGTTAGGTTTACACGACTTTATACAGAAAAGATTTGACAAAGTTCTAAAGAAATATTTTTCACCAATACCAAACAAGAAAGATCACTATTTTTACAATCCAGACTTTTTAAAAGATTTTTCACAGGTTTGTTTCCAGTTCATTCTAATGAATATACAGCCGCTTTATCTTTCGCTTTTTCCCAACTCTTTCATATTTTGCAGCAAAAGTCTGGAAACTAGACAATTTGTTTACATGACTAGTGATAAGTTATCGGCAAAATAACATACTACTTTTTATTTAAGCTGCTTAGGAAAACCTTGTCAATGACATCAGTTTTTCTGTACACACATGACTATTCTTGCCTTGTAAGATGGGTTAATCCTCTTTAGTTAAACGTCTAACAAATATTATACCTTTTCTTCGTTATGGTTTATTTGTAAATGGTAGTACATGTTCATTAATTAACAGAAATTGTGTTGTATTTCAGCAAGAAATATAATTTTGGTGTGGTGAAGAAGAAACGTATTTGCTTGACGTAACGACACTTAGGCACGATAACTTGTGACGTAACGACACTTAGGTTATGAGGCACGATAACTTGTGACGTAGCGACACTAAGGTTATGAGGCACGATAACTTGTGACGTAACGACACTTAGGTTATGAGGCACGATAACTTGTGACGTAACGACACTAAGGTTATGAGGCACGATAACTTGTGACGTAACGACACTTAGGTTATGAGGCACGATAACTTGTGACGTAGCGACACTAAGGTTATGAGGCACGATAACTTGTGACGTAACGACACTTAGGTTATGAGGCACGATAACTGTGACGTAGCGACACTAAGGTTATGAGGCACGATAACTTGTGACGTAACGACACTTAGGCACGATAACTTGTGACGTAACGACACTTAGGCACGATAACTTGTGACGTAACGACACTAAGGTTATGAGGCACGATAACTTGTGACGTAACGACACTTAGGTTATGAGGCACGATAACTTGTGACGTAGCGACACTAAGGTTATGAGGCACGATAACTTGTGACGTAGCGAGACAATAAAACAATTGAAGTTATAACGGTAAGATGGACACTTGAGCCAAAACAAGGTATACTAACGAATATATTTGTTATGTTTAGTCAGATGAAGATGATGAAAGTAACGACGTTTCAAATGAGACGAGCAGTGAGGCATATTCTGATGTGGTGTTTGAAAATGATGATGGCCTTTCTCCATTTACCGAGATGAATGTGGAAAATGAAAACGATTCTTGTTTCGTTGCTGATATAACTGAAGACGTTCTGAATAAAGATGAGGGTGATGATGTTAGCCAATCAAATTATCCTTCCAATATGTCTGATATGCAAAGTTCCATTAAAGAGGATAACTTAATGGAACAGTTGGAAAAAGAAAACAATGTACCATTGTTTCTAAGTTTGAATTGTACTCTAAGAGATCGTAGTCATTTATCAAGTACAATGGTTAGCTTACCAACTGATTATTTACCTGTATGTTTTGGTGAGTTTGTTTTTTTAAATATTTGCATATTGTATTCATACACTGATTCAGCATCACTAAAAATTTAAAAATATTTTAATAATAACTGAGATTTTCAATTTGAAATACTTTCACTACAGTTCTATACGTACATTTTGAGTTTCCAAAGAATGAAATTTTACCAATATTATGAAATATTATGATACCTATAGGGAGATTTTCTTTAAGTAAAGTTACGTATTGTTTATTGTTGCCTAGATCATATGATCTTATTGTTACATTAACAAAGGTGTTTTTTGAAGTTGAGCGCTTGACTTAAACGTAAAATCAGTGAAAAAGATGTTTACTCTTAATTTGTCGCGAAATGTTTTAGTTCTGAAAATCATTGATCTTTTTATCAAATTGCACTCGACACCGCCGTCAGTCAGTCATCTTCATTTTACTTAATTTGCATACAATAACTTTAATTTTTCTCTAAGGTGATATTTTGGACCAAGCTAACAGGGATCCTGATCAATATATTGATCCTACAATCTCAACATTAAACTTGACCTTGGATCTCATCTGTCTTGTTCCACCTCGGGAACCTGACTACTCACGATGGAGGAATCACAATCATGAAAAGGCTGACTCTCAAAGTTTGTCAAGTGGAAGTTCCATTTCACAAATTGAGAAAACAGTGAGATTTGAAAATGTCGATGGTGGTGTTAAGTCCGTGTCAATATCAGTATCACATGATAGAGAAAGTAGGTAAGTTTATAGTTGTGTCAATATCTGTATCACGTGATAGAGAAAGTAGGTAAGTTTATAGTTGTGTCAATATCAGTATCACGTGATAGAGAAAGTAGGTAAGTTTATAGTTGTGTCAATATCTGTATCACGTGATAGAGAAAGTAGGTAAGTTTATAGTTGTGTCAATATCAGTATCACATGATAGAGAAAGTAGGTAAGTTTATAGTTGTGTCAATATCAGTATCATATGATAGAGAAAGTAGGTAAGTTTATAGTTGTGTCAATATCTGTATCACGTGATAGAGAAAGTAGGTAAGTTTATAGTTGTGTCAATATCTGTATCATATGATAGAGAAAGTAGGTGAGTTTATAGTTGTGTCAATATCTGTATCACGTGATAGAGAAAGTAGGTAAGTTTATAGTTGTGTCAATATCAGTATCACGTGATAGAGAAAGTAGGTAAGTTTATAGTTGTGTCAATATCAGTATCAAATGATAGAGAAAGTAGGTAAGTTTATAGTTGGAAGTATTAATGTTTAGGTTTTTCATCAAATAGACATGTACAAAGCGTTCTCATAGTCGTATTTTTCGTGTTTTTTTTTTATGAAGTTTGTTGGTGTCAGGATTACCCGTTAGTCAGGTTGAAAGTATTCGCGAATTCCGTGATGAGATTAACTGGCTTCTTAAAGATGAAATTATCTTCTCGTTGTGTCATGTTCCGTTTATATCCAAACAGATTCTCCATACGGTTGCAGAGCACATCATTGAATGCAAAAAAATGGAAAATCATTCAAGTCGTTTCACTTCGTTAAAACTTGACTTTGTTTTAGAACAGGAAAAGAGTTTGTGTATTTTCATGGAGGAATTTGATAAAATGATGATAGGTATGTGTATTAGGTACATTTTACGTACATTGTGTTGTATTTTCTGTCGAATGTGAGTTTTTCCTTATAAACAATACTGATCACTAGGCAAAATATAAGGATCATAGTAAAATTTGGAAATATGTCTATAAAATTTCAGGTGTTTTCTTAAGAGAACGCAAAATTTCTTTGTTTAAAACAGCAAACTTCATACAAAGAAGACTATTGTAATAAAAAGTTATTTCCAATAATGTTTTTGTAGGTTGATGTGTGTATGTTTGTGTACTTTCTTTGATTTAGTGTTTGTTTATGTTTGTATTATACTTGTCTATGCTTATTACTTTTTAATGCTTATATATATTTGTGTTTATTAATGTTTATTTATGTATGTATTTATTCATTTTGTGTTAATTATTTGTGTTTATATTCAGGTTGTCATAAGTTATCAAAACTGGAGGATTATTATTATCTACGTCTGTCGTCGTCAATAATGTCAAGAAATGTGGTATACAATGAAGTGGATGATACGAAATCTGAGCAGGAGATATCAACGATTAACGAAGTTGAAAATGATAATAATGATGAGGAAATGTTTGTGATGTTTGGATCGATGTTTAGCTCTGATGGCATTCCTGGAAATGATATAAAGATGGAAAAACAAACATCTTTACATGATGATTTCTCAGAAATGTGGCTACTTCTTAGAAAATCTGAATCCGATGTCGTTGATGTGCTGTTTTATGCACGGTAAAAGGAAACGTATTTGTTTTTGGATATTTTATAAATGGCAATGAAGTAAATCGTTATGATTGTATTTGTAGAGAATGCTGCAATGGCGAATATTACTATGACCTTTACACAAATGCAATCGATGAAATCAAGAATTTGTGTCATATTGTTAATCAGGTATTAGATTAGATTATGTTATGTTATAAGAAGATAATTTTTCCGTATTTGCTTTATTATTTTTTGACAGAAAATGCTACTTCGTTACGTATACGACAACAAAATCTGCCATCCATTGTTACAACCGAGATCTGAGGCCGATATTTGGAGTGAAAGTATTTTAGGCTCAACTTCTGCGCATCCTGTGTTAGGTGGCATTGATGGTAAGCAAGTGTTGGTAACAACACTTATACAACTATACATTCTGTGTTAGGTGGCGTTGATGGTTAAATTAAATATTCGTTACAATACTTAGCTGTGCTGATAATTTATAATAAAGTGGTTAACTTTTTCACTTTTTAAATCATGTTTTGTAGGAAGTCAAGTAGTTGTACAAGAATATCGTTTTCAACCTGGACACTTTAAATGTCCTGCAAAATGGACGACACGTTTCCCAGTTCATTTTAGATGGAAAGACAACTCTAAACAAAAAAACAACGGCGCAGATAGAGCACACAAAGCTTTAAAAAATGTTTTGGATAAGTTTGCTCTCAATGAAACCTCTAGTATGTATGTGTATCAGGAAAGAAATGGAAGCATTTTTTACTTCAAGTAAGTTGTCCGTTGATTTTAGTTTACTTAAAGGGAACGTGGACAAATTGGAAATTCGACGGTTTGTTTCTAATAGAAAGCTTGTTTTTATAGTTTGGATTCTTCACTATATGTAAGTAAAGAATCGGAATTTGACGTTGGCAAAGAGGATGGGAACAAAGATGAAGAGCTTACCCAGTCTCCTCCTCTTTCTCCTTTATCTTCTGTTCCTTCACATGGACAAACTGGAGGAACGACTGAGGACGAACTGGTACACAAAAGATCCTCAATAATCTCTTGGGGATAGTTTTAAACAACCCATTGAAAGATATCTTTTACATTAACATGAATGTTTCTCTATATTTAAGATCTTTATGCCATTTTCTTCGTCTTTTGACTATTTCTAGGAGGAAATACACGTAAACGAAGTGTTGTAACTTCGGAAAAGGACACGATCAGCTGTAGTGATTCACTAAATAGTTTTCCTGTTGTTGAACATGTTGAAGAATGTATCAAACTTACAGTGTTTGGTGTAACTGAGCCAAGTGATGAGATAAAGAAAGATTTAGTAAATGTCTTACAAAGACGTCTTGATGATTTTACTCGTGAAATATTGACGATGACGTTGGCTCGAAATCCTAACACAAAGCTTACGTTACAAGACGTTCAGGTCTGTTTAATCATAGCTATTTGTGTTTTGTTTAACCATTAAAGGTTTGCATTTACTTAGCTAGACTAAAATCATGAAACATTAAAGCATTGTATCAATATTGCGATACGATTGCGATTAAATAGAATGCTACCAAAATCGTTCGAGTTTGAAAATTCAACAATTATTTTTAGTTCATCCAACCTGTTGAATCTCCTCCAACTTCATTTTTACAATTGGTGCTGCCATCATTTGCTGTCAAGAATCTTCATCCTTTCTCGTTCTTTTTCAAACAACATCTACTGAACTATCTACATACACCAAAGTATTCTGCTCAAGCCGAAACATGTCATTTTAAGAAGTTTTCACGAATGAATGGAGGACAGGCTCAAACACAACCTGAAAATGAATCGTTTCTCTACACTAAAGCATTTACTTCAGGAGGGAAAGGTTGGTATATTAAATTTTTAGTACTTAAACTCTTGACAATCGTAGGAATGATGTTTTGTTAATCTTTATTAACCTTTTGTTAACCCTAATTGACCCTTTATTAACCCTTAGCTAACCCCTCGCGAACCATACACGAGGTTCTTTGAAGAAATATCGGACCGAGATCTTTTTGTACAGACTAAGGTGCATGAGAGATTTCTCGTCAAAGATCGAGTAAATTATTTGAAATTGTGTCGTATACATAATGAAATTACGTGCAATTTTAAAATTAAATGTAAGGAAACTTTGTAAAGCAAACAGCAAAAGACGGAAAAAAACGAAACAAAAACCATTTACGAGTGTGAATCGAATGAAAAACGCTCAGAAAGTTAGTTTAATTATCCAGACGACACAATTTCAAACAATTCATTTTTTACTGACTAAAACTAGACAAGTGAAATTCAACCGAAGGTCTGTACAAAAAAACTTCGGTGCAATATTTCTCCGTAAAGACCTCGAGCTTGGTTAATAAGAGCTTATAAAAGACCCGCAACAATGTTTTCGTGTCAATCCAACACGTTCTTTTACCGAAAATGACGTTTGCTACCTACTAAACTCATCTTAAGGCATAGTATCACATCGATTTTTTCGTATTTATATATAGATTATTATCTCTTTTGTTTATAAAGGTGTTGCGTTCTTGTCTGTGAGTATTGTTGATAAACATGGTTGTTCAATAAAGGTTGTACCTGAGCAGAAAAAAGTTGGCTTTATGGACGAAGAAATGATGTCTAGTCTTAAAATGATCACACAAATTGTCAATATTGATGAATGTAGAACAATTTCTGGTAAAAATATGATATAGATTATCTTTTTGTTATGCCTTTTCTGTGTAGAGAATGGTTGCTAATTCAGCAGTTGTTTGATCTTTTTTCACATTTTGTTTTGTTGTTTTGCAGATGAAAATATCCTTGTCGAGATTTCTGTATGGGAACGTGGTGATATTTGCATTAGCGATCTAGAAAAGAAATTAACGAAATCAATACGTCATGCATTGTGTGACGTTATTATAGAATATTATTTACTTTCAGCTTCCTTGTCATATATACCTCATCAATATTTAAACTTGTCCACCAATAACTCTTCATCTTTTGATACAAGATATCGTAGAACACTAGACTGTGGACACGGGTACAGTCCCAAACCTGATGATATCCATTCACGTTCATTCGCACCAGTTTCCTTCGCACCATCGCCGTCAACTGTTTTGGAGGTCAGTATACATGAAAATGTTATTTTGGACTCGACGTCAGCCGTTAAACCACAAGATGAAGATTTTGTAAATGGTCAACATCCAAAATTTAGCGAAACCTCTTCATTAAATATTCCTGATAACGAATGTAAACATCGTTATTATAGTGAAGGCAATGGTAGAAAATGCTCGGGTACTAAACACTTTCAAACTTTATTTCGATCATTTTCAACTTCTTCTTCATCAAAACTTGAACCTCAAGATTTTGAAGAGAATCTCAAACATGGACGGTTTTCTCCCTATGAGTTATTTACTGAAAACGAGCTGACTGAGTCCAAACAACTTAGCGAGCAAGCAGTGCTTGCTAATACACAATACCTATCGGACAAAACTCGAAAGAAGTCGGCAGATGTGGCTAGAGACAGAGACGTTAGAGAGGAAGAAATTCAGAAGATGAAGGTAAAACGACAGAAATACGAAAACGGTGAAACAGGATATTTGCATCCCAGGTAAACTTACATGATTTTGTTGTTTAGTCACTCTTTGTCCAGAAAGCGTTGTTTTTTTTATCAAAATTACAACAATTTGTTTATAATTTTTTCAATATATCATCAGCATGTCACACAGAAAGAATTTATACGTTTCATGGTATAACACGATATCTATGTATTGTTCAAACATGTGAATATTTTGTATTATCAGATCTCGTTCTTTCATATCAACGTATTGCAATTGGATATTACCAACTTTGCTTCAGAAGTCATACGATACAATGGAAATATATAATTTTTTTCTAGTTTTCAAGGTTCTGCACAAGAAATGTTGACATTTGCCAGTAATCTTGACTCACCATCCATACGTATTCAAAAAGAGACATTATTGACTCGATATTCTGTTGATGCTTTGCTGTGCGAGCTCATTCATTTGGTGAAGAATCTTTGTCCTGATTTAGACACCAGAATTTATCGAGCCGTTCCAAGGTCAGTTTTATAGCATTTATCCCCTTTTTATGATTCCAAGAACTGTTTACTTTTTTGTCGCTTGTAACTCACTGTAACTTAATCTTTTCGTTTATCTACTTTTTCATGACGCAGCTCACAAAGTTCCTTCAATTTCATCAATCCCCAGACACTCCATCATGTACTGTATGATCCCATCGGACGACCATCACCAGTGAGGATTTTTGAGTATTTATTACAAAGTTTTAGGTAGCCTATACGTGTACAACAAGTTTTTTTATCATAATCAGTTATATTGTGTTAAATTGCGTTAAATTGTGAATAAATTTGATGATTTAGAAAAACTTGCCACCACATTCCAATTTCATATTTAAATGTTGACGTTCGAGGTTTCTTTAGGTAATTGATGGAGATGAAACGCTTGTGGATCACAATGAATCTTCAGTGACGAATGAAACAAGAGCAAATGGACCATTTGTTCTTGTTGCACGTTGTTTAAAGCAATGGAAGTACAATTTACACTGTTTGCAACGTAGGTTGTTGGAATTCTAATGAATAAAGTCATGTATAATGTGATGTGATTATATAACTTTATTTTATAATTAGATCCTTATTACTTGGAGAACGACGCAGAATTGTCTCAAAAAGGTTAAGACCTTCCTTCTTAGGCCCGTTTCAAACGTCGCATTTTACAACAGCCGAATGCACTGAAGACAAAAGAAAATAAGATAAAATTCCTCATTACCTTTTGTTTAAAATGTATTTGGCTCATGTAAAATGCGACGTTTGAAACGGCCCTTATTCATTTCTCTGTTAACTACAAAGTTACAAGCCATAAGTTTCCATCAAGCCATAAGAGACTCGTTGTTCTTTTACTCGTAGTTATTAATACCTTTGTTTGGAATATAGAAGATAATTAAAAGCATGTGTGTTTAATAATCAGATTTTCTATCATTGAACGAAAATCTTCAATTATATAGATTATTACTCGACGCAAATGTTTCAATCATGGAATCCAAACTCAATAGAAGATGCGAATGAACGTGCTAAAGACAGTACAGCTGCATTTTCTAATGTTTTACCAGGCTTTGTGTCTCGTCAGAGCTTAATCATCATTGACATCAAAGATAAAGAGGTAAGACTAAGTCACTTAAATGTTGTGGCGTTTGAGCACAAAATAATCCTGTTTGCTAAATGACTCACTGTACAAATGATTATTTTGATCATTTTTATGAATTGTCATTTTAGATCGTTGCTACAACCTATAATATTTCCAATGAAACACATAACCAGTTTTATGTTCGTCTTAAACAACTTGCACACTGGAACAACGCTCGTTGTCATCTTGTTTCCTGTTTAATGCATCAAAAAATGGGCCTGTTTCATCATGCAGTTTTTAAACATTTTGATTCAAAAACCAAGGTTTGCTTGTATTGTTATATATAGTTATTTACGTAAAAGATAAAAGTTTCTCCGGATTTTAAATGATTTTTATTGAGCTTTCGACTCGTTGCTTCGGAGAAAAATCCGGAGAAACTTTTATCTTTTATGTATTCAATGCCTGGATTACAAATTTTCAAACTTATAGTTATTTACATATAGTAAAGGGTGTGAAGAGTGTTTGTAAGAGGAATGAATCGTGTGCTGTATTTACTTCATATATTAATGAATATTACATTGGACCATAGTATTGTTTGTACATGCCTTTTGTTTGGAGAAAAGCTTGAACATCAGAAATTTCAAGTTCTCGAGAAACATGACCAACACATAAACACATTTATACCCGTAGATAGTTTATATTTTTTCAAATTAACAATTGCATTCATTATTTATTAGGCGATCAATCCTTTTTGTGAGTCAGTTGAAGACCATCATTTGTTTACATTACTAAAACAAACATCTCCAATTTCTTCAGAGGTAGTTATTCAAAACTGAAGTTATAACCGAAGTTATAATTGAATTGATAAGCTCATTTTATCCGTCTCAGGCTTTCAGTCAACTTAAGAAAAACAAGCTTGTTCAAAAACAACATAATTATCTATTTCTCATTGTCGTTATCTTAAATCATGTTATTTTAAATCACAATTTTAGAAGAACTCCACTCACAAACAAATTCCCTCCGTTGCGAAATTATTGTTTGAAGAAACCTTTCGTGATGTCACTCCTCCAAAGCCTCTTCAAAAAACCAAACATTCTCATTACCGCGATCCTGTCAAACGACATGGTGCTCAGTTTCAGGTTGTTATTAAGTATTCAGTGTTCTTTCTGATGTAGTTTTTTATTGAAATTTGATTTAGAAAATGCTTTTGTTTTTATTTTAGGAAATACGAGCAATGCAAATAATAGGTAGGGCGAAAAAATATCTCAGTTTTATCAAAAAGCGTTAAATATTTTTTATTTAAGATTTTAATTGTTAATAAATTTTGTTTTCTTGTTTAGCGGCAGTAGAAAATGCTGAGCTTCAAAAGTTGTTTACAACTTGGTTACAAGGTGGAGGTTTGCCTGTGTATTTTAAGGTACACACAATACGCATGCTCCATAGATTGTCGTTGTATTTTATTTCACATTTTTCTTTTTATAATTCATCCAGGATATAGTTTTGTTAAAACGTCAAAGTTGTCTTCTTCATTGCTGTAAAACACCATTCTTAGTGTGTCATGAATGGATAACTAATATTGAGAAAAAAATTCATTCAATCGTAAGTTATAAAAGAATACTTTTACACCCCGGGTTTTCGTTGTCTTGACTTCTTCGATCAATCGTTTAGCAAGCTACGAGTGAAGAAGAGAGAAGAAAGAACGAAGGAGCAAAGAACGAAGATAAAACAAGAATTGATGATGTAAAAGAAGATCAGTGGCATTTTAAACTAAGAGAAGAATTTATTAATTACTATACTCAATTCTTACAATCTCAACAATTTTCCAGGATACAGATCACCCATGTGTAAGTAAGAAATATGAATGCAGATATCGTGTAGATATTTCTGAGAATTTTTTATTTCTAAGAAATTCTCGGATAATTCTCAAAAACTATTTCATCTTAAAGACAAACAAAACCAAGTAAACCATTACGCAAGGCAGAAAAACAGAAGGTAAGATATGATTTTATATCTCCCTCCCCCTGCTCACCCACGTCTCTTTGTTATTTCTTTTTCTCTTTTTTTCATGTGAATTTTTTGATTTTAAGGTCTTTATCTGGAAAACAAAATACTCATGTTCCTAATGGTTATTTCTTGTTGTACTTTAGCTCACAAGTGATACAGTCGACCATATCAAAAAGAAGCAGCTTCATTATTATCTTCAAAAGACAATTGATGGCAGTAAAGATGAGGAAACATTTGCTTATGACGGTGGTATCATGTTAGTCGAGTTGGGATATGAGGTGCAGTTTATTCGGTCAATCAATGAACTTTGCTTTTGTTGAGCAGATTAGGGGCTGGTTTTGCTAATAGTCAAAGTTTATGGTTTTGAGATCAAGCAGGCAGGCAGTAAGCTATTTATATAAATTTATAGTTCCTTGTAATTTTTAGGGCTATCATTTTTCTGTCAAATTGTATACGTTTGAATCAAGTAGACTTCTGAAGGATAAAACTTCCGACCACCAGGTTTGAAAAGATATTAATTTACAGTTTCCATTTCGTCAATAAGCAAAGACGAGGCGATTTTTTTTGCTGTATTTTCTTTGCTTTAGGCAAAAGCGAACTTTCATGCAGAATGTCTAAAAGTTCGAGATCTTACTCATTTAAACTCGTTCAGCTACGATTTTCACTTACGTCATGTACAATATTCCTTGTTTGGACAACGTTTGCTATTTCCCAAAGGATTCAGGCTCACATCTATGTTGAGTAAATTAATGAGTGTTTATATTTATCCACCAAAATTTTCATGGAATCATATTTGCAAAGGTAATTGACTTGAAATGTTGATGATGCTTACGATGATAAACTTTGTGGCAGTTCTTCATTACTTCATGCAGTATTAATAATCAACATGTTATATTTCAGGTCAACTGTCTTTGCCTTTGACTCGTTTATCACAGAAAAGTGTTTATAACTACGCAGTGGAACATTGTGAGAGATATGGTCTCTCAAATGTTGAAATGAATGCAACCGAAAATGTAACAGAACATGTTCTTGTTTTGAAACAAGAGCAAGATAAATATTACATCTCCGTAATTGCCAAGCTTGATACAGATGCTCTGGAAGGACATTTAGGGTTAAAATTTTACGTCGTTAAAACACATGGCCGTCAAGTGTTCCCTAAAATGAAACCAACAAATGATATCTTGTGGAGAAAACAATCTTCTTCTTCAATTACTGAAACAGGTTCTTCTCTTACTGAAACAATGTTACATTACTTGCTTTTAGGCTTAGTGAAAAGGAATTGCATATTTTCAAGCTGTTTAATCGGTTATTTATTTGAAGTTAAACAAAATAAAATCCTACATTACTTATGTAATACAATGAATTGTAGCCAATGGAATGTGTTTACTTCATGTTACTCAAACTGTACTACTGCTCTCCATTTCTTGCAGGAAGATTTCGTCAATCTTCGGGTTATTCTCGTTTGTCAAATAGCTCTGAACATGATCTGTGGACTGTTAACATGACAGATGAAAACATCAAACGATCTTCATCAAGTCCACAATTTATGACCTCGTTACCAATCTCCCAAAGTCATGAAGAACTAGTCAAAAATTTACCCAGCAACATTCATAGTTCTCATAATTCATCAAACACACAAAATCCCTCTGTGATCAAGATAAATCCTGCTAACGATAGACCCTATATCATAGCTGGCTTAGAAGCGGATCCATCGGATACTCTAATGTCTTGGGACCTTCGTAATCTTGGTTACGATGCGGATAAATGTTACCAAAAATTAATTACAGCAATGAGCTCAGCACAGTTGGACTGTCTTCGAGATCATCTCTGGCATTTATTGATGAAGGGATCAAGTAGTGAAGAGACTGGAACGGAGAGCTCAATGTGGAAACCAAAAGGGCGTAGAAAGACAGAACATCGCAGAGTTTTTAATGATTTTACTGATTCATCATCACTCAAGGATATCGATGACTCTAACTGCAAGGTGAGTAATTTCCATTGCTTGTTATGAAAATTTGATCAATGGAATTATGTAATACACTGCTCGAATTGTCATGTAGATGTCGTTTGAAGATTTTGAAAGTTTGTTGAAGCTTACACAGCCATTGTCATTTTCATCGTTTGACGAAATGTTGAAACCATTCTTATCTATGGATTCATCTTGGTATTTTCATCTTTGGACGTGAGTAACTAACAGTGTTGTTCACATACCTAATGAATACATTGTTTAATTGTGAGGAGTTCACATTGTACCAATGTTCATTGTGAGATTAATTTAATCAATAATCTTTGTTTTTATTGAAAATCCGTTTCAGAACTTTGCTTGCGAAATTCGGAGATCACACACGAGAATTTACTCGAAATGACAGCAAAATTCGTCATTTGGTTGTTCTCAATTGTAAAAATCGTGATATGTTTGTAGTTATAACAATTCATGAAAACAATGGTACCACGGTAAGTAATATTGAACACTCTTATCTTTTAATACGCTTACGCATGAAAATAAATCATCCGTCTTCACTTTTTAAACGCTAAGAACTCTTGCTCTGATCTCAATAACCGTAAAAAAGGTGGAAAATAGGTTAGCATTAGAAAAAGTTTTTTGCAATTCGTTCTTTGTACTCAAATGTTTCAAAAAAAATCATCAAAAGGCCATCGAGACCGACTCAAAAGAAAAACATTCGTGGCAGTGTTGATTTTTGAAGTGCGCGTGCTCAGACTATTTTTCTGATAGTTTGAGAGTAGACGAGGGAGTTACTCCAAGAGCAGAGCAAGGAGAACCAGTTTTTGGTATAGATTCCATTAGGTGGTCGAGTAGACTGTGCAAGTTTTCCGTGGTCAACGAGACAATAAGCGCTGTAGCGTTCTACCTTGCTCTTGTTTGCAACATCCGCAAGTTAGAAACATAATGGCGTATAAAATGCTGCTTGAAAAAGTAGGCTTTTTTAGATCGTTCAAGTGTCTCTATGTTGATTTTAGGAAATGAAGATTGTCAATCGTCTACTGACTGAAGGCAACAATAAAAATGATCTCGTTCTAAAATCTTGTGAAGAATTTATGGCCGAAATCATCAACGTTCTGTGTTATCAAATGTGGAGTGGTTTGCTTATTTAATAAACAACAGTGTTGGAGATTCAAAGCAAGAATGGTCGATAAATCAAAGACATCCTGTGCTCACATGAACTCAAAGCATGACGACTAAAAGAGAAAGTTCTTATGGAAACTACGATGACGTGATATGATGTCTACAGTTGTGTTTATACAAGAGAAGATCATGTTTTGGCGCGGATACAATCCCATAAAAGTGTATATAAAGCTCAGTTCTCACTTGCAACAAAAGCATAAACTAGAAGTGATAGTTTTGATAATCTTATGCTTAAGTTTTGTTGCAAGTGAGGAGGCTTAAAACATGTAAAATACATTACATGATCTTTTTTTATGAAATAAAAATGAATACTTACATCCGTGGTGGAAATTTTTATTTGAATGCAAGCGATAAACATTTAGTAGGCTTTAGGTCATTAATTACCAGTAAAGACAAGAAAAGTATTTATTGTATAATTATAATAAAATTGACATTCTTTATAAGAGTTCTTGAATTTGAAATATACGACTATTTTATGACATTTTTTTACTAAGGGATAAATCATAACGAAATTCTTGATACTGTAAATAATAATTGTAAATTAAATACAACAAGAAATGTCCACACGAAAAAATCGAAATAAGTAAAGGAAATATGTCTGGATATTTTGGTGGAGGATTAATAGTATGACTTGAAAAGTGGAGAAAAATTCCGCTAGATATTGACAAGATAAACTATAAAAAGAAAATAATTGATTATTTGTCTTAGTGATTTCAGTGGTCAAATTATTTCAACATTTTAAGTTGAAGTTTGATTTGAGAAAAATTAATGGTAGCGAATTTAAACAACAAGAGCCTACATGATGAATAAAATACTGTACTTCTCCAGCAAAAGTTCATCAAAAATGTAAGAAAAAATGATTGCTTCATCTCAAGAATGCATTTATAACTTACCATGTACTTTGAAGTATTATCTTTTTTAAAATCCTCATGAAAACTGAAGTTTGCGAAAAGAAATATCATCATACACGGAATGTAAGCTAAAAGGAGCCCATCTTTTTCCAACAAAGGTGTCATACTAAATAAAGAGAGTTTAATTTATGCCTGCCGCGGGTATATTAATGCATTATGACTATCGAGAGCGGAAGAAATGCTTGCTGCTTCTTAATGCGAGAATAAAATGAATTGTTTCGTACCTAAAACATGCTACGAATAAGAACCATGTAGTTTGTACAGGCTGAAAAGATATTAAGAGGCTCGCAGGTCTGAAAAAAAATTAAACCGGTTATCACGACTTCCAGAAAAACAAAAACATTTGTGACTTACAATGCAGCCAACAAAATAGATTTTTCATGGACTTGAAATGAAAAAAGGAAGAAAACCAAAGAGGAATTTACCTAAATCATACGAACGTTAATTTGATAATACAAGTAATGCGTATAATGTCAAAGTCATAGCAATGAATAAATAAAATTTGTACTAACAAGAGACAACAAGAACGATTTCGATGAAGGACAAAAGGCCAACATGATATTAGATGGGAGAAGTAGAAACAGGGTTGAACTGCCACTGGAAACGAAAGGAATTTATGATTTTATACTACCATAAATTATCGCCAAAAGCAAAGCATGTACAACTTTATTACCAAATTGCCAATAAAGTTGATTGAGAAAATAAATTCTTCAACTTTACAAAAATTGATAAAGAACACCAGACGTTGGCTACTTTATCCTGTAAAGAAAATGTGTGAAATAACATGAATACAATCACACAAAACACAACTTCAAATATATTGATATTAAAGTTATGTGGAAGAAGGAAAGAGCATTTCAGAAAAAATCCTGTCAATTTGATTACAGAATGTTTACACAAACCTCATACAGTCCCCGAGCAAATGGAAATAATCGATGAAGAACTTGAGATGCAAGTTGAACATCAAGTAAAAATGGAAGCCAACTTTAAGATAATGTAAGATATGTTGTGAGCCAAAAAATTATATCAATTTTAAATTGGTTACTGTGAACATACCATATTGCAAACGTTATTATAACTGTTATTCCAAGACAAAATATTTTGTAAAATATTTTAAACCTAAAGAGAAAAAATAATGTGGCAAGAAATAATGACTTATTATAAAGTAAGTAAAACTCACCAAGATATTTCCTTCAAAGCTTTTCCCAATAAAAAACTGAAGAATGGTAAGGCATGATAAAGTTCCATTTGTTTGTAGTTTAGAGCCAAACAAAACATGACTGAGCCAAGCACATCGTTATTCTCGATCACTAACACAACAGCCCATAGTGCAAGACCTAAACTTATGCAGTTATACTTAATTAAAGTCAAGGAATAATTATAGTATGGTTGATAGATGTACGTCTGTGGTATGATTGGTGTGGATAACTGTAGGTCTGTGGTATGATTGGTGTGGATAACTGTAGGTCTGTGGTGTGATTGATGTGGATAACTGTACGTCTGTGGTGTGATTGATGTGGATAACTGTAGGTCTGTGGTGTGATTGATGTGGATAACTGTAGGTCTGTGGTGGAATTGGTGTGGATAACTGTACGTCTGAAATATGATTGATGTGGATAACTGTAGGTCTGTGGTGTGATTGATGTGGATAACTGTAGGTCTGTGGTGTGATTGATGTGGATAACTGTAGGTCTGTGGTGGAATTGGTGTGGATAACTGTCTGAAATATGATTGATGTGGATAACTGTCTGTGGTGTGATTGATGTGGATAACTGTAGGTCTGTGGTGTGATTGATGTGGATAACTGTAGGTCTGTGGTGGAATTGGTGTGGATAAACTGAAATATGATTGATGTGGATAACTGTAGGTCTGTGGTGTGATTGATGTGGATAACTGTAGGTCTGTGGTGTGATTGGTGTGGATAACTGTAGGTCTGTGGTGTGATTGATGTGGATAACTGTACATCTGTGGTATGATTGATGTGGATAACTGTAGGTCTGTGGTATGATTGATGTGGATAACTGTAGGTCTGTGGTATTATTGATGTGGATAACTGTAGGTCTGTGGTGGAATTGGTGTGGATAACTGTAGGTCTGTGGTGGAATTGGTGTGGATAACTGTATGTCTGAAATATGATTGATGTGGATAACTGTAGGTCTGTGGTGTGAAGTACTGGCCTTAGTTGTTTGCTGTGATTGATTTGATTAAAGTCTTCAACATAATGCATATTAAAAAGGATGTTGAAAATGGCCATGATCAATAAGTATCAGTCCAGGTTGCAAGAGCAATGAGAAAAATATTGATATCTAAATTGGTTAAATAGATATAAGAAAAATAGTATTTTCTGGAGATTCAACACTTCAATCTTTCAAAAAATGTCACCTGAGATAATTTTGAATATTTCTTGTAAAATATTGAGCAAAAAGCATATGCCGCAGGAAAATAAATCAACAAATCAGCAGCCAACACTAAAATACACGTAAACCATTAGCATGTATATAAGTATGAAAATATTGTTATATGGAAAAATAGAATGTCAGTTTACCAGTATATCTCATGAACCGTTTATGGTCAGAACTTTCATATCCTTGAGATGTCTTTAACCTAACCCAATCTGGATTAATTTTATATGCACTAAATAGACCACAATGTTAATGAGAACAATAGAATTGTATTCAAACTTATTCATATTAAACTCACTCACATAAAACCACAAAACCAACTGTGATAGGCAGTTAATGGTGGATAATCCAAGCCCCAATACTGCAGATCATTAAAAGTTGAATTGACATACCTAAATATTTGTCATAAAATGCAAGGAGTTATAAAATTAATAACAAATGTTTGATCTAAGACATTTGAATAAACATGCATTTTCATATACCAATTTTTAATAGGCAAATTATATGTTATTTCCATCCAATGACGTTGTGCTTCATAATCACCATACATCGGTGGTTTACCATAACCTACAAAATGTTTAGAATCCACATGCAAAGTTGGTATTATATACCCAAGATCTCAGGTGTGCAATTTTTAGCAAATGGGTAACTATGCATGCAAATTTAAAGTATTTTTGTCTGGTACACAAAAATGGTATAATGCCAAAATTTCATGCACTTTTAACTTCCTGTAGCAACAAATGGCAAAAAATTCTTTATAACAGATATGTAAAATTTGCAATTTAGGAATGGAAAAACAACAGTCAGGTGAACAAATTTTCATGCAATAGCTACATGGAACTTGTGACAGTTTATTACACTGCTTTTTAAATAGTAATCACAATTCAAAAAATGACCTAAATTCAACATTTGAGTTGCTTCAATTAAATGTTTAAAGTTAAACTTACATTAAGTTTAACTTAAATGCTCTAAACTCCAAAATAATTTATACCTGAATACGGGCTCAGTGATACACAAAATCTTACGAATAATGCAATAAGTACACAAATACGTTGAAAAAACCAACAATCATAACGTTCGATTTCTTTTTGTGCACTTTCTTTTTCAGTCATTTTTTTTCCAACTGATTTTGAAATTGCCTTATTTCCATCCATCAAACTGACTTATAGTTAAAATGACATTGTTATAAATGAGATTTTTCTCTCTAAGTCAAAGCTTCTTACTCTGTGCAAAATATGAATACAGCTTTTGCTTTTCTATGTTTTATAATTTCCTTATGGTTAAAACATTTAATTAAAAAAATTCTGTCCTGTTAAGTCAGTTTCAAGGATGCAGTGTAAACCTGAATCCTGAAATTTGAGTGACCTTCAATTGCCTTATAAACCTTAGAGACCTTAGACCATGCCTTAAAAGACGGTTTGCTTAGAGATCAACAAACCAAAATGGTGAAAAGATGGATTGCTCAATGTCTAGTTCTATGCTTAGCTGTTTCAAAGATTCCCTTGACTTTAACCATTTGGACAGTTCGCATTGTTCCAAAATAGACTTTGAATCGAGCTTTTTTAACGGAGTTGTTCTTTCTTACTGGGACAATATACTTGGTCCGAGACTAGGTCATCTTTGGCTGGATGAAGATCATAAATGCTCTGAAGATATGGTTGAATATGTAGTTACACATAATTTGAACGGAGAATTGACGCGCCAAGCGCCACCAAATTCAGTAGACACTAAGGTTTTTATCATAAAAGAACGTGATCTTGTCTTTACATCCTACATATTCACAAGCGTTGCTCAAGGAGCTTGTGATACATTGTATTCACTAGTTTTGTTATTGCCTTTTTCTGCATTGACAAAGTACCTACAAAAACAGGATTTAGTTGATCTGAGAATGAAACTCCTAATTGCAAAGTTAAGATTATTTCAAGAAAAGGTAAGAAAGAGAGATTTGAATCTTTCCTGATTTACTGTTTACTTTATAAACATTACCCATGTCAAGCCATAACTGTACAGCTTCAGGTATTAGCATAAGCAAGATTCTCTAAAATGAAAGTCATTCTGCAATTTTTATTTTATTCAATTTTGCGCTGCCTTTCTCCAATGACTTTACTCACACTTGTTAGATTAGTAATTTTAAAACTACTTGATAAAGTATAAAATCATTTTACTTATATAGGATTATTCAACTTCAATTGAAAATTTCTCAAAATGTTTATATGATCAGATCAAATCATTATCCTTGCTAGAATCATTACCTTTATCAAATACATTTTCAGTAAGTTTTTATAGAGCTTATTCTTCAAATCAAAATATCTGAGAGCAATATATTCAAAATAACTATCTCTAACTGTAATCAAATACTTGCCTATACCTAAATGTTTTATGTCCAGATTTTGTGATTTTGTCTGCATTTAGGTATGGGGAAGTGCCTTTGCTCCTGGAAATCATTCTTGTTTTAATTCAGAATTTCTTGAAAAGTAAGCTTTCAAAATTTTTTTGAGATTATGATTTTTTACAAGTTTTCATTAAGTTTAAATTTGCAGATGTATAATATCACATCTTGAGACGTTTGGTAGCACAGTGGTTGTGGGAAAGGCAATTGATCAAATCAATTTGGTGAGAATTGCAGTTAATCATCAACCTTTACTATGAAAACTCTAAACTCAATGTGTTGTCTGTATAGTCAATGAGTTGTCTGTATTGTCAATGTGTTGTCTGTATTGTCAATATGTTGTCTGTATAGTCAATGTGTTGTCTGTATTGTCAATGTGTTGTCTGTATTGTCAATGTGTTGTCTGTATTGTCAATATGTTGTCTGTATTGTCAATGTGTTGTCTGTATAGTCAATATGTTGTCTGTATAGTCAATGTGTTGTCTGTATTGTCAATGTGTTGTCTGTATAGTCAATGTATTGTCTGTATAGTCAATATGTTGTCTGTATTGTCAATATGTTGTCTATATTGTCAATGTGTTGTCTGATACACAGTTTTTGTACATTACTATTGTTCAATAATTACTAAACTAAATTGGAACTGATCTCTGTTTAGTTACTGTTTCTTTAAAACTATTTCAGATGATGAATACACTTGCATTATTTTTATCCGAGAAAGAACTATGTCAGTCAAGATATCCAACAAGTGATACAAATATTGAATTTGAACCAGATATATTTTTACAATCCATATTGATGGTACGTATGACTGATAGTATCACTTTTCAAATTATTGTCAAATTTTGTATGCTTACAAAGTAAAATGGCTCAGAATTTTGCAGCATCAAAACTCAACTGTGCTCTAAAGTGAAAATTCAAACTTTTCATTTTCTACAAACACTTTTTACAGGAAATATATCCCCTTTTTTATTAAAACTATAAAAATTTACGGTCAAGTTTTTAGATATTTTGTGTGAAATGTAAAACAAAACATGTCATTTGTTATGAAAATCATGTTATGCACAGTGGTAAAAGTTAACTAATCACATGATGATCTAAAGCATTATAAATAGAATATTGCATTTTTAAATTAAACTTTTCACTAATTTCAGATGTATTTGTGGTAACCCTACCAATTTTTTGCAACCCTCCCCTCCCCTCCCATGCAAATGCTGTACAAATATTGTCAATAAACTCGTGACATTTCATACTTAAGATGTGAATTGCTTTTGAGAAAAGACTTATATTTGTACTTTTTCACTGATAAAACACAATGTCTCTAAAGAATATGGTTCAATTTCTTTTCATCATTTTGTCAACCATCTCTCACCATGAAATTTCTTTTCATCTTCAGAAAGAGGATGGAAGTTACTCGTTAAACTCGAAAAATATTTTAACTAGTCGTTTTCCGACAACATTCATCAACCTTGAAGAACAGCGAGTCTCTCAATCCAATTTGCTTGCAGAACATTCATCAACTCGTCATCAATTTTTAAATATTCATTTGGAATCTATATGGAATGACAATGAAGACGCGCCATTATACCCTGTGATGTATGTAGAATTTATGATATTTAGACTGTGACAACACATGAATTTAGTTTGTATTTTTCAAAGGTATAAAAAACGTAAACATCTACACCTAAGTATAAAATGAAGTAAATGTTTTGAAATTCAGAATATCGCTTGATGTTTGTGGAAGTTGATGAAGTGTTAAAGTTGACCATTGCTAAGAAGGTCAAAATGTTTGTCCACAACCATCCTCTCATGGCTCTTCACTTACTTGGAAGATAACTTCTGCAAACTTTTAAATATACTCTCACATTAAAAGCAATTTATTTTGTTGTTGTCTGTTGGACGACAAAGCGAACAACCTGCCCAAATGCCAGCGATTGCGTACATATATTAAGCAAGCAACTTTAGAAATTAAGAATACAAGTCTTCTATCTTTGGAATTTGTTGTATTTTGTATTTCCACCAAAGTGTTGAACATAAAAACTTTGTGACTAGATAGTTCGTCCCTGTAAAAATCTGAACTAAAGTTAACATTTTAAACAGTTCAGTTTGTTTCTTTCGTAAAATTGAAGTCGTTTGTGTTTTCAAACGACTTCAACCATTGTTTGTACGTACGAGGTAAAGCACTCTCGACACAGGACTTCATACATGTTCTTAATTGTGTAGTTTGATTGTATTGCGGGTCAATTTGCGTTATCTAGTAAAATTTTCATCATTAATTGTTTTTGCTAATTTAATGTAGAGGATTGTTTTACAGTATGAATCATGAAAGTGGAATGATTGGGGAATTTTTGAGAGATGTAAGTTTGTTTTCATTATACACTACATCAAAACTATTATTTTCATTTGCACCTTAAAATATTCACAATTCAATGATTAAACTAATTAATACTTGTCAACTTTGTCAAAGCTTAGGTTTAGCAATACATTATTACAATGTTATATCTACAATTTTCTTTCTTTCTTAAGATCCAACTTATTCCAGCGCAGGCTACCATACGTAAGGCGTATATCGCTAACTTTAAGCGTTTAATACGTAGAAAGGCATTGGCTCTTATTAAATATGTTGAAGATATAACGTAAGTTTACTAAACCATCTAAAATAACAATTCTATATACTAGTTCAAATCAATGCAGTGAATATTTAATAAGAGTCTATATTAACTCTTTACATTTCCAACCTTTATTTCAACGGCTGGACTCAATTATTATTTCAACGTTAAATGAGGCTGGGATGTTGATAATCCTTATTTACCTTGAACTTTTTGGTTATTGGGCTCATGATACACGAAAGAAAAGTAGATGTCACAGTTATATTGTGAAATATGTTGGCTAAATTATAAGTGATTAGTCGAAAGGCAGAAGCGTTTTGAAGCTTTGAGAAAAACTCGTGTGGTCAAAATAGAAAAAGATTGAAAATCAAAAACTTCCGTTCAGATCTTGCCTTTCAATGCTTGAGACTTTGAGCACTAGAAAGTTGCATGTTTATGTTTCAATTGGAGATTTTGAAGTCTTCCACGAAACACGAGTGGGTATTTACCAATTTTTAGTCCGTCGTACCACTGTGGTGGTATACAGGCAGAGTACCGTCAGGACTGCAATTTCAAGATTTCAGTTCATTTTAAGGGTAAAACACGTTAGCGATTTGTTATCTGATATTTTTGTTTAGGAAATTTGGTGACGAAAGAATGAAAAGCAGTTTTTTGCAAGAATTAAGAGAACAATTACATTTAAAGATAGATGGCGATTTCTATATTGTTCTCGCGGCTGCCGAAAAACTTCGTCCAAATATTTATTTCTATACGTTGGGAGAGAACGCAACTGAAGCCGTTTATATGAAGGTTCTGGAAGGTTTGTAGTGACAGCAATCATTACATTATGAAAATGGAATAAAAACGTAACATTCAATTTTTGAATCGAAATGTATTTAATTGTATTTTTTTTGCAAAAATATTTTAAATTGATTAGCAATCTATGCTTTTACTTGATTGATGTTCAAACAAAATCCTGTATTGGCGTTAAAAATACCTGTTTACAATTGTTGTTAAAACATGGTATTTATTCGTATGCAAAGTGTTGAATACAATTGTAATATAACAAAATATTACCACTATGCTATTATATGAGTTAAAAAATTATGTTGCTAAAAAGTATTCAAAAAATTATGAGTTGTCGTGCTGTTTAAACCGTTTTTCGTGTTTTTTATTCTTATTTTTACCTTTTTTGTCTGTTTTGTTATTGCTTTTGGTTTTCATATTTTTCAATATTTTATCATCCTCGTTATCGTGTATCATTGTTTCGTTATTTTGTGGCTCAATTAACGAAAAGTAACTGTAAATTTCCAATGAGTCGTCCATGCTCTCGCGTTGCCATCGCCATTGTGTTATACCAAATAACAATGCGATGATAAACGAACCAGAAGCAGCAGCACGAAATGTCCAATGAGGTCCAACAGTATGGATCATGTGACCACCAATTATTGAACCAGTTCCCAATCCCAAACCCCAGTACATACCCTGAAGGATACCTGTGTAAAAAATGCAGATTGATTTTCCGTAAAGGGCAAAGTTTTATTGAATGTCACAGGTTTTATCATGTTTGTTTTTCTTGAAAGCATTAGAATTGAAATGAATGAATGGCTTGTGTCTTTGTCAACACACCTGGATTAAACTGATATATACAAATGGAAAGATTCTAGACCTGCCTTGTATTGTTGTGACGGAGTCTTGTGGTACTGCTTCAGCCAAGTATGACGTGCATGCTGTCCATGAAGCTGCAAATGTAAAACCTGCAAGAAATTCTATAGGTATGGCAAACCAAGGATTGATTATTGTTGAGTATGCAATAAATATTGAACCATAGGATATTAATGATATAAATACTATTTTAATCTGTCCAAATGTTTGTATCAGTTCACTAACAACAAAGAACATTATCAGATCTGCCATGTTGCGTGAACATATTGATATACCCATAAGTGTTTTGGATCCACCAAGATCCTCAAGGAACCACATAAGGAAATTATGAGTCAAACCATGACACATGCCCATAACAAACAGCGGTTAAAAATGATACATAATGTATCGTAAAGACAGTTGAGAAAACACTGTCTTTCCTTTCCTCTGTCATCTTATATTGAAACTTAAAATTAGCTGAAATGACTAAAGTAATTAGCATAAACAGCGTGAACATAGAAAATGATGTAGTGTAGTCAATGAACTCTTCGCCGCATATAACATGACGTGAACGCTCCATTATCATACCAACAAAAAACGACGCTATGCCGTGACCTAACGAACCCCAGAGTCGTTGTTTTCCGTAATGTATTCGATTTTCTCCGAGGTATTCGAGAAGTGATGCGTCTGATAATGGGGCTGAAGGTGTCTCAAGAAATTCCCCAGCTACTATCAAGACTAAAAGAATAACGAATAATCGTTTCATTTCATTATGGTTTGATTTAAAAAGATTCTTCCGCAGCATTTTATATGTGTTGTTTTCATGTTTTGATATTTCGTAACTCTTGCTGAGGTTCAATTTTTGATGAAACAACGTTTTGTTCATTTCTTTATCTTGAGACATATTCTTTTTCAATGGAATTTCAGTATAATTGGGTTTGATGTAATGTCTTTCAGGTCTGTTCATGTTATAATAATGAACATCAGTGGATTTTACACTGCTCATGTTGTTTATGGATGCAAAAAAGTTTGCAAGCTCTTCGCCAGCTAACGATTTGCTTTTTCCGTTCATGTTAAATGGATCAAATACTTTCCTCTCTTTTTCTTCGCTTCTTACTTCCAGTTTATGAAAGGAATCTGACATGAATGGACTGCTCTTTTTTCTCTGTTTGATTTTCGTCGACTTTTTGCGATCGCTTGATCTTGTTAGCAATTTTGTCTTTGGAACGTTTTCTAAATTTGTTCTTTTTTTAATAACCCATTGAATGTTTTTAATTTGTGTTGGCAATTTAACACTTTCGTCGAGTGATCTTTTAAAAAATCCTGTTTTATGTTTTGTATAATTGACGAACACAAGATGGGAATCATTTTCAACTGTATATTCACATATTTCTTCTGTTGGCTCCACAAAAACTAAAGCAATAGTCATAACGAGCCAGGCCATTATTGACATGACAAGTATTGCTTGCCTTTTCTTAAATTTATCTGCAACGACTGTCCAAAACGGAACACTGGCAAGTTGAATTATAGGCCTAATGCCCACAAGTACACCTACAGCGACAGCAGATAGTCCAATTTGTCGAAAATAAATCGGAAGATAAGGGTTTATTGCTCCTAAAGCTGCAAAATAAAAACAGTAAAAAGACTTGTAAATGAGCAGGTCTTTGTTAATCCGCCATGAAGCATCCGGCATCCTTTATAACATGCCAATTTAACGGTCAGTTATTCTGTAATCATGATCATACTGATAAATTTATTGATGAAATACGTTTCTGGCTGTTATCGTTTTTGTTGTCGATCAGAACATTAGTTTATGGAATTATCAGGCAGTCTTCAATATCTGTCGAACCAAACATATTGCAGGTAGCCTTTAGCAATAAGTGTAATCTTGGCAGGTTGCGTTTTGCCGCAACGACAATACAATGGCAAGAGTTATTCTAAATCTTTTTTCGTTTAAATGATATACATGGGAATTTTGTTATTATGCATTCTTATACATTTATAAATTTACAATTTTTTATTCACTGTTAGCCTACACTTTATTGTTAATAAATCCCGCTAAATGTTTGTGTTTAAACCTAACTTTGTTTTGGTTTGTAGTATTATTAATTTATAAATCGCCAATCACACATTACAAGAACTTTATTGACAAGCAGGCAGTTAAATCTGATGTAAAAGTCAAGAACCTACTTCTTTGCTGGTTTACAACTCTTCAATACTCTTCATTTTAACTTTTTCATTTTACAACCAACACACTCAATACATCACTGATGATCACTGTGATGATTTCTAATTATTGCAAAACATGATATGAGTCGAGTCGATCTTTCACTTACATAATGTACATTTAACAAAAACATATTAAAGGGAAACAAACCTAGCAACGATTTTTCTAATGCTATATGACTAAGCGATGGCAATGTCCACACCTTCCAATAAAACTGAGGCACATTTAGCCAACTACCAAGCCCTTGGCACGGAAAATGCCTTTGGTTTGTGTTACTTGCCATTTTCTTAATAACTTACCAAAGATTGTGAGGTTTTCTTAATGGTACGTCCGACTATACATTGCTTAAAATAAATTTTTATAGGCATTCCTTATTAACGTCAATAGTTTTCGTATTATTGTTGAAAACATGTTTCGACAAAACATGTTTCGACTTAAACAAAAAGAATGATAGCACAACGCTATAACCAACAACTACAAACAATAACGACCTTATCTAACAACATTTGAGAAATTAACCTTCCACTCCTCTTCCTTGTAAACGAGACAAGTCTACTCAAAAGCAGAGAGCCTTATACGCTACAAGTCCCGGGCTTGTGACCGGTATAGCAGAGTTAAAAGGTGAAAGGTTTATCATAGATTAATCAACTGAATATTCCTGCTCATTTTTTGTTTGGAAGCATGTTGAACCAGAGCCCTCTATAGTATAAGAGTTGGGACATCTATTGTTATCCGTTTAGCTTACGTTGATTGGGCAATATTGATCACCTGATCAATTTCCGCCATTTTGGTTCTAGTTTTGAAATTTTAGCTTGTGTTTATATAGCAATTGCTGCTAGTAATACAGTATTTTGAGATAATATTGCGTTTTTTTATGGATAAGTGTGTAATAACTGATTGTTGAAGGCTACTAAATGTCATTACATATCGCATAAATCGAGGATTACGAAAAAAATGAAAGAAATGCCTTTACGTCGAACTTACGAAATTTGATTGCGTATGGTGATTGTTGTGCTGAACTGCTTTTGATATAAGGTTCAATTAACTGACTCAAGTAGAGAAACATTTTTGGGCCAAATAACATTGCAAAGTTCGTGCTCATGCAGTTTCAATAGTTTTCTTACTCCAAAGCTTGTTTTTTAATCAAAGATGATTTCTCATTATGTTCTGAAATTGGTCAATCTACAAACCTCTCAATTCTCAGCCACTTCCATACTAAAACAACTACACCAAATCACAGAAACTCTTACGATTTTCCATGTTGTATTTTGTATTTTTAGTTCATCATTTAAAATGAAGTAATTATAATTAGGATATTCAATGAAATTGAGTACAATATATTTTGGTATTGAATTGTACAAATGTACCCTACTTCTGTAGCTCAAAGTAGAACATTACTCTTCTAGACTTGTTGATGATATTTTAATTGTAGGTTTTGGTTTATAAGATCACAGAGGCATATCTCCATAATTTCAGCTATTTGGGCTTTATAATGTATATTACAACTGTTGCTGCCTTTCTCATATATATTAAAATATTGCTGGCTTTCTGATATATATTTAGGTGCTGCTAGCTTTTTGATATATATATTTCACTGGCAATACAAGGCATAGAATTTGAACAAACGGGGCTGAGCTCCCCTCCAACACACCCCCTGTTTGATCATTAAACACATATAGAAGTTTTGTCATTCCTCAACCAATAAATTTAACTCTTTGCTAAATTAAAGATTGGATCAGACTCATATGCTGTATAAAAGACTACAAACAGTAGCATTTATAGCAAACAGACTGTTCTTCAACAACAGAAATGTTTCATATTATAGAAATAATATATTCATTTTAAAGAAATGCTTCACCAAAATTTTCAGCAGAATCCCTAACAAACTTTATTAGAAATAAACTTTAATACTTTATAAAGTGATAAAGGCGAAATAACTTCATATACAGGAATAAAACGTTTAAGGTCAAATGCATCTTGGTCAAATCATTGCATATTTCAATAACTAAAAAGTAAAAAAGTCTGTCATTTTCTGCTGAGCAAGAAAATTTTGTGATCTTTCAGAATAAAAAATATCATGCTTGGATTAAATTGGGGGGCATAAATCACTCACTACCATTAAATTGTTACAAATCTTGAACACAAATCTCTCCGGACCAAATCTGCATGATTACTATGATTCAAAGATTCGAACAAAGTCTTGTCCAAGTATTTGATAACACTGATGCCAGGATAACATTGCCGCTTGCCACCAAGCTTAAAGATCTTGAAAACTTGTTACAGGGTCGGAACATAAGCCGAGAAAACACGTTAACGTACGAAAAATACTTCTTACAATGGGTCACGATCAATTTGAAGCACGAACTAGTAAACCGCAAACGAAGATCAAACCAATGAAATTAAATCAGGTCTGCCGCAAATCGTTAAAAAAACGCAAAGAGCTTGCTATTATTCCTAACATATTTGATACTACCATGGAATAAGCTTAAATTGCTTTCTTCTTTTGCATATAAACCCAATTTCCAATAGCATTATTATAGTTTCACTTTGCAAGTAGGAACCAAAATGGCGGCTCCGCGCTCGCCCCAGACCGTTTGTCCCAACTCTTATACTATAGAGGGCTCTGTGTTGAACAGTTCATATGGACAAAGCTCGAATTCCATATTAAATATCAGTAACATAATCCGGTGTTAATGTTAGACAATACATCATTGCCCTTCAGTGAAAGCATCCCGCTTTCCACTGGAAAAGAAAAATTATGAAAAAAAAAAGAAAAAGATTATGTTATGTATGTTAAAGATTAAGTTATGTTAAAGATTATGTTAGATTATGTTGGAAAGTTTATGTTACTGATATTTAATATGGAATTCGAGCTTTGTCCATATGAACTGCTCGACATGCTTCCAAACAAAAAATGAGCAGGAATATTCAGTTGATTAATCTATGATAAACCTTTCACCTTTTAACTCTGCTATACCGGTCACAAGCCCGGGACTTGTAGCGTATAAGGCTCTCTGCTTTTGAGTAGACTTGTCTCGTTTACAAGGAAGAGGAGTGGAAGGTTAATTTCTCAAATGTTGTTAGATAAGGTCGTTATTGTTTGTAGTTGTTGGTTATAGCGTTGTGCTATCATTCTTTTTGTTTAATAACATTCCAACTATTTAACCTTATGTTTCGAATTGTTATTTCTTTTATCGAAAAAATAAAAAATCACTGGAAGAACTATGAAATGAAAGTTTATTTCATTATTCATTGAATGAAGAAAGTAAAAATACAATCCATCAAGAGCTTTCGACTTTTAATAAACACCAGATTTAAATGTATTGTCAACAAGCGGCTCCACAAAAACAGCAAGCATTCGGGACTCATTCAAATTGACCGAAATTTTATCGGGATTAAACTTCTTGGAATAAACTGGAAAATCTACAGGTGGATGGCAGCCTGCATGGACAATTTTCTCACCAGTTTTTTTAAATTTTCCTGGAAGTATATTCTGGTAACGAGAGTCGATTGCTATGTATACTATCGCTGGTACATTAATCAAAAAGGAAAACGAACGTTCGTCGTTTAAAAGACGAACATGTGTTAGTCCGTAAAATCGCGGAGGAATATCAGTCATTTTATAACAATCCCGATTCGTGCTGAATTTTTCTCCATCATAAATCATGCTTAGTTCAGCATATGATGAAGTGAGAAGGACAATTTTAAGTTCAGCTGCTGGTTGAACTAGTCGAGCATCACGAATAAAAACACCTGTCATTCGCGAAGTCGTGAAATTTATTGTAACTTTGCCAGGACCAAGAATTTGTTTTCTTTTGTAAATGATGAACGGTGTTCGTGTATGACAACCACCTAACATTATTTTTTCGTGGGTATTCTCATATGCCTTGCCATGAATGTAGGAGTAACGGGAGTCAACAGCAAGGTAAACAATCACAGGAACATCAACATAAAATATAAATGGACCTTGCTTATGGTTCAAACCTCTTACGTGTGTCATTCCATGATATTTTGGTTGAACATCTTCCCAAGCATAACATTTTCTGTTCGTTGCATACTTCTCTCCTTGTCTTAACATGCTGATTTGCTTTCCACCATAGTTAGTCACAGAGAGACTAAAACTGGTACAAAATAATCCCAGTAAGATGATGGCTGATGAAACAATTACAATCAATCTCATTTTTCTCTAAGTTTAGAAGAAGAAAACTATGCTTTCATGTGTTGATGTCCTTAAACGTTATGAAATAATTGTTGAAGAAGCCAAAGTTTAAATGTTGCGGATTTCCGTTTCAGCAACAATTATATAAGGTATATTGTTTATTCTCTTTCGTCACTGTTCTACGTCACAAGGAAGTCATGTAAGATAGGGCGCGCGGTATCAAGATCAGTTCGAGCGTAGATTTCACCAATCGTCAACGAGAAGCTCGCCTCAATTTATCAACCAGCGTTGGCTAAATAAGCTGAGTGACGAGCAATTGAAGGAAAAACAGGCTAAATATTTTAGGTCTAAGAACTGCGATCGCCTTATAGCACCTAAGGTAAACCCCGAAATTTGGGGAAAATTAGACCGAAAAGCTAGACATCTGATGCGCGATATATTTTTTGCTACTTTGACCAGCAATATTGTGATACATCACACAACATCACACTATCACACTCGAATGACGTAATGTCCGCAGTGTCGCATTCGTCTTTCTCCCGAAAATACTCGATGAAAACTCTCCTCACTGACAATTTAACCCATTCTGTTTATTTTTACGTCTTAATACTCAATAATTCGAGCGAAAACAGTTTGCAAAACGCTTGCAAATATCGAGCAAGTGTCTGTCATTATACTTTTTTATTTACAATTTTGCATGAACAATTATATAATATGTCACCTATAGCAGTGTAGCTAGGTTCTTAGCCAATTGCAATCGAGATTGCATAAGTGTTTTGGATCCACCAAGATCCTCTAGGAACCACATAAGGAAATTATGAGTCAAACCATGACACATGCCCATATAACAAAAGGCGGTTAAAAATGATGCATAATGTATCGTAAAGACAGTTGAGAAAACACTGTCTTTCCTCTCTTCTGTCATCTTATATTGAAACTTAAAATTAGCTGAAATGACTAAAGTAATTAGCATAAACAGCGTGAACATAGAAAATGATGTAGTGTAGTCAATGAACTCTTCGCCGCATATAACATGACGTGAACGCTCCATTATCATACCAACAAAAAACGACGCTATGCCGTGACCTAACGAACCCCAGAGTCGTTGTTTTCCGTAATGTATTCGATTTTCTCCGAGGTATTCGAGAAGTGAAGCGTCTGATAATGGGGCTGAAGGTGTCTCAAGAAATTCCCCAACTACTATCAAGACTAAAAGAATAACGAATAATCGCTTCATTTCATTATGGTTTGATTTAAAAAGATTCTTCCGCAGCATTTTATATGTGTTGTTTTCATGTTTTGATATTTCGTAACTCTTGCTGAGGTTCAATTTTTGATGAAACAACGTTTTGTTCATTTCTTTATCTTGAGACATATTCTTTTCAATGTAATTTCTGTATAGTTGGGTTTGATGTAATGTTTTTCTGGTCTGTTCATGTTAAAATAATGAACATCAGTGGATTTTACACTGCTCATGTTGTTTATGGATGCAAAAAAGTTTGCAAGCTCTTCGCCAGCTAACGATTTGCTTTTTCCGTTCATGTTAAATGGATCAAATACTTTCCTCTCTTTTTCTTCACTTCTTGCTTCCAGTTTATGAAAGGAATCTGACATGAATGGACTGCTCTTTTTTCTCTGTTTGATTTTCGTCGACTTTTTGCGATCGCTTGATCTTGTTAGCAATTTTGTCTTTGGAACGTTTTCTAAATTTGTTCTTTTTAATAACCCATTGAATGTTTTTCATTTGTGTTGGCAATTTAACACTTTCGTCGAGCGATCTTTTAAAAAATCCTGTTTTATGTTTTGTGTAATTGACGAACACAAGATGGGAATCATTTTCAACTGTATATTCACATATTTCTTCTGTTGGCTCCACAAAAACTAAAGCAATAGTCATAACGAGCCAGGCCATTATTGACATGACAAGTATTGCTTGCCTTTTCTTAAATTTATCTGCAACGACTGTCCAAAACGGAACACTGGCAAGTTGAATTATAGGCCTAATGCCCACAAGTACACCAACAGCGACAGCAGATAGTCCAATTTGTCGAAAATAAATCGGAAGATAAGGGTTTATTGCTCCTAAAGCTGCAAAATAAAAACAGTAAAAAGACTTGTAAATGAGCAGGTCTTTGTTGATCCGCCATGAAGCATCCGGCATCTTTTGTAACATGCCAATTTAACGGTCAGTTATTCTTTAATCATAATCATACTGATAAATTTATTGATGAAATATGTTTCTGGCTGTTATCGTTTTTGTTGTCGATCAGAACATTAGTTTATGGAATTATCAGGCAGTCTTCAATATCTGTCGAACCAAACATATTGCAGGATTGCAGGTAGCCTTTAGCAATAAGTGTAATCTTGGCAGGTTGCGTTTTGCAGCAACGACAATACAATGGCAAGAGTTATTCTAAATTTTTTTCCTTTAAATGATATACATGGGAATTTTGTTATTATGCATTCTTATACATTTATAAATTTACAATTTTTTATTCACTGTTCGCCTACACTTTATTGTTAATAAATCCTGCTAAATGTTTGTGTTTAAACCTAACTTTGTTTTGGGTTGTAGTATTATTAATTTATAAATCGCCAATCACACATTACAAGAACTCTATTGACAAGCAGGCAATTAAATCTGATGTAAAAGTGAAGAATAATTTGTAGCTACACGTGCAGAATTTTGAACACGGGAGTTAGACGTCAAAACTAAAATTGTTTTTACTTTATTGGAGCCTATACAACATCTCTTTAAAACTGTAATACTATGTTGTACATACAACATCTCTTTAAAACTTCAATACTATGTTATACTACTTATAATTTTATTGATTCAATGGGTACATTGAAAAGTAAAGTAACTCCCCTAAAACATTACTTTAGGGTGGTGAAACTGCGCAATGGCATGCTGCGCATAGTCTTTAGACTTAAAAAAAATTATTATATGTTTGATTCTGTGTGGCTTATGTGATGAAATGATTTCATTTAAACCTTATGGAAAACTGAAAAGCTGAACACAACGAATGGCTTGCAAAAATCTGAAAAATAAGGAGCTTTTTCAAATGCTTGGAAGCCCAACATGAAAGAATAAACAACATTTATTTCTACACATTTCTCTAAATTTGGCAAGCTGCGAACGTATATTACGACAATTTTCTCTGGGGAAAGGACTTTTTGTCCATTTATTGTAGCTATGTGTTGACCAAGCAAGCATTTAAAAGTTGTGTGGTGTTAGGAACAAAACTGCTCAGTTGCTTTTTGCTATTTTTTGTCGGGTTTTCTTTTAACTGCATTTTGTCGAAGTGAAGAGTCTGCTCATTAATTCAAAAATTTGGTTGTATGTAAGACCTTCCGTTTAATAAAAAGCCTTAAACGTTGAATAGTTTTCGTATTATTGTTGAAAACATGTTTCGACAAAACATGTTTCTAATTGTTATTTCTTTTATGGAAAAAATAAAAAATCACTGGAAGAACTATGAAATGAAAGTTTATTTATTTATTTACACATTGAATGAAGAAAGTAAAAATACAATCTACCAAGAGCTTTTGAATTTCAATAAACACCAGATTTAAATGTATTGTCAACAAGCGGCTCCACAAAAACAGCAATCATTCGGGACTCCTTCAAGTTGACAGAAACTTTACCGGGATTAAACTTCTTGGAATAAACTGGAAAGTCTACGGGTGGATGGCAACCTACATGGACAATTTTCTCACCAGTTTTTTTAAATTCTCCTGGAAGTATATTCTTGTAACGAGAGTCGATTGCTACGTACACTATCGCTGGTACATTAATCAAAAAGGAAAACGAACGCTCGTCGTTTAAAAGACGAACATGTGTTAGTCCGTAAAATCGTGGAGGAATATCAGTCATTTTATAACAATCCCGATTCGTGCTGAATTTTTCTCCATCATAAATCATGCTTAGTTCAGCATATGATGAAGTGAGAAGGACAATTTTAAGTTCAGCTGCTGGTTGAACTAGTCGAGCATCACGAATAAAAACACCTGTCACTCGCGAAGTCTTGAAATTTATTGTAACTTTCCCAGGACCAAGAATTTGTTTTCTTTTGTAAATGTTGAACGGTGTTCGTGCATGACAACCACCTAACATTATTTTTTCATGGGTATTCTCATATGCCTTTCCATGAATGTAGGAGTAACGGGAGTCAACAGCAAGGTAAACAATCACAGGAACATCAACATGAAATATAAATGGACCTTGCTTATCGTTCAAACCTCTTACGTGTGTCATTCCATGATATTTTGGTTGAACATCTTCCCAAGCATAACATTTTCTGTTCGTTGCATACTTCTCTCCTTGTCTTAACATGCTGATTTGCTTTCCACCATAGTTAGTCACAGAGAGACTAAAACTGGTACAAAATAGTCCCAGTAAGATGATGGCTGATGAAACAATTACAATCAATCTCATTTTTCTCTAAGTTTAGAAGAAGAAAACTATGCTTTCATGTGTTGATGTCCTTAAATGTTATGAAATTATTGTTGAAGAAGCCAAAATTTAAATGTGGCGGATTTCCGTTTCAGCAAGAATTATACAAGGCATATTGTTTATTTGATATAGTAAAAATAGTCACGAATGCGTGCATGTAGATGTAGCATGTTAATCATTTAGGCATAATAATATATCAAACAATATTATACATTTAATATTTTTTCATTAAAAATCTTCGAGATTTTAAATTGTGCGTTTTACTGATCAGTTAAAAGCACCCTATAAGTGTCAATTAAACCCCTTTTGCTTAAATTGTTGGAAGTGGATCGAGTCCTTAAAAATTAAGATTTCTTACAAATTTTAACGATAAATTTATTCATTTTTAAAGAAAACAACTTTTTTGCTATATTTCTATATCATCAACATGACTTGTCTTTCAAAGCATTTTTCTAGCGTACATGAGAGATCATTCTCCAACGCTTACAACATGTATTTCTTTACATTTAAACAACCCATATGCATTATTGTTTTTGGTCAATACCAGTGATAATATATTCTTTTGTGTTTGACCTCCAACATGGCAGATGAAAGCTCAAAAACAGTTTGAGTTCGACAGTCACGGATTATAGTTTGACACGTATCGTATTTTAATTGTCATTTTGACGTGATTTAAGATAAATCCACGCAGATATTTACTTTCAACCTTTATGTCAAAAACTACGAACCAGCATTTGTATGAAATCTTGTCTTTTGAGGCTTTAGTTTTTAGTATTGTAAAATCGATAAATGTGTACTTCCGCATGATCATTTCACTAGAGGTAAAATGTGGCAATATCATACAACTACACTAATTTCATCTATGAACGTAAACCGGAGCGTTCACACATTGACATGGCAAGTATTTCATTGTATTCCTAGAACGACGTACATGTACAATGTGTTTAGATAAATAATATTGGTTATGCACTACAACTCTTAATACTTTAAACTTCTATTACAATGCACAAATGAGCAATCAAGACGCCAAGGATGACCAAATTATAGCAATTGCGTCTAACCATAAAAAAATCGCATGTAAATTTGCACAATATTGTTATGCCTTATATCTGATAAACGCTCTCCGAACTGAAACCATGTATGTGTTTATTGAAGACTTCGACTTGGACTGTCGGGCTGATAGTTTATACCTTCAGACCTTCCTGATGTTTTTGTTTTGTTCCAAAAGTGTTACAACAGGCAACACTTATTACTTGTGCAGTTTAAGCAATTGCTTCGATAAAAACTGCAAAGATTGAGTAATGTCTTTTATGTAATGTAGTAATAGTCTTTGTTAAAAAATTTTTGAAAAATAACTACTGTCCTGGCCAATCTATTCAACTTTTTCGCCAATAATGCAATGTTCGTTTGCGTTATCGTTGTCCTTTCTTGGCATCAACTTTTTGTCTTCCTCAATTGACATATCTGCTGAGTCATCATATTTCTTGACCAACCATTGTGAGACAACAAAATACAAAGTAACCAACACAGTAGCAATACCACCCAGACGGTAGGCTAACACTATGCCATAATGGTTGATCAATACCCCTCCAAGAATAGCGCCAATACCTGTTCCTAGCCCCCAGTAAATTCCTTGCAAGATACCTTGAAAAATTTGAAAGAAAATTGTTCTGTTTTGAAACACTTTGGTCACACATGCACAATGCAATAATGAAAAATATTAAGTGCATTACAAAAGAGAGAATAAAATTTCGGCCATAAAAGAAAGATTATCAATACACGAATGACTACAAAAGTAGTATTCTACAAAATATAACTACCATATAGCTACTAAATATGTATTTGACAATATAATGATTACATTTGGCCTATTTTAATCTTTATCGTGCTTGAAAAGTTTCATATATCATGATTATTAAACAAGAAATAAACATACTTTGCATGGTAGCTGCTCCATCATCAGGCGTCACAGAAGACAAGTATACAATGCAAGTTGACCAAGAGATGGCATAAACTAAGCCTTGTAGTATTTCTAAAGGAATCACCAACCATGGATTAAAAAGGTACGAGTAGCCAAAAAATATAAAGGCAAAAAACAATAGCGACCAAAAGACAGATGTCAACTCTCCAAGCTTGTTGATTACCATTCCAGAGCAAAAGAATCCTACAATTACTGCTGTAGCTCTGATGGTTGTTGTCATACCCATCATAAACTTCGAAGCCCCAAGATCTTCTAAATACCAATTAATAAATGTTACTTGACCACCATTACAGGTTCCCATAAACCAAACAGTTAGCAGGAATGTTGCGTACTTTGGCGACGAACAAAGTTTATAAACTTCCAAAATACTTGAAAAGCTTTTTTGGGATTCTTCGTTGTACTTGAATGAAAAAAGCGCAAGTACAAAGATTAATCCAATTACCATGAATACGACGAAGAAATAGAAAATGACCATATAATTGTTCATCTCGTGACCACAATATACATATCTCGTTGAGTCAAGAACAGCACCAACACCAAATGATGCAAGGCCATAACCCATTGAGCCAAAGCAACGTGTTTTTCCATACTCGTGACATTTATCACCAAGTTTTTGAATTAATGCTGTGTCAATCATTATAAACGAAGGTGCTTCAAACACCTCACCAACAACTATTAAAATAAGAAGTACGTAAAACAAGTATTTAATCTCATATGGATCATGAATGATGATTTCAGTTCTAACATTTTCTTGATAAACATCAGAAAATGTAATAATAGTGGATTTTTTGTTTGCTAAGAGACTTTCTGAGGCAGCGGTTGATATTGGAGCTAACGGGAGTCCTGGGTACGACGGAGCCCGTGGAATATTTCGTTTCTGAATGAAATGATTTGTTGAATTTAGAACATGACATTTTGTTTTCTTTTCATGTGGAAATGCCAAAGCTAAAGTGAAGACAATCCAAGCTATGACTGACATACACAACACAACCTTTCTACATCGATATTTATCAGCAATATATGCCCAGATTGGTCCACTAACAAATTGCACCAGAGGTCTTATTCCTGATAATGTACCAACATGCGAAGCTGTCAGTCCAATTTGTTTGAAATAGATTGTCAAGTATGGAAATGTTGAACCAAACCCGGCAAAAAACAAAAAGTAGAATGCTTTGTAAGTAAGTAATGTTCGGTCTGGTTTTCTTGATTCGCCCTTTTCAATTTCAAGTGTCGAATCTTCCTCTTTCTTTGCGTCTCCTTTTCCATTACAATCACTATTTTTTCCCTTTTCTACTGTTGAACATATCTTAGAATTATCTTTGTTCATTACTCCGAATTCATTTCACAGTTAGACCTTTTTCTTCTATGGTGAATCTATTATTTTGAGTGCTATTAAAACGGTAAATGCCATCAATACTGACCAATAATTTTCTTTTAATTGACGCGCAAACAGCTTTAATAATTCTTCACTTTATCCAGAGACCATAAACAAAGGTACAATAAAGTTAAGATGAACATCTGTTTTTCATAAATCCCGTATATCACTGAAGTGTGAAGTATAAACACTCCTAATAAATGCCTACATGCAAATCCTAACAAAAATACAGGTGGCGTTTTTGTTTTTATTGATCGCTCTAATACATTTCAAAACACATAAAAAACAGCTCAAATCTTGATACGTTAATAAGCAGACAACCTGGTATCAGTTCTATACTATACAAAAGTTGAATTTCAAGACAGCTGGTGAACTTTTTAATGTGCATGCAATGGTTTCGAAGAATGGCCATTTTCTTTATATATTTCTTTATGAGGTTTGTTTAAGTAAGAAAAGAATAAAACTTTTGCAAATGCATTGTTCCAAAATCAAATTATAAAGATTGTGAGAATAGTAATTGAATCAATTGTTTCATGGAAACTTCTCTGGTCAACTTTTCTGATCTTTCTAGTGAAATATTCTTTCATTGAACTTCAGAATAAGCTAATGTTTTAAGAAATTTGTCACATTTTTAAACAATCTACAAAATCCTAAGGATCTTTGACATTTTATGTTAAAGAGAAACAAAGCATGAAAATAACTCATTTATTATTTAATTTTAAATAAACAATTTCATACTACAAATTTCTACACATGAATAAATTCTTTCACTATACAATCTATTTAGTGTTAAGATCAATTTGAATTTGATTTTATGTCATACAATTTTGTAAGACAAACCTTATAACTTAATATTACATCATTTGTAGAACTCAAGATTGGATTTACTCAACAATCGACTAATGAAACTTAATTCTAGTTTATCATGATTTCATGTCCGAGAACATGAAAAAACTATCTTTTGAAAAAGGCAAAGTAGTTATTTTGGTAAAACGCTTCAATTGTCATTCAATTCTGATTCCTTCAAAACGAGGGAATTTTCAGGCATTGATGATATTTCATTTGTAATATTGTCTTCTCCTTCACTTTCTTCGCATTGACTATTATGGCGGTGTTCCTCGGAAATGCTATTTTCTGCTGGATGCACGGACGAGTTGTTTGATTTTAAAGGGTTTAGTAGCTTTTTGTCATCTTCCTGACTGTAAGAACTCTCATTTCCATCTTCTTGGGAGAGATTGGAATACTTTGATATCAGCTGTGTAGCAAGAAATACTGCCAACACAACACCTGTTGCAACAGCAAATGCACGAAATGTTGATTTAAATCCAAATACGTGCGATAGATAACCTCCAACGATCGTACCTCCACCAGTTCCCAGGCCCCAATATACGCCCTGCAGAATCCCTACAATGAAACAAAAACTATTTATTTTTGTTGCAAACAAACACCAGTGACATTAAGATATCACATCTACTTGTTACCAGGCCTATACATTGGTGAAAGAGCTCACTAAAGTTTACTTTTCTTATAGTTACTCTTACATTTGACTGTTTAGCTTCAGATATAGTGACAACTACTATTATGGTGACAGTTAAGCTTAAGTGTGGTGAAAACTACATAACCCCTACAATAATGAAATTCAACATGCATAAACAGACGACGTCAACTCAATGTAATCCTACCTTGTACAGTAGCACTTGAGCCAGCTGGAGCTGCTTTGTTAAGATAAGAGATTGATGATGACCAAACAAGAGCATAGGCACCGGCATGTAGCACCTCTATGGGAACTGCGTACCAGGGATTTGTAATACATGAATAAGATAGGAACGATGCAATGTATGCAACTAAACTGAGCGTGACGGTATTAAGATGACCCAAGATGGCGATGATTTTTCCTGCAAAAAAGAAACCTAACACATCCATGACACTCTTGCAAGCAGTTGCAGTTCCCATGACAATAGCAGTTCCACCAAGACTATCAATGAACCAGTTGACGAAGTACAAAAGAAAACCATAACATACACCAGCATAAAATGTAACAAAAAGAAAAATACCATAATGGAAGTTTAGCAAGGCGCTTTTAACTGTACGATGAACATGGTCATTGCGATCATAACTAAATTCAAAATGTGATCCAAACAGTAATCCGAGGTACATGAATCCAAGGTAGAAATAGAATATGACATAATACGAGCCTGCAGTTACGCCACAGTAATTAAAGGTCACGTGATTAATAGTAAGACCTACAATAGGTGACATCACTCCCCATCCTGCTGAACCCCATAATCGATAATAACCGTAGTTTTCACTACCAAGGTTGTCAAGACATGAAGTATCTGCCAACGTAAATACGGCAGCGTCAAATGCATCGCCACAAACTACAAGTAATAATAACCAAAAAAATATCCTAGTAGATTCATCATTGTTGTAAATTATTTTGTACTCTGTTGTAGTGCCGTTTGAACTTTTTATCAATGTTTTTTCAACATCAAATGAAATCCTCGCTTTGTAGACTACATCAGTACTATTTTTAGTAAGATCTTGTAGCACAGATCCTTTCCATAGATCTATATTATCACCAAACATAGACCGTTTGAAGATGTTGTGTTTTATTAAATATGTCTCATTCTTAAATGCTTTTGAATGATTGAAGTAGGTAACGACGCAAGTGGTGTTTTCAGGACGAAATAAAACAAATAACATCGTCTTAACAGTCATGACAATGAAAGCAAATAGGAAAATTATTTTTCGAACTCGTAATCTATCACCTAAAACTCCCCAAAACGGTGCTCCTATACTCTGCATCAGTGGTCTTGCACCATTCAGGAGTCCAACGTGCATGGCATTGAGTCCAAGATATTTGAAATAGACAGGAACATAAAGCAGAAACGTGATATAGCCAGCGTAGAATACAAAGTAAAATGCTTTGTATAACATCGATATTGGTTGAAAACATTTCGGTGTATTCATCTTGATGAGAGATGACGAAGTAGGATCGACAAACTTATATTTTTCTTGCACACAAACTAATTTGCTGCGAATACAGTTGTGTTGATGTGTCGATGCTGGACAATATCTAGTGTGTTGATGTCGCACAGTAAGCCACAGTAAAAATAATGTTTTGTTTGGCTTTGTTATTACAAACCACGAATAAAGAATAGTCTTTTGGTGTTTGTAAAAGCAGAAGCCTTCTGAGACAGACAGTACATTACCTTTCACAAGACGCAGTACAAACGGTTTCAAAGAGCTGCGTGTTTTTATCAAGACGTTTATATTGCCATAGATATTTACATCCTTAACAACTATTTACATTTCAAGTTTAGAATTATTTCAAGCCCACGAAATTTGCATAAACATTATGTGTTTAATATGGTGCAAAAGTTTGAATGGCAGGAAAAACTTTCATTTAGTTACTGCACTACGGTTTTCTATTGTATTTCTGTAAAAAATAAGCTTTGTTTGTTGAAAATTTCATATTTTGCAACGATATTGTACAGAATATTACAATTACGAGAGTGTTAAACAACCTATTTTCAATTTTACCCTTGCATGGCGAACATTTCTCCGTTCACTCACAAAACAATCGAATTCAAATTTACATATGATAGTATAATAAAACTAGCTGCTGGGCAACTCCACTCGTTGTTCGTGCGTCGCTTTATATTTCACTCACAGCAAATTTCAGCTAGATCGAGGTTTCGATATTAGTTCGATCACTTCTATGTTTTGATATGAATGGTACAAAAATATGTTATACAATTCCAGCAGATTTCATTATGTTTTGCAGTCATATGGAGTTTAAGATAAAAGTGTTAATTAATTAAAGTTTTTTTGTTTTTTTCTGTGCTAATGCTTTTGTTTGTGCTCATTCAACCTCTTCTTTCTCTTCTATTTCCATGTTTCATTATCTTAACCTACGACCAGGTGTTGCAATTTTCACAAAAATTTCTTCGAAGGGATTGCAAACATGGCGGAATACTGAGACTGAGAGTTTTTAAAGATCTTATGGCTATTCGAAGCCGTTTTCGGACTCTCCTTGGTCTAGAGGTGAGTCTTATATTACATTGCATTACAGTAGAAGTAATTTTTACTTTTTAGTTATATTAACATATGAAAGCAATTATAAGAACTAAGCATTTCGGCAAGCACGAACGGAACCTGAATTTTGTCAAAAATTTGAAAGTTTGATCGCTATAATCATGTATTTTATGCTACTCATTTAGCATGCAAGGAAAGACGAAGAAAATGAAGTTGTTGAAGAAAGCAATGCTGCAACTGCAGTGTTTAAGGTGCTGATCAACTTTATATTGCTTCAATGGTCAAAGATGCTCACGTCGAGTCAGGCGTTGGAGTACAGGCTGAGAAAGAAAATTTATTTGTTTTTAACTTTTCTCTCGGTTCTTTCTTTCTTAATATTTGTTTTAACAATTATAGGCATGATGTGTTAGTTATCTTGCCAGTTATTGTCACATATTCTTTTTCATAGACACATTAAGTCAAATGTATTAAATAACTTGTCATTTTCAAATTCCATTCATATACACACATCCAAATATGTGCTTATACTATTACTTTAATGCTACAATTCCTCCACTAAACATTATATGTGTGGATAGCATTTGTATATGCATGTATATTCAAAATGTTAGTTTTTAAGAAAAGAATCATTATGTGGATTTCTTCACATTTACTATTGGAATTGTCTTAATAATCATCAGTTAAAAAGATTTGTTGCATAGAGTTCATTTTGTTTATATATCTATAATTCAAATGACTATGTGTGATGTTTAATGTTTTAGGAAGGAGAAAGAGAATTTGAAAATGATCCTTTAAGTAATGAAGAGGTTAATGATTGATTTTGTTTGACTATGTTTGTGATTTTATTTTGACATATATTTTGTTCTTTTTGTTTAAAATATTCAAGTACCTGATGTAAAAGTACTTACTAAATTATAAAATGTGAAATATGAGTTTTTATTTCATAAGAATAGACTGAATAGTGCACTATCACTTATTGATATTGTATAATACAAGCAATAATTTCAAAATAAGATAATTTCAATTTAATTTTTAGATTATTTCCAGCATCGAGGAAGTTTATTTCAGTGAAGTTGATTCATTTGATGCAAGTGATTACGAGCTTCAGGTATTTTTTCTGTGGTTTTATACATTTTGTGATGAAAATTTGTGCACTAGATGTACTCAGTGTGCGAATTAGTTCAGAAAAAACAATGTGCAATTTTTTTGACAAAAGTGTTTCTTTAGAGACATAATCAAATCGATATTACGTTAATTATTATATTGCGCTAATTGCTAAATTAATATTTTTAAATGTGAAAAAATTCATATGATTTATGACAGTGTTTTTCGTTAAAACAGCTGATTTTTGCACACCGTTTGAAAAAGTGATGTGCAATTGTTTTCATTTTAGCTAAAGCGATGTGCAAATTGCACATTGCACACCATTAATTCGCACACTGGATGTACTTTTACAACAAAAGTAAATATGTATGTTTTATTAAGACATGAATAATTGTTTGAATAATGTAGTTTCTAAAAATAACAGAAATAATTATTCAACTTATAGAAACTCCCTGAAGTTTTAAATATCAATGAACTTGATACATACAGGAATGTGCTACGAAGACAAGCTCAGGCGGTGAGTTCTATCACAGTTCTATCACATAAAAAATTTATTGTACATAATTCATAGGTTTAATTTTTTGCTTTTATTCAGTTTTAACTTGTGTTATGTATGAGACTTAAGTTTATGTTAGATGTTTTGTAACAAAACTTTAATCACAGTTTTTTAATTCAATTTAAGGTTTCTAAAAGTTTGTATATGAAAGTACTTGAGAATCAAACAGCCTACATGCAAGTGTGTATACTTTCTGAGAAATTTTCAGATGAAAAACATGTATTCTCAAAATTAACCATCCTAAACTTTGCTTTTAGGAGCTACAACGTGTTATTGATATTCAAGCCACTCTAGAGTTTGCTAAAAAAATATGTGATAGTAGTCGAAGGTATAGTTTGTGTGTGTTGTTTTGGGAGTTACTTCTAACTACATATTCTTATTCTCTTCGTCAAAACTATATTTCTTTTGTAGTCATCTTGAGCATTCACGATCAGAAACATCATTAGGTGGTCTGACTGTTCTTGCTAAAAATAGAAAAAAACAACATTTAGTGAATTTGTTAGATTCTCTTGGAACAATTAAAACTCTTGTAAGTTGCAATGTTATCAAACCATAGTCTTTCAGTAACTTTTGCTTTAGTTGAGGTGTTTTACGATAATCTATATATTGTAAGAGGATTGCCAATAATATTTTATTTATTCTTGCAGCAACAGACAGATGTTCGACTGAAAGAAATGCTTCAGGTAATACTATTTGAAAACTTTGAAAAAGGATGTAGTTAATGTTTAATATGTGATTATGAATGAAAGAAAGTATGTACTACGATGTGTAACCTTGTGTATCAAGTTACACACATAAAAAAGTATATGAGACAATATTACTTTTATGATGTTGATGAAGTGCTAGCTGTAGCAAAATGGCAAGTTATTGTTGAGACTAAGATCATTGATGCCTATAATTTGTACACCATAAACCTGCTGTCGTTGTTTTATCGAGCAATGTTGTACTACAATATCACCAATCTTTATTGACAAGTTTATTGCAAATTTGGTAAAACAAGATCACTGCACTCTCATATAAACCATATTTTACCATCGCTCCCTTTTATATGTAGGAGGAAAATTATCCTGGGGCAATTAATTTATGTTTGGAATGTGAAAAGGCAGCGCGAGATTTTAAACATTACAAGTGTATAAGGTACATACATGTATGTTTACATGCCTTTTGAATAATCTTTATGGTGGGAATTGTGAACATATTTTTATGCTTCAAGATGATTGTTAAGCTCATCGTTGTTTGAATTTTAACGTTAATCAATTTTCGTCATCTCTTTAGCGAACTTAGTGCAAATCTTCAAGACATTCTTGTTCAAATAGAGGTATAGTTATTTCCATGTGTAAAAGCTTTCGGTGAAGTTTGCGAACTAATTTGAAAGGTGTTCTCTTTTTTCCTTACGCACCATTAATGTTTTAAACGTTGATTGTAAAACAGAAGATAAAGGAAACGATAATGTTTTCACGAACGTTCTCGAAAATATTTATTTAAATATGTTTTCAACAATCTATGAAAAATATTGAAATTATCAAACTTCATCTGCTATCAGTTGAAAATTTACGATTGATACCAATAACAATAAAACTTGAACTTACGTTCATATTCAATTTGCTTTTTGAAAAATATAACTTCAAGAAAAAATAATTCTTAAAAATAACTAATATGAATGCAGGATCATTTTTTCCTAGAGTGAATTAGACACTGCTTTAGCCAAAACATGCAGTAATTTTGATCCATTGCATTACGAAAAGTTACAGACAGCGTATAGATATCTCGGGAAAGTACAAGTGAGGAACAAAATATCTTTTAAATGAATTATATTCATAAACATTTGTAGTCATGTGAAATTTTTATCTTATTTTTTGAGGTTTCCATAGACCAACTTCATCTTCATTTTATGAATGCCATTAATAGTGAAGCGTTTCTTGTTTTGCTTAAACACGTCGAGGTAATTCCTTAGAACTACGTCACTTCCGTGTCTGCAATAACGTCACTATGTTTTTGTAAATGTTTCCAGGAAAATCGTCCACAAGATTTAAATGAAGGTGGAATTCAAACAATTCCTTTTCAGGAACTTTGCCAGGTGGATGAATGAATCTACAGTAATTATAATTTTCGTGTTTTTGTTTTCAAGATTTAATGTAATTATCTTATCTTTTTTCGCTCTTAGAAAGTTGGTGTTGAAGATTTTACACCGTGTTTAGTTGATTTATGTAAAGTAAGTAAATGTTTTACCGTTATGTTTCCTTCAATTTAATATTAGCTAGTTTAGTATTACACGCTCCTGTAGAATATCTCAAACTTTTTATTTTGCTTCTTTGTTTTAATGAGTGTATTATGAAGACTTGAGGCATGATATTTTTAATGTCGTAATCTTTAATCATCACAGACGCTATGGAAAGTGATGTTAAATTATCATGAAGTTGTAAAATGGCATAAACAAAATGAATATTTGATGGAAGGTCATGGTAGCGATGAAACAGACGGGCAAATTTCTTACAACAAGAAATATGTCACACAGAAGTTAAATCATGGTTTGCATAGGATTTGGAAGGTGTGTAGCTATACTATGGTATAAAACTGTTACTATTTAATATTTATTAGAAACCATGCGGTACTTATAGGTATGTGGACTGTGCATGGTAATATTGGAAAAGTATTTCCTGTTGTATAAAATTTGAATTTTTTTTTAAAATCAAAATTTTTCCTTATGATATTTCAGGAAGTTCAAGAAAGAGTGAAATGCTACCTTCTGGGAACGGATTTATCATATTTTAAATACGACGATTTTATTCATGTTTTAGATTTAGTGAATAGGTAAGATTGGATTTTAATGAATAGTAATGGTTAATCATGGATAGTTTATACTTATCTTTTTTGCGATCTTTTGCAGATTAATTTCAATTGGAGAAGAATTCTGTGGTAGTAAATCGGAAGAGCTGCACGAGTCAATTCGAACACAAACTGTGAATTATTTTAAGAATTATCACAGGTTTGTTCTTTCATTGTCTTTGTATATTGTATTGTCCGACAAGCAGTTTTATAGATTGTTTCCTTTATGTTTTTTGTTTTAACTTAGTAAGCAAAAGCAAAACGTTTTCCTTGGAGTTGTCAAGGTTTTTTATGTGTGGGGGGACTATTCTAAAAGGAAGGGGTGAAATCTACCTTACCCTCCCCCCCCCCAACAAAAAAGTTGTCCCTGTCCCAAACCAGAGTAAATAGTTAAATGATGTTTTACATTGTTTAGATCGCGTCTCGAGGAACTGCGTATGTTTTTAGAGAATGAAGTTTGGGAGTTATGTCCTGTAAAAGCTAATTTCTCTTTAGTAATTCTACAGGTTGGAATTTTATAAATCAACAACAAATTAAAATTTCTAAAATTTTGAACGTTAAGATGAAATGATCTCACTATTTTAAATGACTAAAATTTTTTCCTGCGAGATTTTCCACAAGACCTGTGCCAAACGCCAACGCAAAACTTGTTTAAAATATTTCTTCTATTTAATTCATGAGTATTGTTCTTCTCTTTTGACGAAATATACAGTTTGTTGTTCTATGTTTAAAATGTACATAGTTGCGAAAACAATGTAACTGATCAGTTGTTGTTTTTTTGAGAAAAATAATTTTACTGTTGTGAAATGTTTTGGCAACAAAAATTTGTAACTGCTTTTTATTAGGAATTCAGATTTCTAAAGAAGATATACAATTCAGGGAAAGGTCACAGAAGGACAGATTCTGGAAACATTAAATCAGAAATGAGTGAGTTTTATCGTCCAAATAGTCATTATTTCAGTCTTAAGTTTTTCTTTATCTGTGTTACCATTGATATGTACATTACAGGTTACTTCAATCGTTATACTTCCGGTTTAACTCCTTTGATGAGCAGAAGACTGAGGACGAAAGTGAAGATTTACTGAGCAATACAGTAAGAAAATTGTTGATTACTGTCAACTGATAAATCATCTGATAATTATAACAACAACTTTTAGGGTGGTGATGTTAATGATAATCACAATGAAGATGAAGACGACGATTATGACGATGACGATGACGATGATGATATTCCAGGTATAATTGAGTTCTGTTCGCGGAATACGTCGATTGTGTTGATGGTAACGTTTTCTGAGGCTTCATTTTGCATGAAATACTGATCATCAATCATTTGTATCGTTTTATAACCAGAGGAACTGAAGTTGGATTATGTTGACGAAAAAACTGGTGAACATTCACCAAGGTAATTTTTTTTAGTTTAATGTGTAAGCATATCAACTTTGCGAATGTTGTTTAGTTTAATGTGTAAACATATCAACTTTGTAAATATCGTTTAACGTGAAACATTTGATCAAGGTTTTTTTCTATTTATAATATCGTCATTTTAGCTAATAATCTAATAATTTATTTTATAAAGGTCTAGTTCGCATACAAAACTTGGTAAAAAATTGAGCAGAAATCATGGACCAGTTGTCACCAACACTACTTTGAATGTATTAAGATTATTTGGTAAGAATACATAAATTTAATATACTCATTGTAATCATTAAATTTTACTGTTCGAATAAAAATTTGCCCAATTTACATTTTTTATAATCTAATGCGGTTAGAAGTTACAGTTGATAGTTTACGCGCTTATTTTTTTATTGTTTTTTACATCTGGAAAATTCAAGGTTATACATATTTCATTGTAGGCAAATACATGCAAATGATGAATGTATTAAAACCGATCGCATTTGATGTTGTAATTTGTGTCTCGCAACTTTTTGATTATTATCTGTTCGCTGTAAGTAATGTTTTTATTTATTTGATGGAGGAAAGAGAACGGTTGTTGATATACGTATTTTGCTGACATCATTATTTGTATTTTTCTTTTAGGTTCAAAGATTTTTCTGTCCCTTTATTATGGTGAGTTGTGTTTACTGAGGTTTCTGCAGGTAACTTTTGTTTCGTTTTTGAAATTCATTTGTTGCCGTAAGATATTCGCAACGTGAAATATTTCTAAAGATTTAATGTGGCTTCGAAGTGTTTGTGGATGTTATAAAATTGAAATTTTTTTACATGGAAAACGGTACAGTTTTCGTATGAAATAATTTAGGACGAATCAAAATCATATGATCTCAGCACCAAGCTTTCAACTTCTCTGAAAAGAATCAAGGAAAATCTAATTGTTGATGTAAGTACAAAGAATTTGAAATTTCTTTAATTGATGACATTCATTTTATCAGTAGGAGCTTTATTTTGGATGTAAAATTAGGAAAATTCTATTTTTGAAGGGTTATAGTTCATCTGAATATTCTGATGTCTCGTCTGTAGATGACATGAAGGTACTTAGCATGTGTACTTTGGGTATTAGTGTTCATGAAGGTACATTAGCATGTGTACTTTGAGTATTAATGTTCATGAAGATACCTAAATGTTCATCATATTGTAGCAGAGCAGTGCGAAGTGATTCAATTGATTTGTATGAACTCCTGTTGTTGATTGAATGGACTGCGCATGTTTTTAGTCATATATGTTTTCTGACTAGAGTTTGCTTCAACAGATGCAATTAAACTCGTTATTTCATTTACCGTTATTGGCCTGGTGTTCCCTCACTATGTGTTAAAGCAAAGTAGGCAATTTACAACCTTTTGTTAAAACTGTTTTTGTTTGCCATAAAGTCAATGGAAGTTCAGGTAGTGGTACATGTTAAACGGGAGTTAATGGAGAAATGAAATAATGTATGAAACATTTTATGGTTGATTCAAATTACGAGTCAAAAGGCAATGTTTTCTTTAAACTTTTCACAGATCAAGGATTAATCATCACTTCCACCAAAAACATAATGAATTTTTTTAAATTTGCACTCGTTTATTTAATGTGCAAAGATGAAGTACTTTCTTATCATCTTACGTAGATTGTCTTTCCATAGGTACCAGCTCCTTGCCTTTCTCCGTTAACTCAATTGAACAACGCGGAGGGTTTGTTTGGTCTTTCCGAAAGAATTGTTGCAACCGAATCATTGTAAGTGTTTTGTTGTTACGTAAATTCACAGTCACTGGCAAAGAAAACTTATTTCTGCGTTTTTCCTTTCGTTTATTTTTAGGGTATTTTTAGCCAAGCAATTCGAATCACTTCAACCTCATTTGGAATCTCTTATTCCGACGACCAAAAGAGCATTTCTGTCACAATTTTATTCACAGGTGGGCAATTTTAACGAAAATTCTTTAAGAAATTTTGAGGGAAGTTGATTTTAATGTTTCATTATGATGTTAATCTTTTTGATTAACACCAGCAGAGTATTCAATAACATTTATTCTTCAATTCAGACCGTTTGTACTGCTCATGAATTAAGGAAACCTATTTATCAAGCCGTTGCAAGTCGAGTCGTAGATTTTAACATGGTACTCCTTGTAACTTTTATTTTTCTCGTTTCTCTGGCATTTCATTCACAGTTATTATTTTTTCTTGAAACGGAAATTCTATTAATACTAACTTTTCAACCAAAGATTATGCTTCTCTACAAAGAAACGATTTACTCTTACCTAGATCGTCCATTTAATGTCAAGTGTAAAATGGGACATCAAAGAAATTATGTCTGAACACAATAGTTATGTAGATATGTTATTAAAAGTGAGTGTATTATATTTCGTGTGAGAAAACAACATACAATACCATGTGATGCGTTTGCGCATGCTCATAAATATTCGTTTCTCATAGGAATTGCAATTATTCAGTGCAAGAGTGTCTCAAATTGGCAGGTACAGTTATTATGATTAACATATTTTGGAAACTTTAACTGTCTTACGTTTTTATGTTTACAACATGTTAAACTTTTCATTTGAAAAAATAATTGTAAATATAGGTCGGTTCCAGTCCCAAACGAAGTGCTCATGGTTTTATGGGATCACTGCTCTAGACGTGTCAACAGATCGTTCGTTGATGGGTAAATTATTAAACACATTTATACATAAAATATAAACACCTTCCCAAGATTAGCTTACATCTCTCAGCACAAGTAACAAATTTACTTAAAATGTGCAAGTCTACGTGTGTATTTGCTATTTTGCCCAGGAGAAATCTCTTGAATTTCGATTTAGGTTTTCATGCGCAAAGAAATGTACGAACGAGGGAAGAGCCCTAATGCAACTTGACTACCGACAATTCCTTGTTAAATTGGAGAAGTTAACCACACTGAGGTGCGTTTTGTCGTAGATTCGAGCTTTTTTTTCTGTGTATAAATTTCCTTGTAAATGACTTTTAAACATACATTTTTCTCTAGCCTCATTTCAAAAATACGTACTAACAATTGAAAATAATAAAAATTAAAATAAATAAATATGTTGTATGAACTTGGCGAATACCTAGAGTTTGGCGAATACCTAGAAAATGAATTCATTTTATGTAATGTTTTTAGACCTATCCCCGAGAAAGATTTTGTTGAGGCTTACATCAAGGCGTATTATTTGACTGCACCAGATATGGAAAGATGGATCAGAGAACATAAGGTTTATCAATAATAAAAATATTTTTACGGTCATTTGGCATCGTTACATTGAGTTCTTCACTAGTTTTAGTCTTATTTTTATTGTGTTAAAAATCCTCTTATTCATTGTACTAATATGGTTTTCAAACCTACAGGAGTATTCTACAAAGCAACTGACGAGTTTAGTGAACTGTGGTACAGGATCACATTTCAGTAAAAAAGAAAAACAGCGTTTGCTAAATGTGATTGAAGAAACAGAGAAACAGCGTTGAATCATCTCACTGTACGTACTTTGTGCATGGGACATTGAATTGTGTTTTATGCTGGTTGATCTTCCAACCTTCAAACAACATTTTCGAGATGCAGTAAACTGCTTTCTCACCAGACACAGCGCTAAACAATTATTATCAATCCTTGAAATGAATCACGAAACGAATATTTTTTTATACATGAATGTATTAATGCACTCCTAACTTTAAATGTACCATTTACAATTTACGAATTGAACTACAACTTTGTAAATGATTTTTAAAACATACATTTTTCGTGAATCAAGCCTCATTTTATAAAAACGTGCCAACAATTGAAAACAGTAAAAAATAAAACAAATAAATATCTTGTATGAAATGACAAGAGTTTGACAAATAGAAAATTTTATCATAAATTTACCATAAAATTTACTGTTCTATTCCTGGCCTCGATAATCATGTTTGCCAAATCTAAAACAACCTCATCAAAACGACCATTTTTTATTGCGTCGTACATTGTCTCTAAACTTATGTCCAATGTTTCGTCCCCATCATTAAACACAACACCAAGTTTTTTTTTCACGAAAAGATAAAGAAGTCCAGTACCTGTATTGAAATATAAACATGGAAAAGATGAAATTTATATATTGCCATGCGTAAAACTGTAGGAAAATGTTGTATCCTTACACAAATGAACTAAATAAATAACAAATCATAGTTACAATATGAAATTGCAAAAACAACCTACCTTGTCCCATTTGGCGCGATATTTTATTAATGAATGCTCCAGATTTCAGACCATTTCTCAACACCTCCATTTCTTTATCAAGTGCAATATGAAATCCATTTTTTAACTCAGCAACATTACTTCCTGGTAGCAGTTTCATCACTTGATCAATTGCTTTGGAAGAGCAACTAAAGAACAAAAACCACGGAACCACTTGGAACAGTACTTTCTTCTCCACGCAGACGCTACTCTTCGGCATTAACTCGGACACGATCGACTCAACTTTCTTCTTTAACCAACGAAGCTCCACAGCCTGGACAAGCGCACGCAGTATATTGATCAGTTGCATTTGAAAAATTTCCAATGCATCTTCAGACATGCGTGCCGAAATAAGAGCGAGTGAGTTGATGGATTGGTTTCTGATCTCTGCAATAAGAACGTGATTTGAAACAGGAGCGTTGAGGAAATCCAACTCTGACGTGTACGCTGCCATAGCAACCTCGGTACCTTTAAAACCCATGTCAATGTTTGGATCACCACCACATAAATTAGGAGAAAGACAATTGTTTATATTACTGTCAACAATTTCCGACATCAGGGCAAACAGTAATTTTCCACAAAGCTGCAAACATTGTCGAAATTGATCCATTGCTACTGTGATTGAGTTGCTTTGAAAATTACCACAATGTAAAATTTCACCTTTATTACAATTAATTATTGGATTATCATTAGCACTATTCAACTCGATATCTATTCGTCTAATTGACTCTATCGCGGTTTCCAACACAGGTGCAAGCCATTGAGGTGATGTTCGCATACCGTAACGATCTTGACGCAGTTCACCTTCACGAAATCCGCGTTCAATTTCTGGCTGGGAAATTGCCATGTTTGTATTCTGAAGAAATTTTAAAATATTAGAAGCGACTTCTTGTTGGCCGATATGAGGCAAACATTTTTCATGTATAACAGGTTGAAATGATTCCAAACGACCTCCCAATGCTTCAACACACATAGCAACAACAGCTTGAGTGAGTAATATAGCAACATTACCCCGGTATAGAACTTCAGCAGCTAGAGCAGCTGCAAATGAAGAAGCATTCATAACACCAAGAGCATCTTTACCAGTAAATATAACTGGCTCAAGTCCAGCTGCTTTAAGAGCTTCTGAGGCAGTGGTTTTGACACCTTTAGCAAACACTTTGCAACTTTCCCTACCTTCAAGACATGCAGCAATATACGATAAAGGCATAAGATCACCACTGGCACTTATCGAGCCACGTTTAGGAATACAAGGCACAATATCTTGGTTGAGTAATGCAAGAAGAAGGTTAACAACTTTTTCATGAACTCCAGAAAATCCAAAAGCAATACTATTGACTCTTATTAACATTGTTGCTTTCACAAGAGATGAGGGTAACTGCTGACCAAACCCTGCCTTTAAATGATTAACTAAAGTAGAATTAACAGCCATATCATTCTTGTAGCGTACCTGAGCACTTCCTCCAAAACCAGTGTTAATACCATATATACAAGCACCTTGGGATATTTTCTCATAAAGATATTTGTGGCTATTTTTTATTGCTTCTTTAGCATCGTCAGTCAGAGATGCTGACTGAAATTTACCAGTAAACATACTGTGAATATTACTAATAGTCAATTTGTTACCATTCAATGTTATAGTCTCACATTCATCATTATAGTCGTTAATTAACTTCATAACATGGTTTGTATGTGAACATTCCTTTACAGCAGCAATACTTAGACCACGAAATAATATTGCACTTCTAAAAAATAATCATAAAAACAATTTATCAGTATTTCATATTATACTTCATGTTAGTACCCTTACTTGTGTACTAATCCTGTTTTTTATGGTTAAATTTGGCAATTCATTGGGAAAAAATCAAATGATAGTACATGTTTAATTGGTTTTTTATATTTCACTAACACATTAAAGACATTTCATGAATCAAGATGTACGCCAAAATATCTTGAATGAAGGCGCTAATAAAATTAGAATATGGATACTAAGTTAGTTGTTTGTGTTGGAGAAACAATCCTAGATGGAGAACATATAGAAAACATGTTATGCATTTAAAAACTTTTCAAATGTCTGATAATTGTTGCTGAATACAGTGTTTAAAACAAGAAGGTACAGTAAATTTTCAAACTAAAGAAGATACAGCCAATTTCAAAAAGTTTGCTTACTATAACGATTATAATAAAATGCCCTTCATTACATAACACTTTCTCTTCAAAGAGTCATTTGTCATTTTTGCGTTTGATAAAATAGCTCCAGCGATTAAGCAAAAGATAAGCTTTTCAATGTTTATATTTCCACAACATATGCGTTACCTTGATGCAAGCTTTGTTGCGTGGATCATCCAAAACATTGATTTTTTTTTGTGAAGGATTACTCAACCACTAATGCAATATTTAACTTTTTCTACCAATGTTCACACCGAATAGTGATGATATATTGCTGCCACTAAATTTCCTTTTAACAATTCATACAACTGTTGTATTTAGGAAATTCTATTTGTCACTATGCAGCTTTGTAGTTTGTAACAAAAAATACAAAATTACAACATTGAATGTTAATTATATAGCTGCAATAACTATCATTGGTGTTCAATCGTTGGAACTACTTTCGGGAGATGGAAAGAAGCCGAGACCGTCTTCTGAGACAGTAGCAGCCAGCACGTGTTTGTGGTGTCAGTTGTCAGCTGTCACATCAAAGTTTGTGTTTGTGCTACAATCAAAATCTCAAACTGTTTTATTCGATTGAATCAATGTTTAAACAGTCGGTTGGAGAAGTTTATTGAAAATATTTCTTTCATTAAAGAATGACGATCACATTAGTGCAAACTAATCATTATTTTAACAAGTTTGTGTACATTCTACTTCATTTATCTTCGAGAATTACGTAAAAGAAAGATATACTATGAAGTTCTGTGTCCACCTTGTCAATTGGTGGGACTGCAAATCAGTTCTGGTGTTTAGCTGTTGATCACTGAATTATGGTCATCCTCGTTTTTCTCAAGATTAACAAGATACGTTCCAGGTAGCTGTGAATAAGGTAGGTCAATGAGGTTATCGTGCTTGGATAAAAGCGGTTTCTTCAATAAATGCAGCAATAAACGCTACAGAATCATGGACTTTATATACAAATCATTTTCAGTTTCTGGTGCTTAAATATATGCATGCGTAAATGCTTATTTAAAATGAAACAAAAAATTTTGTTTTTATGGTAGTTTATTAATAATTGTGATTGTGTAGCAACTAGAATGAACTAAGCCATTTTGCTTTTTATGCTGCTATGTTGTTTAAACTGCCAAATTATTATTTTGGTTTTGCTGTTCTTACCTCCCAATAATCTTCATCATCATAAAGCTGTTCGCTTGTGGGGAATCAAATATACTTTGCTTTACTATAAAACCTTAATTGAAGATTTATTAACCATTAAAATGAAAACAAGGTGCAGTATGGGAAGGCTATATTTTTAATTACTACAAATTCATCAACTCACCAGTTACTGCTCCAGATAATATAGAGATCACAAGAGTAATAATCAAAGCTAGTATTTGATAACCAGCACTTTTGGATGAATTATAATTTTCATGAAATACTGAACTCAAACTGAAAAATATAAAATCTTGTTTTAGCCATAATTTAGCCTTGAATGTTGTTCTGTTGCAGACATACATATATTATTTACATGATGGATTAATATGAAGGTTTACCTAACCTTAGCCCATAGTTATCAGCTGAGGCTAATTTAGCAGCAACAGCACCACCCACTCCAGCCAATATTGCAGGCATTCCATGAAGGTTGTGCACACCACAAGTGTCATGAATGTTGAATTTTTCATCTAACAATGGCTGAAAGTGTTATTAAACAAGTTGGGTTTTTTTTATGACAAACAAACTAAAATATTGTTGTAGTTATGATGAAAACTTGATTCCGTTTGTTTATTTTCTAATTATTTTTGAAGGCAAATATTTTCAAATGGTCAAAACATGTCCCATATGCCACTAATTTTGTAAATCTTATACATTTTCGTATTTTATATTTATAACAATATACTTTGAGTTATTTCTGAAGTGCGATAGGTTGATTGCAGTGCTATTTATCTGTAATTGCGCCGCAAAAATGTGTAATTGCCTTGCAGAAAAGCTGCAATAGCACTGTGGAAGTGTGCAATTGCATTGTAGATGTGCAATATTGTTGCAGTCTTTAAAAAAAACTCTCTCGTGCATGTTTATCCGAACTTGCACTCGAAACAATACTACGTCATAATTTCTTCATTTCATCGGAAATATTTTTCATTTACTTATGTTTTGTGTCTATTTGAAAGAACTTTTGTCAAACTACTCTTTAAGTGAGGAAAATTTAAAATAATTTATCAAAATTATTCTTAGAGGCATAAACTTTGCTCAAGAAATTAAATGCGTTTGCTAAAGAAATGTAAAATTTTCACAGCTTTTGTCAATAAACTGGAAACTGGAACAGTAATAATGTAGTGACTAACTTACTGAGATGTATGTATATCCTACAACACTAATGGCTGCTGCCAAAATACCAATCAAAAGAGCCCCCCATGGTTGAATCATCATGTTAGCAAGAGTGCCAACAGCTACACCACCAGCTAATGTTGCATTCTGAATGTGAACCTGAAGAAACAAAACAAACAATATTTTCATTTCTCAGGCTGCAGCAAATAAAGTATTCTAATTTTTTAGTGGATGAAAAACAGCAATAATTTGTTTGTTATTTATATGTTGGTAAAACATGTGTTTACCATACGTAAACACCGTTCCTTTCGTGTTGATTGTTTTCGAAGTTTCGTTTTTATTATTGTCTTCCTTCATTTAGTATTTGTGTCATCTTCTTTGTTCACATCGTTCTGCCACATGCATGCTGTAATTTACTTTAAATTCCGTCCTTACCATGTCAAGTTTTCTTTGTCTGTTAAAGAGGCCAGACAAAGCAAATGTTGTTACACAGCAGGAAACAAGAGATAAATATGTGTTGATCACTGCACGTTGTTGATCAACTGCAGGTGATACCAAAACACTGTTAAAACTTGGCCAGTACATCCATAAGAAAACCGTTCCTAAATAAGTATTTGCCAATTATTCAGTTCCTTATTTCAGCATTATTGAAATGCCTGCACTTCACTTGACATTGTATTAGTGTTGTTTTAGTTTTTTAGCTAAGTCAGTTTCAGTTGCGGATTACGTAAACTCTCAAGGTACTTGCTTATCTAGACAAACCATAGTTTCTGTTTTTGATGAAACTTATTTTGAAGAAATACTTCTGTCATCTCTCATAATATTTCTATTTCTTTTTTTCATTGTCGTAGCTATGTCGTAACTTCAACCATTCTTTTTAACCTATCATTCAAATTACTTACCAATCATAGCAAATATATCTGAGTGATAAACAGATCCTTCTTTAGGATTGTTATCAGTGTCCTGTGGTCTTTTTAACATAAAACTCAATGCCAAACCAAAGTAGGCACCAAAACAGTGAATGACCATTGAGCCACCAGCATCAGCAACCTTCAGTTTATCCAGTAAGATAAATTCGTTGACAGAAAACATGACTATTTCAATGATTGCAATTAACAGGAGTTGAAGACGACTGACTTTACCCAAAACTGCGCCAAAGGTGATCAAGACTGCAGCGGCAGAGAAATCAGCCGTTACTAGGCTGAAAAAATAAGCAAAAAAGATTAGTACATTCTCATAGCTAAGGGTATTTCATTTTAAAATGTAATTTGTAGCTACTGTTATATTTAGGGTCACAAGCCATAGTTTTGCAAGCAAACACATTTGGTAAGGAAAGATCCTATTTATTAAGGAAAGATATTTATAGATCGAGAATGGTCTTCAAGGTTTGTTTCGAGTATTTTTGTCTGCAACTTTTGAGCTTATTGTTAAAGACTGTTGTGATAAACAAACTCGTCAAACACAAACCTTTCCAGATTGATCAAAATTTTAAAGCCGCTCGTTTCTTGATGCGCTATAAATCCTCTGATGATCATATACCATTGAATAGCAAGAGCAGAAATAAAGAAATTGTAGCCAACTGCACTATAACCGTATTTCTTTAAGAAAGTCATGAGAAAACCAAAACCAACAAAAATCATCACTTGAACATCTTGAAACACTGCAGGAAAAAAGAAAAACAATTTATTCATTTATTTTTAAGAAATAACCGACAATCGTTAGCAAAGGTAGAATTTTGGTAGAAGTAGAAGATTTTTTGAAGAGCGTGTAAATAGGGGCATGATATGAAAAATATTGTTGCGGAAACAATGAAAATGACTGTCGAATATGTAATGTGCTGCGTTCCCTGTCTCCAAACTTTTGTCTTTGTTTCTGATTGTTTTCTCATTAAAAAGTCAATATGTTCCACGTTGTATGTGGATCGAACCACACGTCATTCCCACACCAGAGTAAAAAATTTTCTGTAGTCCATCACTTTGGTTTATACTTTGTCGAATAAAAACCACATCTCATTTCGCCAATTTTAGTAATTTCTCGATTCTTTCTTCCTCTGACAATTATACAAGTTAATGTTCTATAATAGCCTTCTCGATCATATCTAAACTTAAAGCGTAAAGCAAGGTAATTCCGTCCAATTAACCTATTTTTCCCCCTCAGCTCCCGTTTTTTCTATCATTCAAATAACCACTTAGTTTTATAATGTAATTTAATACCTTGTAATCATTTATTGTCAAACCTGCATTAAAAGCCTACCCTCGGGGATCTCATGTTACTGTTTTAATACGATCTTGTAGAAAATTACCCCGTTTAGTATTACATTTATTACTAAATTTGGAATTAATATCAATATATTTCAATACACAAGTACCATGTATTCATTAAAAAGCTATAAATTGTTTCTAATTGTAATCTGGAGACTTTATATAATAATGTCACTCCAGATCGTTTAATACAGATTCAAAATAAATAAAAATAAAGTTTGAGACAGTGGAGAAGGTAATCGTGCAATAAAGGTCACTTGCATGTATAGTGTTTAAATGAAATTTTTGGCACATAAGCACATGACCTCGTAGCACAAGTTGATCGCTCATTAAGGTTTGACCGTAATTAGCTTTCGTATGTTAATAAACGAAATTATTAATAACATCAGTTTATATCATGGTGCGCAAATATGTAGTACAGGACTGGACAGAAAAATCATGGTCTTTTGAAACATTTCTTTATGACTTAACATGTTGCAGTTTTTACATTTTCCTTTTTCTAAAAAATTTAAGAAGCTCTTCATTTTCTTTTTTTGAGATTTGATGATTAAACTTAAAAATGATCCTATAACCACACGCGAAGTGTGAATTACTTGTGATGTTTATGAAAGATGCGTGTGAATTTCTTTATAAAGTTAAACTTTATACTTTAAACTTTGAACCTGTTCGGAACATAGCAGTTGGTCATTTGCCCTAAACGGATGTCAACAACACGTTGTATTTGACGTTTTAATCCACTTATTTTTATAAAAGCAAAAAGTTTGAGGGGGCAAGTGAAATTGTTAACCTATATTGCTAAACGTGAGATCGTAAAAATTACACTCTAGGATACTAAAAAAACTTACAAACAGAACGTAGCTATATTTCATTATGAGGAAGTAAAAGAAATGTTCAAAATGCTACTGCTTGTTTTCTCCGAAATTCTCTGTGCTATTTTATTACAAATCGTCTTTGTCTTAAACATGAAAGTATATTACTCAGAAGTGTAGCACAGCGACTAGAATTACTAGCAAATATATATATAATGATCCTATCATACATCTGATGGCCACAGGGAAACAATTTCAAAACAGTAATGTTAATTAATTAATTCTGTTAACAGTAATGTTAATAATTCAATTGTTTTTAGTTACAAAAATGTAAAGCTAATATTTAGATAAAGTTATCGATTCTTCACTGTTGTCTTGTTCAAACATAAATTACGTTTACGCTATCGTCACGTGACTTTTGTATAACTCCCAGATGAATAAAAAATATGATGACAAGAACATTAAAGGAAAATTTCTATCGCTGCATTTAAATCTAAATATGTTTTGTTTTGCATAAACTTTCACTTACTTGGATAAAGTTTGATGTTATTCGATGTTTCTGTTTTATTTTCCTTAGCTGTTGTATTTTTTACACCACCCGCTTCATCAGGATCATATTTTACGAAGATTACGAAGAGAATGAACAAGATGATTTGAAAGATGATTGCAATGAGGGAAAACTTCATGTTTCTTCACTTCTAGATGTGATCACTGGCACACTTAGAGCAGTCTGGAAGCAGAAAGGTGTATGTCCAAATACTTCAACTCTTCGACCGTGCTCTCATATTTCACTGGCTACCAGAGAGAAAGAGAGAGAGAGACAGCAATTGTACCCACGTGAGTAGTACATTTTATTTTCAAACGTCATGTTGAATTGTTTTAAGGGAAGAATATGCATGATTTGCAATTTTTATGTTTAAGCTAAATTAAATGCCATCGCATATTATTTTGATAAACCGTCAATTTGCATTTGTCTCCCTAAATATTCGATTTACCAACTTGTTTATGGAAACTTGTTGGTAATGTTTCTTGCCTTATTGGTGGAGAAACGTTGAGCTTGTGACATATCTTGTGCATAAAAATTGTGTTGTATGACTATGATGCTGTCATGTGACACCAATGTGTGACAAATACATTGTAATGCTTGTTTGCCTGATTAAAGTCAATTGGATTATAATTAATCAAAAATAGATCTATTTAAAAGCAGTTTTAAAAAGGATTTTACCTACAATTCATTGAATTTAAGGGAAATTCTTGAATTTAGGAATACTTAAATTATGCAATTTTATGAGGATGAACTGAGTAAAGTCTAAAACTTTGCAAACTGTTTCATTAATTGGCGCGAACGGCAGCTTTATGCCCTGATGTTGACTGATATCTCTTCTGGATTATAATCTCATTCAAATATCTAGTATCCCGTGAATGTAAGCTCGTTACTAATTGAATCCCAAGGTCAGCGGTAATGCAGCGGTAATGCATCGCAATATTTTTACGTTGTATGTTTTGATACAGGAAATAACACGAAATGGGAATCATCAATTAATGGCATGATATAAAAAAACTGCTCAATGTTGTATATCATGAGTATTTCGTACACATGCATGCCATGCAATAGTGCTTGATATGATTATGAGCACTTTGTACTCATTCAGGCCATGCTCTTGTGGTCAATACGTATGAGCATTTTTGCACGTGCAAGTCATGCTCTTGTGGTCAATACGTATGAGCATTTTTGCACGTGCAAGTCATGCTCTTGTGGTCAATACGTATGAGCATTTTTGCACGTGCAAGTCATGCTCTTGTGGTCAATACGTATGAGCATTTTTGCACGTGCAGGTCATGCCGTGTTTTTATTGATATGAGCATTTTGACCACTTGCATGTCAAACTTTTTACAGAACAACAAAAAGATTGTTGAATTTTTCTTTCTTCTATCGAAAAGGATGATGAAAATTAATTTTTATTGTGATTTTCTTGTCTTTATCTTAATATATTGTCGTAAATATGATATTATCGTAAATTTAAAACCATTTGTTAGTTCAAATGTGAACTTTCAAATCAACCATAATTACGTGGACTTACCATTGTGCTGGTCACATGTTCTAAGGAACATGGTATATATATGATGCTTTTCATTTATTAAGTTTTTTTTTACCCATTGTACCTACTTTTCTATACTTATAATCATGTGTGATCCCTGAAAACGCACAGTTTATGAGGTACATATTAGTATAAAATTCCGATCAAATGAAACAAGGGACAACTTAATATGTATTAAGAAACTTTTATTGCTTTCTGTGCTGTTTGAACAAGCAACATCGACCATTTTACAATGTGAATTGCTTTGTTATAAAAATGAAAAAATACCATTTACCATTTGGCCTTACTTATATATTTATATATATTTTTCATAATTGTAGCTAATATGTATGATTTTAACAAATGTATGCAAAAATAGAATATTAAAAAATATCTAAATTGATTTAGAAAAATATTATCTCTTTATTATTCCCACCATACCAAGTAGTTTGAAAATGAGTAATTGATATCTTAAATAGAAGAGTTTAAGGAGACGCTGTCTCTTCTTGTTTAGGTTCTATCTTCTCAATACCAATCATAGGTGTTTCGTTGTCGTTGACATAAATTTCAGGCAGCTGTTAAAAAGAAAAAGAATAAGAAAATGCCGATTCAAAGTTATCCTGTTTCACGTATGATGGAATTTATTTACTTTGACTCATGAAGACCGTCGTTTATGCGTTTATGCGTTAGCAATAAAGTGCGTGCAGTGATTTGTCTATAACCGTGTTTGAATTAGCCAGTGCAAACTGATCTTAGCTCAACCAATCAAATCAATCACTCAAAGAGAATGTGCAGATCAATCATGAATACATTATAGAGAAAAAATTTAAACGTTCGTTTTATATTTGCCGGTTTTGCGTTATTGTTATTTTATAAAAGAAATAAAAGATGTTTTTCTTGTTCACACTGGCTTTTGCAAACCTCTGAGACCTTTGTGAGAACTGTCGAGCAGGTGTAACCCTACGACCTTCGGGTCTCGAGCTTGCACTGATCTGCTCCTCGGTTTTCATAAGCCTGTGCAAACATACTAAACATCTATTATTTCTTAAGAACTGTCAGTTATGTATGCACAATGCATATTTATCACCTAGTTTAGTGAAACGGCAAGCGCGATAAAAGTTGACTTAACTTTGTAAACGAGTAAAAAAATTCACCATGAGAAGAGCGATTGCCTTACCTAAAGCATTTGTAAACTTACCTCCCAGAAGTCTTTATCGTCATATAATTGTTCACGAGTCGGCGAAATAAAAACATTTTGTTTCACTATAAAACCTGCAAGAAGTAAAATATGCGAATTTTTGGAAAAAGTAGTGCTTTTCTACAGTTGGAAGAAAGTTTCAACATAGCTGTAACGTACGACAAACCTGTTATTGCTCCGGAAACGATGGAAATTGCAAGAGTGATCAACAATGCTGATATTTGATAACCGGCGCGTTTTGTATCGTCATCTTTATTTTGAAAGACAGATTCCAAACTGAAATACAAGACTTGTTAATTTTAATTCTTATTGATCTTAATCTATTTATCCAGAATATTTTGAAGTCCTCTCATCAATAGATTTAAGTTCTTCTTTCATTCCATCTTCTTCATTAATCCATACCTGTTTTTGTAATTTTCACTATTGGCTACCTTAGCAGCAATAGCACCACCCACACCAGCCAATATGGCGGGCATTCCATGAAGGTTATGCACTCCACAAGTATCATGAATATGCAGTTTTTCATCCAAAAATGGCTAAATATCAATAAAAATCAGAGCACCTCCTGTTAGACGAACATTCTCATGTATGTATACGCCATTTTTCACAAGTATTTCAACGTACCGTTACATATGTATATCCTACAACACTAATGGCTGCTGCCAAAAAACCAATCAAAAGAGCCCCCCATGGTTGAATCATCATGTTAGCAAGAGTGCCAACAGCTACACCACCAGCTAATGTTGCATTCTGAATGTGAACCTGAAGAAACATGTGATAACATTAAAGAAGACACACACTCAATTATAAAAGACAAGTACAGTTTAAAAACAAGCAGGAACAGAACTATATGAAACAGGAGTCCGGATGCTTTTTTAAATGAAGAATCAAATTTTTTCCGGCTTTGGAAACCTGCAACAACTGAGTTCTGTTTGAGTAAGAGGCGCCAGGCAATTGTGCACATTGTGTAATTTGTACCAACAACATGCAAACGAATTGCATGTACACTTAAACGTTGATTTTTGTTTGGGTTGCTTTTCATTTTACTAAAACTGGCATTTTTAGTTGCATAATTTACTTGATATCTGAGGAAATGTTGAACTTATCACAAAAGAAGTTCTTAGAAAAGCAATGCTGGTATCCATTACCTTGTATTTATAATGCTACGTACCATGTCTAGTTTCCTATCTTTGTTGATTAATGTTGAAATAGCAAATGTTGTTACACAGCAGGAAACAAGAGATAGATATGTGTTTATCACTGCTCGTTGTTGATCAACTGCAGGTGATACCAAAACACTGTTAAAACTTGGCCAGTACATCCATAAGAAAACCGTTCCTAAATAATGTAAAGAATCGATATGTTTTTTTTCAAAAAATAGTACTCTGCTTCTTTCAGTTCTATTTCATGGCTATACATGGCTTATGCATGCATGTTCAAGAGCTGGCAATGTCACATCGCACGTCAATTTGTGGCAGATTTTCTGTTGCATAGCAACAACAGCAACAGAACCGCTGTGTTAAGTCGCGAGTTCTTGAAATTTGATTCATCGCAAATATCTGGCTTCATTTTACAGTCATTAAAAACTACGTTTTTGATCTGTTCAGGCTTCGTTTCTATAAACCACTGAAGAAAACATGTAGCATCTGCTCAGGCTTCATTTCTATAAACCACTGAAGAAAACATGTAGCGTCTGATCTGGCTTCGTTTCAGACGTATCGAAGGACATATTTTAGATCTTTCTGGTTGGTCTTATGCCATTTCTTGCAAAGTTGTCTTAAAGTTTGGCTTATAGAAAGATTAAAATGAAAACATTTTAATTTATCTATGACATAGAACTGATCGAGTCATATAGATGATACTTCTTTCCAAGAGCTGTTTTTATGAGTATCTTCCCTCTATTGGAGTCCTGTTTATAAATGTTACTTTAAGGAAGCAGCCCTAATTTAAGCCGTTCATTCAGGTGTAAGTTTTTAGATATTGGTAAAATCATCGAAGGATTGGACTTGTCAGAATTCTCGTCAGGAATTACAAAAACACAGCGAACCGAGACCTTATAGCTCAGTTACTACTAAACTTCCATATTATTGGCGTACAGTTCACGGGTACTTCAAGTTGCAACTCTTGGATAATAAGAACTTTATATTTAGTCCATAAAACTTGAAGGTCTTCATTAGCGTTGTGTATACTTGAAAAAGTTGCATGTATCGAAACCAAAGATTTACCTTTCGCATGATTGGTTATTTCTGTCACATGATTTAAGGCATCATATCATATCTAACGTAATTAATTACTTACCAATCATAGCAAATATATCTGAATGATAAACAGATCCTTCTTTAGGATTGTTATCAGTGTCCTGTGGTCTTTTTAACATAAAACTCAATGCCAAACCAAAGTAGGCACCAAAACAGTGAATGACCATTGAGCCACCAGCATCAGCAACCTTCAGTTTATCCAGTAAGATAAACTCGTTGACAGAAAACATGACTATTTCAATGATTGCAATTATCAGGAGTTGAAGACGACTGACTTTACCCAAAACTGCGCCAAAGGTGATCAAGACTGCAGCGGCAGAGAAATCAGCCGTTACTAAGCTGAAAAAATAAGCAAAAAAGATTAGTACGTATTTCATCGCTATGGGTATTTCATTGTTTGCATTCAGTAAGATGTAATTTGTAGCTGCTGTTTTCTGTTGTTTTATAAATATCTTGGTTTCAACATTCAATTGTATATTGTGGTTGTAACTGTACTAATTTTCAAGAACAAGAGAAGTTCGTAGAAAGAAGATTTTTCTGTATGTATTGATCGTAAACGATCTTATTGTCGGTGACTTTGGGCTTATCGTTGAGAATTGTTGTACTCATCAAGAACAAACCTTTCCATATTTATCAGAATTTTTAATTCGCCGCCATGATGTCCTATGCATGCTCTGATAATCATATACCATTGAATAGCAAGAGCAGAAATAAAGAAATTGTAGCCAACTGCACTATAACCGTATTTCTTTAAGAAAGTCATGAGAAAACCAAAACCAACAAAAATCATCACTTGAACATCTTGGAACACTGCAGGAAAAAAGAAAAACTGTTCATCTCTAACAGGAATAACTGCCATTCTTTAAAAATAAATGAAATAGATAAGTTTTTTTCTTTGATGTTCATTTCGTTGATCAAAACGTATAACGCTAATTGTCAAAGAAAGATTAACGTTTAGCTTTCCTCCATTTAGTGGTCCAATTAAAATCTCAAACTCAGTCGTTTACATTATACAAACTCACATTTAAATATTTATTTATTCTTTTGAAAATTTTATATTGTTTCATTACATGGCGTCCTACACTTCCGTTGAAATAGCGTACTTTGATTGGTTCAGAAGATTTTTGAAAATGATCTAGAAACCAATCTCTAGATGTACTACCGTGTCAAGGGAGGCAAGGACGATATTGACAAAATAAAAAATAAGTTTGAGGAAAGGCTAAAAAACCAATCTTATTAAACATCAAAGCAGATATTCGACATAAAATATCGTCAGTTCTGCCACCTTTCAAGATGGCGGCTAGGCTTACTCGTGACTATTTTTGGCGGAGTCTGATAGATTGGGTTCTAGGCCATTCATTTTTGCTGGTCCACTAGTTTCCCGTACAGAAGACAAAATTTTCAACGTTAAATTTTTTACTGGCGAAAACTAGAGAAGTGAAAGCCAACCTTGCTGAAGAACGAGGATGAGAAAAGAAAGAAAGCTTCGTCTCAGATCATATAATAAATCATTTATTAACCTCGCTTAGTTACTCAGGCTTCACCGAGAAATGAAAACCTTATTTTACTATAGTACTATCTGTCGTATAGTACTGAACTCAACCTACGGGCTCAGTCTTAATAGAGAAAAACTTTGGTCCGATGTTTCGCCGTAAAGACCTTGAGCGACTTATTCGCAGGCAATACATCTACTTTTACTTTCATAGTATCGGTTGCGCAAGTTCTTTGTAATTAATAAATTAGGGGAAAATGTGATGGAGTTGTTTATTTTACCCCTATGTGTGTACGACACACTTGATCTTCGCGTGATCAGAGCATGATTCACATGTTCACGTGACACGTTTTGCAACTTCGAGAACAAATAATTCGAGGAAGATTATGTTTTATTTCAAAATGTATATTTCTTGAACATGTTTTTTGTTTGGTTGTTTCTAAAACCAAGGCCTTTGAGATATGACGAATGCCATGTGGTAAAATTGCTTGATATTTTTGTTACCAAATTTCTAATCATGTGAATTATTCAAATGTGGTATGCACATGTGTACGAAATATAAATGTTCCGTTTCAATAAATAATGTCTTCATGAAAATAAAACTATATAGAACATATTTGCCTCGCTATAAAAAGAGAACGCATGGAGTTAATAGGATGGATGTTAATTTTTCGCACCAAGTTTGAAAGTGTTCGGCTTTTCTGGGTGTATTCCAAAATATAATGCGTCTAATGTAAGCTACTTGATTTCCGAAGTGTAATTCGTTGGTATGATAATTGAAATTTGAAAATTAGGCGTGAATGTTTAGCTCGATTTTTTCATACGAAACTATCGAAGACAAAGAGTATTATAGGGAAATGTGTTTTGTCTCATTAATACATTTTCATCTATGTATAATGATAGTACGAGAAAATTATTAGCTTACTTGGGTAATAGTCGATTTTAGTTCCTTGGGTAGAGTTCTTTCCTGGTCCAGCTTCTTTTGGATCATACTTCACTAATGTTGCAAACAAAATAATCAAAATGATTTGAAAAACTTATCGTAGCCACATAATTTACAATGCTTACGTTGAATTGTTGGTTTTATGGTTTACCACTTGTATAACAGCGCTTTCATCATGGTCTACGCACAACGCTTTGCACTTTCTTGCGCAAAATTAGTTTAAGTAATAAATTACTTAAATTAAATTCCTGTATGTAAATTATGCTAATCTAAATCTTTTACCTGGACAGTTACATTATTATAGTACTAAACGCTCTGTTCTTGTTTTAAGCTTTCCATTCATGCTATTATTTTGATAAGCGCGTCTCGGCCCTACTGCCAAGAAGCAAGGCATTATTGACGAGCACTTTTAAAATTGCTGTTAAACATTTTGGAACTTCTGTAGGTTTTTCAAACTTGCCTCAACAATATTCAAGACAATGTTGAATGCGTCTTTGAAAGCAGCATCGAATTTTTCTAAGATCAAATGACAAACTGTGGAGGTCAATAGTATTTTATACCTTTACCATGTTACCTCAAACAAATATTAATACCAGTAGGAACCTGCTTTATATGTCTTAGAGAATGAAGACGCAGAAAAGCCGCCCTATTACATTCGTTTTTTGTTTTAAGGTATTAAATCCTCAACTTATTTTATAATGCGTCTAATGTAAACTACTTGATTTCCGAAGTGTAATTCGTTGGTATGATGATTGAAATTTGAAAATTAGGCGTGAATGTTTAGCTCGTTTTTTCATACGAAACTATCGAAGGCAAAGAGCTTTATAGGAAATGTGTTTTGTCTCATTAATACATTTTCATCTATGTATAATGATAGTACGAGAAAATTATTAGCTTACTTGGGTAGATTTTAGTTCCTTGGGTAGAGTTCATTCCTGGTCCAGCTTCATTTGGATCATACTTCACTAATGTTGCAAACAAAATAATCAAAATGATTTGAAAAACTATCGTAGCCACGGCGAATTTCATTTTATTGGAATAATTTACAATGCGTTGTTTTATTGATTCAATGCAATGCAATTGAAGTACAGGTATGCTAACTATGTTGTAATGCTGTTAACTGCAAGATTGTTGAAGTGTTTTTTGGCATTTGATCGTTTTTTATTGGCTTGTCCAAAATTGCATTCATTGATTGTATCAAATGACAAACTTGGAATTCGCCGTGAAATTATTTTTATGTTATTTTCGTGATGATATTATGTATTGTGATTTTAGGAGGACGCTATTCAAGTTTTCAAATACGTTAAGAATTGAAAATTACAAATTTATGTGTCAATACATTACAGGTTAATGCCAACGAGGCACATACACACAGTGGCGTAACTTCTATGAGCTCTTGTGGGGGAGCAGAACAGAGCCATGGGCAGCTAAGTATTCAGGTTGGAATGGTGCAACCTGAACAGTGTTGTTTATGAAAACAAATATAGAAGTAGGTTTATATTTGGGAAAATGGAAGCACTGGATAGTTCTTATTAAAAGTCATGTTTGAATTCGTGTTCCTTGTAATTTAAAAGTTGTACATTGGGTATTTTTCGAGTTAATATTGCATTCTGTTAACGATTTTTAACGAAAATGTTTAAGTTGTCAGATTTCGGTGTTAGGAGAGGCACGCCATCCAAAAAGGACCACAGGCAGCCTGATTCAAACTTACACCACTGACCCGACAATTACATTGGTTGTTTAGTTAAGAAATAAGATATGTTTACTGTGTTTGTACAGGCTTTTGCAAAGCAAAGAGACCTTTGGGAGAACTCAAGAGTTGATCAGTGCTACTTGCTGGTTTTAATGTGAAACAAAATGTTTTTGATTTGCCGACTCGTGAACTATTATACGACGATAAAGTCTTCTGGGAAGTAAGTTTGCAATGCTTTAGGTAAAGCAATCGCTCTTCTCATGGTGAATTTTTTACTCGTTTACAAAGTTAAGTCAACTTTTATCGCGCTTGCCGTTTCACTAAACTAGGTGATAAATATGCATTGTGCATACATAACTGACAGTTCTTAAGAAATAATAGATGTTTAGTATGTTTGCACAGGCTTATGAAAACCGAGGAGCTGATCAGTGCAAGCTCGAGACCCGAAGGTCGTAGAGTTACACCTGCTCGACAGTTCTCACAAACGTCTCAGAGGTTTGCAAAAGCCAGTGTAAACAAGAAAAACATCTTTTATTTCTTTTATAAAATATCAATAATGCGAGACAGCCAAATCTAAAATAAACGTTTTAATGTATCCAAGATTGATTTGCTAATTCTCTTTCATTGATTAATTGATTGATTTAATTTGTTGAGCTCAGATCAGTTTTGCACATGCCAATATAAACACAGCTATTTAGGCAAATCAGCGCCCGCCGTTTATTGCGTTTATTTTGTAACTATGAACTATGGTAAGAATCACGAGAATTACTTAAAATACTAACTATAATTAAAAGTTGTTGTAGTTTCTAATCTATTAATGAAAATTCAAATTCTAACTAGTAAAAGTAGTAAAAGTATTTCTACAAACAAAATAATAATTTTAGGCAACCACGCAGGGCAATGTGAAAAGTTTCATTAGTTGAATATTAAAATGATCGTTTAATGTTTGAATGTAGTTTCGTGAAGTTAGAGTTGATTGCATTACGTAGGTCACGCTCACGGGACTTATCAATGTAAAACAAAGTTTTGGCTTCTTGAAAATGAAATAATTTTTGGACAAATTGAAATATACAACTACACTGCAAATGCTGTTAAAAAGGCGCCTTGGATTTGAACTGAATGTTTGAATGTTATCGATGAAAATACTGAACGCTCAATCCAAAGAATATTCACAAAAAAACATCTCTAAATACTCCTCAGTAATACGACCTTAATTCTCCAATATTATCTGAACAAGTCGTTCCACGCTTGTTTTGCACACTTTTGATTTTTCCAATTTTCGTTTTGAGATGTGAGCGAGGTCTTGGATTGACATTTGACAGTATCTTTCACCATAAGTCTTTTTTATGAACGTGTGTAAGGAATATGGCTGTTCTTTAATCAAATTTTCTTTGGGTATTTTATGCTTACGTTTCCGTTTGCTCGTTTTCTTTACTCACAATATGACACGATAAGACACCGTTCTGTGGATTGTGAATGCGTGAGCGACATTAGAGTGAAAATCGTGGAAAACCAATTTGGGTTCGTTTCAGGAACCCAATCTTTTAGATCAGCTTTCTTATTGCTCGATGTAAACGCAGTTTCATCAAATACTTCATAAATTAGTAAATTTTTCCCAAGCGACTTTCTTGATAGCATTTCATCTCCGTTTCACACCATCTCGTCCACCATTGATCCACGACACGTTTTTAATCCTTCACAATTGCAATCTTTCAATTTTTTACCAAAAATTATTTTTTGTAAAACTATTTTAAACAAATGCGAATTATTACTTGAGACCAAAAAAACTTATACGAAATACTTAAGCGTGACCGGCGTAATTAAATCAAATCATGCATCAACCATTCCATTCTTGCATTACACTTTGGTACCGCCAATTTGCATGTTTACAATTTTTAATGATTGCACTTACATGGTTACCTTTGCAAAAATGCCAAAATTACTGAATAAAGAAACAGTAAAAAGTTGTTGCTACTAAGCGTTTCTGCTGTGAGAACTAACCGCGTCTTCCACAACTTCGATTCTTCGATATAACAATGTAACCACGACAACATCGATGAGTCTTCCAGTTGTAACTACGGTAACCACAACAACTTGAGCCGTTGCGTTTGGAAACAATTCGACCACGGCAACATAACGAAACTTTGTAATTGTACAATCGACTTCCACAGCAAGAATAACCTTTTTTTCGTAAAGAAAGTTTTCCACCACAACATACGTGAGTTTTATATTTATAAACACGCACTTTGGAGCCACTTCTACAACAAGAATAACCACTTCCACCATAGTAAATTTTGCTGTAACAACATGTTTTCGATTTGTAATTGTACAAGCGACGCCCACAACACGAATAACCACTTCCACCTGTATATACTTTGCCGCTACAACATTTCTGAGTTCTGGTGTTGTACGTTCGTGCTGAAAAACCCCATACACAACAAGAATAACCACTTCCTCCTAAAAGAATTCTGCCACTACAACATTTATGAGTTCTATAATTGTACAATCGACTTCCACAACAAGAATAACCACTTCCTCCTGAATATACTTTGCCCCTACAACATTTCTGAGTTCTGGTGTTGTACGTTCGTGCTGAAATACCCCATACACAACAAGAATAACCACTTCCTCCTAAAAGAACTCTGCCACTACAACATTTATGAGTTCTATAATTGTACAACCGACTTCCACAACAAAAATAACCACTTCCTCCTGAATATACTTTGCCCCTACAACATTTCTGAGTTCTGGTGTTGTACGTTCGTGCTGAAATACCCCAGACACAACAAGAATAACCACTTCCTCCTAAAAGAATTCTGCCACTACAACATTTGTGAGTTCTATAATTGTACAACCGACTTCCACAACAAGAATAACCACTTCCTCCTGAATATACTTTGCCCCTACAACATTTCTGAGTTCTGGTGTTGTACGTTCGTGCTGAAATACCCCATACACAACAAGAATAACCACTTCCTCCTAAAAGAATTCTGCCACTACAACATTTGTGAGTTCTATAATTGTACAACCGACTTCCACAACAAGAGTAACCACTTCCTCCTAAAAGAATTCTGCCACTACAACATTTATAGGTTCTATAATTGTACAAACGACTTCCACAACAAGAATAACCACTTCCTCCTAAAAGAATTCTGCCACTACAACATTTATGAGTTCTATAATTGTACAATCGACTTCCACAACAAGAATAACCACTTCCTCCTGAATATACTTTGCCCCTACAACATTTCTGAGTTCTGGTGTTGTACGTTCGTGCTGAAATACCCCATACACAACAAGAATAACCACTTCCTCCTAAAAGAACTCTGCCACTACAACATTTGTGAGTTCTATAATTGTACAACCGACTTCCACAACAAGAGTAACCACTTCCTCCTAAAAGAACTCTGCCACTACAACATTTGTGAGTTCTATAATTGTACAACCGACTTCCACAACAAGAGTAACCACTTCCTCCAAAAAGAATTCTGCCACTACAACATTTATGAGTTCTATAATTGTACAACCGACTTCCACAACAAGAGTAACCACTTCCTCCTAAAAGAACTCTGCCACTACAACATTTGTGAGTTCTATAATTGTACAACCGACGTCCACAACAAGAGTAACCACTTCCTCCTAAAAGAACTCTGCCACTACAACATTTGTGAGTTCTATAATTGTACAAACGACTTCCACAACAAGAATAACCACTTCCTCCTGAATATACTTTGCCCCTACAACATTTCTGAGTTCTGGTGTTGTACGTTCGTGCTGAAAGTCCCCATACACAACAAGAATAACCACTTCCTCCTAAAAGAACTTTGCCTCCACAACATTTATGAGTTTTATAATTGTACAATCGACTTCCACAACAAGAATAACCACTTCCTCCTGAATATACTTTGCCCCTACAACATTTATGTGTTCTGGTGTTGTACGTTCGTGCTGAAATACCCCAGACACAACAAGAATAACCACTTCCTCCTAAAAGAACTTTGCCTCCACAACATTTATGAGTTCTATAATTGTACAACCGACTTCCACAACAAGAATAACCACTTCCACCTGAATATACTTTGCCCCTACAACATTTCTGAGTTCTGGTGTTGTACGTTCGTGCTGAAATACCCCAGACACAACAAGAATAACCACTTCCTCCTAAAAGAACTCTGCCACTACAACATTTATGAGTTCTATAATTGTACAAACGACTTCCACAACAAGAATAACCACTTCCTCCTAAAAGAATTCTGCCACTACAACATTTATGAGTTCTATAATTGTACAATCGACTTCCACAACAAGAATAACCACTTCCTCCTGAATATACTTTGCCCCTACAACATTTCTGAGTTCTGGTGTTGTACGTTCGTGCTGAAATACCCCATACACAACAAGAATAACCACTTCCTCCTAAAAGAACTCTGCCACTACAACATTTGTGAGTTCTATAATTGTACAACCGACTTCCACAACAAGAGTAACCACTTCCTCCTAAAAGAATTCTGCCACTACAACATTTATAGGTTCTATAATTGTACAAACGACTTCCACAACAAGAATAACCACTTCCTCCTAAAAGAATTCTGCCACTACAACATTTATGAGTTCTATAATTGTACAATCGACTTCCACAACAAGAATAACCACTTCCTCCTGAATATACTTTGCCCCTACAACATTTCTGAGTTCTGGTGTTGTACGTTCGTGCTGAAATACCCCAGACACAACAAGAATAACCACTTCCTCCTAAAAGAATTCTGCCACTACAACATTTATGAGTTCTATAATTGTACAAACGACTTCCACAGCAAGAATAACCTTTTTTTCGTAAAGAAAGTTTTCCACCACAACATACGTGAGTTTTATATTTATAAACACGCACTTTGGAGCCACTTCTACAACACGAATAACCACTTCCACCATAGTAAATTTTGTTGTAACAACATGTTTTCGTTTTGTAATTGTACAAGCGACGCCCACAACACAAATAACCACTTCCACCCAAAAGAATTCTGCCACTACAACATTTATGAGTTCTATAATTGTACAACCGACTTCCACAACAAGAATAACCACTTCCTCCCAAAAGAATTCTGCCACTACAACATTTATGAGTTCTATAATTGTACAACCGACTTCCACAACAAGAATAACCACTTCCTCCTAAAAGAATTCTGCCGCTACAGCATTTATGAGTTCTATAATTGTACAACCGACTTCCACAACAAGAATAACCACTTCCTCCTAAAAGAATTCTGCCACTACAACATTTATGAGTTCTATAATTGTACAAACGACTTCCACAACAAGAATAACCACTTCCACCTAAAAGAACTTTGCCACTACAACATTTATGAGTTCTATAATTGTACAATCGACTTCCACAACAAGAATAACCACTTCCTCCTAAAAGAACTTTGCCGCTACAACATTTATGAGTTCTATACTTGTACAACCGACTTCCACAACAAGAGAAACCACTTCCTCCTAAAAGAACTTTGCCACTACAACATTTATGAGTTCTGGTGTTGTACGTTCGTGCTAAACTTCCCCATCCACAACAAGAATAACCACTCCTTCTTAGAACAAGTTTTCGACCACAGCAGTAGGAATTTGCTCTTTTAACGAAAGCAGTTCCATAACAACATGTATGAGTTCCATAATTGTAAATGCAGCTTCCGCAACAGGAATATCCTTTCGACTTTGGAAAAATGTTTCTAGAACAACACATGTATGTTCTGTGGTTGTATGATCGTCCGCCACAGATGGATCGACGTTCTTTTTTGTCTAGCTTATTGGCATAAGCTTGAAATGAAAAAATAATGTTGTAATATTAGCTTTATTTATCTGAAAAATTTTCTACGTATATTGTTACTACCAAACTGAAACATGTGATGCTTTCAGTTTTGGGTAATTTGGCCAATCACCCTATGATAATTTTTTCTTTTTTAAAATTAGTCGTGTGCGAAGAACGGGTTTGCTCTCTCAGATCAAAAGTCTTGTGAAATTAACTTTTTGCGATCTTCATGAATTTTTGTATTAATTGTCTCTAATTCATTTGCTATTGTTTGAAGTTGTTTTCATGCGCTGACGTTAACCACATATAATTTTTTCAGCACTTTTTTACTGTGTTCATATCGTTGCAAATTCAAGTAGTCAAAAATAATTAATTCAAATTAGCTGAAAAAATAAAAGTAACATTTACATATTGTTATTGGTGTAAGTTTTCTGTTGCTTTATGTTTAAGACAAATACCAAATCAAACATGTTCACTACTAACCCAGAAATCCACTGATGTACAACGCAACAATTGCCAAACAAAACCAATTCATTTTCATGATCCTATTCAAATCGCCTTTAGACAAGGTTTGATGTCATTGCTACCACCATCACCTGAACAGTTGCACTGAGTGAACTTTGTAAACTCCAAAGGTTTTCTCTTCTTCAAAAAAGGAAATGACGTAAATGCATTATTCTTCTTCTCTAGATTCTAAGACAAAAGTCTTTGTTTGTTAGAATGATGAGCACACACTTATCCTGAGTGTATCGATGAACAGGCACATGGCCAAATTTTCAGTTGTATATAGTAATATATGAATTTGTACTGGTCGACAAGTTGTAAATTTAGCTGTTGATTTTTTCGTTAATGCAAATCCTCCAAAAGTCAAAATTATTTTTACTTAATGCAATGTATGAAACTGAGGAGTAGTAGTAATATCAGAAAATATTCATCTTGCCGTATATCAAAGATGCGTACAGAAAATTCTTATTTTACATCGAAATAAAACATTTCATATGATATTTTCATAAAATCTTTTTCATAAAAAAAATGTGCCTTGTACTTCCCTGAGGAGGTTTAACATGGTCGAGAAAATATGAGAAAAATTGAATGAACAAAACCCTTTTCACGAATGCTTTTCCTGTGCGTATGTACACTAAATATTTCAAGTGGTACTTATCTATAAGCAAAAATTCTCTTTTTGAATTGTTTATCATTCATAAACATCATATTTTCTGTTGATCTTATAACAGAAGATTATTATCGTGTAATTGTGGACTCAACTGCAAACGTTTGTAAAATTTATTCGACGCGATTACGTACATGTCAATATTCACAATTTCTAAAAACAATGCAGTAGCGGTTTGCTGGACAATCTTTGGCCTTTTTAACTGTCATCTATATCAGAACTGCTTTTAAGCCTAAACATGCGTGGTTCAAGAAAATGAAAACTAGCAGAAATCTTTATAAACTTAAATTTTATTTTGTTTGAGTTTAAAAAGAATGTCTTTCCTGTATACAAATCATAAGTGCACTTAAATTCGTGAAAGCAATATGATTAATATATTTGTCGCTCGGACTTTGTTTGCCCAATAACCGGAACATTGCTGAAAACGTCTTTGTTCCCCCTATGAGCAGTAATAATCAACAGACAATTTTTACTAAAATGACATATTTTAATAATCTTTCGTATTATCAACATTAAAATTTTTCAGACCTATAAAAATTAGAAAATTACCTTACTTCTAAGCAAATTTGCTATTGCACCAACATGTACACAAACGTAACTATTTTTAATGAAATAGTTCCACGATTTTATGTTTTGTAGTGTGTTCTGTCACAAACAACAACGAAATGTTTAAACGTAGCTTAAAACCCTAAGACAAGTTTTGTTTCGTGACCATTGATGATAATTGACGATAGTAGCTAACTAGTGTATAGTTCGTACCATATCGTAACACTGTCATCGAAACAATTTGTTTATTTGATATTATTTGCTTGCAGCAAGCAAGAAGCCACGTTCTCTGAGTTGCTTTGCTTAGTTATATATACAATATAAAAAAAAACTTATATTGAAAGTATCAGAAATTTACGTTCTTCTTGTTCATAATAACATCATGTCGAATGAAACATTCTCTTCGGAGTAAATAATGATAACAATTCACAAATGTGAGTATTACGAAGAGAGTCAATGCCTCTGTTAAGTTAAGACTGCCGTTGCGGCGGTATACGATACTGATCCTTGACCTCGTACATTCTCATTGGACGTAAAACACAGTATTTTGAATACATAAAAAAGCATGCTCGTAGGTCTTTTTTTACGTTTTAAGATAAGACCTTTGACAAACCAAAAAATATAGAGTAAAGATCTTAACTGTTGAAATTTGGAAACAGTTAAAGTCAAACTGTTGGTAAAGCTAGAAAAGAAAATAAATATATTTTAGAAAAAGCCTGTTTCAACAATAAACAAAGATGAAGTTTTTAATGGAAATACAAAGACCTTTTTGTGTTGTAAACTAATATTGCATTGAAATTAAACATAGTCCAACAAACTTAATGCTACAGCTTCTTATTCCACCAATAGTATAGATAGTGCACAGTCCCAGAAACAGTGCAGTGGCAATATATTGTTCCAAATGTTATTAATCTTCCAAATTTGTTCAAGCACTAATTTAAAATTCCTGTACAGTTATAACTTTTCGTGGTCATTTCCATACTTAATGACACCATTGAGTGGGCTCCCTTCCAAAATTGAGATGGACGTCTTTATACTCTTTTTATTAATTAACTCAGAAAACTCCATGACTATATATTGTCAGTTGTGTGATCAACGAAAGTCTATGCTTGTAGTTATATTTATATGTACGATATTTATTTGTACGATTTTAATGTTTTCTATAGATCTTGGACAGAATATTTGTAATTTGGAATCTCTGGCTAAATAACAGGAAAGAAAACAAATCACATACTGGAGGGCCCTTGTCACAAGAGCAAGCGTCAGACAAAAAAAATGCGTCATCTCCACGTATATTCTTTTTTATAACCGAATCTGCTCATAAATATCATAAATTTTCATATAGATATACTTCATGCATTGATTGGTAAAATATACCCTTGTGATGCTGCAGTAAGTCCGACTTTTACTAATGTATCGTTGTTTATGTCTTTTTAATTAAGATAATAATGATTTTCTTTGAAATGCATTTGATTGAGCACACTATTAATGTTTGCACTAAAGTATTACGTTCGCCTGAGTTGCTTAGGTGCTTGAGCTTTCTTTAAAAGCGTTTTCCTAATATATCAATGTTAAGACAGGAGGTACAAAAATCAGTAAATTTCAACTTGGCTAGAAAGGCAAATTAGCTTACGTCATGTAGACCCTGTAGCTAGATAGCATAGGCTAAGAAGGCAAATGAGTAAAATGTCATTTCGATTACATTACAACGGCTGGAAATTATATTAGGATCGTCAGAGGGCAGACAAATTTTTACTTCTCGGTGTATTACAAACTACGTTACATCCACCTTTCGACGACTTGAGAAAGTTCAATTATTATTTGGTAAAATCCAAAGTAATGTAATTGTTAATCTTCTACCATCTAGAAGACATGCATGAAGTCGAGGCTCGTGAAGATGGAAATTGTTTCTATCGGCGTATTGCGCTTGCTACTAATGGCAACGATGAATAGTTTTGTGAGAGCAAAGTGTAATGAAATGATAGCCGAGCATCCCTAACTGTCCGAGCATCCCTATATGTTTTCCCTATTTGCGGGTATCTCGCTTAATTGAAGGTGAATAAAATCGAAGTATACAAAGTGCGCCATTTTAACAATTTTTACGGGGTATCTTCGAATCATTGCAATAATCAAAGACAGCACAACTGCGCAATGATCTCCTTTTGCCATTTTCTTTTCAAAAGAAGCATAAAATCTACAGTAAAAACGATTTTATAGCCTTCAAACGAATTAAAAAAGTCTATCGACTATCAATTCAAAGAAACGACTATCAATTCTAAAATTTTTATGTCTGACACATGGCCATAGTGACATGGCGATCCCAAAATGCTTTGCAGTCAGCGCAAGATACTCGAAATGGCAACTTACTCATGGGAGTGTCATCAATCTTTGTCTTTAAATCAGTGCTGCCACTCGTAGGGGAAATGTGCATACACAGAGTGGAAGCACTGATTTAAATACACAACACAATTATATATTTCAAATTTGAATTTTTGCTACTTCCTGCAAAAACAATGTTTTTTGTTGTCTGCAATGACAAAAACAATCTTTGTCTCCTCGAATGTCATGTTTTTAATGAACTTTAGAAAAAGTATTTGTTGTTTTGCATTTCTTGCCAAATAAAAAGAAAGAGCTCTTTGAAAGAGATATTGCAATAAGAACGAGACTGAGTCATAAAAATTCACTAACTCTGCCGGAATAACTTGTACTACGTAATTGCTTTAAAAAACCTATCTCAGGTATCCGAGACAACTCCCTGCTCATAAGCAGGCGCTAATTTCTGGATTTTTCCATAGATTTGTAAGCCAGTGAAACCAATGAAAAATCATGTTTTCTTTGGCATCACAAAAAAAGAGAACTTGCTTTCAGATTTCAAATAATAAAATGTGAATGATAAAACTTACTTCAAATAATACACAAACAACTCTACAAAAACATGTCTGACAAAGCCATGTCCGAATGAAGGGACTAATGTACAAAAACACAGAACAAACATCCAACAGCATTCGTACAAATGCAGCTTTTTAATTTCATGTTATAATATTCAAATATTGGTACATATTGGTGCAAATATTTTCAGTTATTTTCTTACTTATAAGATATTTGTGATGAAACGTACATGCTTAACTTTTATGAATCAGGAGGCGATGATATTTCACAGGTAACAATGACCCACATTTATTGACGCGAAAGAATAGTTGGACAAGTGAAGATTGCACACGATGATCTCGTTGCGCATAAATTTCACTTCCTTTCAAGTATATTATCAATGACTATAATGTTGTATGTCCTATAGTTCTCATCTGAAGATCCAGTAAAGTTTTTTTTTTCATGAGTAAGGACTAAAAAGAGATATTGTAGCTACTAGCAAATGATACCCAGCAATTTCCACAAAAGGAGAAGCTATGGTATTGGTGAGTGTTGACAATTAAGGATTGTGTTGACGTTAGTAACTATAGAAACAATTCTGTTGACAGTTCAATTTGACAAAAGCAAAAATTTTTATTTCACCTGGAAAAGGTGGTGATTTACGATTTACTTCAATTGTTAGTTACTATCAGTGGCAGATTACTAATTACAGGACCTGTAGGCTAAGACAATGTTAAAGGCCTTTAAGCAATACCTATTCCTCCCACTAAGTTCAGTTTTCTTTGCTTTTGTGTTTCCTGTTAGTAACCCCGTAGAGTAAAAAATGGGAAAAGTTCATTTTAAAATTCAAACGAAACTTCAAAAATCATTGACATGGTCAGAGAAATAGGAAAAGCCAATACTTCATGAGTTCTGAGTATTGCGCATTTAAACATTAGATAATAGTACGAAAGCCATTTTTCCTCTGCATTCAATTGCATATAAGGTTTTCAACAACATGAATGGTCTAAATTAAGCACATTTAGCTGGCCTAGCTGGAATACCAAAAACGTTCAATCCTAATTATGTCCAGATTGAACGGGCCTCTCAAAAGCCCTGGCCTCTCAAAAGTGCGGGCTTGTAGGCTTAAGCCTACTTAGCCCACTGGATAGTCCGCCAAATGGTTATTACTTGTAGATGTTTTCTTTCTTGTCAAAATTTTGATAATGTTGCGAGCACAATATGCTTGACATAACAGCATGTTTTCAAATTTGTTTAAATATCAATTACCCATTGAAATGAGAAAAAAGTATGAACTTACTTATAAAGTTGAATTGCATATTCAGCGGTTAATGGCAATGGCAAATTATTTGGTTAGGGTTGTTGACTGCACTAACGGTGGTGGTATAATGAAACGTTTTAATAGTTTAGCCTTTTTTTGTAGATACAGTTTAGTCATTATTGTGAAATCATCAAAATGACCGGATTTTTATAAATAGGAAACCTTCATGTTCGTTTCAATGGTCACAATTATACATGTATGATGCAAACCATATAGTTTAGCAAAGCTGAAAATTTCCAACTCAACATCTGAAATGCAGTTGGATTTTAACGTTAAAGCGGGTGCAGTGCAGATTATAATTAATTTAGTATGCAAACTTTTTTCTTTGTCTGTTAAAAATAGAGCATTTCAAAGCCAAGTTAATTGAGACGTTTAACTTTTAGGCGCTGAATCAATTTACTTTTTGTGCAGGTCATAGATTGCATTTCGGCAAATAATCTTAATGTCCACAATCAGACTAATTAGTGCAGAGTCTGCAGACGCCAACCTTTTCTAATGCAAAATAGCGTTTTTTTGTTCGGCACATATGAGAAGGACGGTGTGTAAGAACTTTGTTTTTCTACATTAAGTATTTAGACTGCTCTGTTGTTCTTAATCATCAAATTCTTGACTTGCAAGTTGCAACCACAGCAACTAATCTCCTGGGATTTACCAAAAAATAACATTCGTCACTCCTGCTAATGTTGCAATATCATTGATACAAAGATGTGCAATATTATCTACGTAGATAATAATATTTTACGCACTTAATTGATAGCTTAGCATAATTATGGCATTGAACTTATCACAATAAGTCAATTTCTAAGGTTTATGATCAAAGTTTTTTACACCTCGTAGTCTCCTTGTTTCTCCTAGATATTTACGAGTGATAATATTTCAAACGAAATGTTTATGCCACCTATTTTTGAATTGTTATTTTGACATGATATTTAACATGATATTTGAACGCTTCACCGGGTAGTGCATATACATTCGTTGAGTAAATTATGACTATAGCCAAAAGGTATTTCTTCTGATGTGATAGAATCGTAAACGCTTGTTTCAAAATCTTGTCACTTCCCAACATTGACTAATAAGATGCATATTTCGCTTATCTAGGCTACAAGCATTTTATGCTGGTTACAACTTGCATCGTTTCAAAGAAATAATTGTGGTCAGATAAAATTAATGAGATGTAATGAACTACGATGTGGATCCTCCTGACTAAAACTTGGTCTTGGTTGGTTTTCATAACGTAAGAAATTACTGAAAAGTCGGCTCATCTTGCTGGGCAATCAGGTCATTGTGTGCAAGTTGATGTTGTACATGTATATATAGTTTAATTAGATTACTGCCTACTGTTAAGGTTGTTTCTTTTATAGCCATCTCAATCATCTTAGCCGTCTGCATTGTGTTTGAGTCGTTTCAGGTTTTTCAGTCGTCCAGATAGAGCGCTGTCCAAACGGTCCGTGTTGTAACAGTTCTAACTGGAAACATCAAACGGTCCGTGTTGTAACAGTTCTAACTGGAAACATCATACAACTAAGACACGACTATTAAATAAAGACATCTCAGCATTCTTATTGGTCAGAAAATCATATTGACTTGCCGCCGTTTTGTTAATCACATGCGTCATAAGAATATAAGATATGAGTTGCACAAAAAGATGAGGTGACCCTACTGTATGTTTCCTATACTGCTATGTTTCCTATACTGCTATGTTTCAAAACTATTAGACTGACCATCAATAGTGGATTACTCAGTAGGCTATGTAGTCTGAAGCCTACTGGCCTGAGCCTTGTTTTTTTGAACAAGAAAAAAGTGCAAGTATTGTATCAGTAAAAATCTTTCCTAAGCAATTCCACAAGCAAATATTTCAAAACTTGCTACTAGATCTCAAGTTATAAAGTTACACAATATAAAATATGTAAGTACATTGTAAATAACATACATTGTAATCTTACTAACTATAAAAATCACAAAAACTTCATGATGATGTAATATCCTACCAGTGATGTCACTTGTAAAATTAAATTATAAATATTGATAAACGTATGACACAAGTAATTTACTTGTTGTTTAAATATGTATTTTGAATAGTATTAAACGTATGAGTATAAATTAATAACATTTGACAGTTGACAACCATGCGATTTATTAACTTGAAAACATGTTTCGACAAAAGTGTAAAAGACAATTAAATAGTCTTGAAAAACAATGTTCTCCCAAACAACAAACTGTTTAAGCTCATCAAAATTTTCATCAAATGGCTACTAAAATCACAAATGTGTTACAAAACGTCTTCAACAACTTTAATTCTTCGATACAACAACTTTGCCACCTCAACATTTCTGTATTTAGAGTTGTACGTTTGTACCCAACTACCCCATCAACAAAAAGAATAACCACTTCCTCCTAAATAAACTCATTTGACACAACATTTTTGAGTTTTATAACTGACATCCACAACAAGAATAACCTCTTTTTTAGAATTAATATTTCCAAAAAAATGCTTGAGTTTTAGAATAGTACAAGCCTCTTCCACAACAAAACCAACAACTTCTGCTTGAGAAAACACTACCTCTAAAACATTTATGACTTTTGGTGTTTTATGTTTAAGCTAAACTGCCCCATCCACAACAAGAATAACCATTTCCATGTAAGAACGTATTGTCTACCACAACATTTTGCATTTTTTGTTTAAACATAAAGAGTTCCAGGACAGCACTTGTATCTGTTGTTGTTGTTGTCAATCTCTTTTATTTAAATGTTTTATTTGTGCTGCAAAGAAGAACTGGTTAATATTGAAAACTAGTGTACTGATTATTATTAAGTTGGTTAATTCAAATTTGTTTAATCATTAAATTTACAACCAGACTGAAACAGCCTTTATGCAAAGACAAAAAGGTCTGATGGTTGCTCCTCTTAAACAATGTAAAGAGCATTAGAAAAATGAAAAAAATTATGAAATTGTTTTCTTTATTTGAGACGAAGATTTAAACCCTAGCCCTAACGCACACCCATCCCCAACCTAATTGTTGATAGTATTGAAGCTCAGGTAAAATCTTTCGTAAGCAAGAACACAAAAAAATATTTCAGAACTTGCTAACAAATCTCAAATTATATGCTTGCACATTACAAAGTATATAAGTATTGTAAATAGCATACATTGTTATCTTACTAACTATTAAAGTCAGAAAGCTCCATGATGTGATTCAATCAGTTCCAGAAATAATGTGTTTTAAATCTTGATAATGTAATATCCTACAAGTCACTGAGTTAGCCAAAATATGATTATAATCATTAGCAAACATATGATGCAAATATTTCACTCGTTTCTTTTTTTAACTTTTGAAACATGTATGTGAACATACAACACATAATTAATATTATGAGAGTTGATGACATTTCGTAGGTGACACATACGTGATTTATTGACGTGAAAGCATTTTTGGATGAAAAACGATGTTCTTTAAAGCGTAAGACAAACTTGCAACTGATATTTCAAATGATTGATACATGCAATGTACTGTAGCTGTCAAAGATTTGGAGGAGTTTTTTGCACTAGAAAAAGTGAAAAGACGTCTTTTAGGAAATATCACTATCTGATCATTTAAATTGTCTTGTTAGCGAATTTTTCAAAAACTCGACGCACCAAATTTTATTTAGAAATTGCTAGATTCAACTGCTGTTCTTCAATGTTAGAATGGTTAACGTCCAGGTTGCTAGTTGACAAAGTATGCCACGATGATTATTGGCCTTTTCCCGTTTTTTTCTGAAGGGACATATCCAAAATATGCAGTTCGTGTAGTTAATGATTTTATCAATCTTTAATTTGAAATATTCTTTAATTTCAGCACTTTTCCTCTTTCTTTTGATGAATTTAATTTCAATCCTCATACCTTTTTTCTTTGAGTTCAACGCTCTTTATTTTTGACAAGAAGAGTTATGAGACATAACATTCGTCAACAACAATTCGCAGTGACTCGTTTTTAGAAAACAGTGTTAATTCCTTTCTGGATCTTTGTTTAAAACTTTTGGTTTATGAAATCACCAAATGTTAAATTTTTACCAACGTACTTTTCAAAATGTTACACATGCCAAAGGACAATAATTCACAATTTTCATCTAAGTTTTCTTCACAAGTTTGAATAATCATACATATTGATATTCAGCATCTCTCTCTTTCTTCAAAATACCCTTTTCTCAAATCTTTACTAATGTCTTTACAGATTTTTCATCATGACCCTTTTAATTACATCTTTCCTCATTGCCATATAATATTGTAAATCGATGATTCAATGTCTATGTTTTAGAACTATTCGTCCTATTTAATGATGTAGTAACTGTCCTACATAAACATTTTAGATCTCTACTTTGTTTTGTTTGTAAGTTAACAAGTTAAAAACCCCAAGAACTGTTTCGTCAAGCATGCTTTCACGTGTTTAGAAATATGCAGAGGTGTCACAAGAAATAACAACAAATCACAAGAAAACTGATATAAGCACAAAAAATGACATACTTAATAAGCCAACGAGAAATTTTTCAAACTCATGAAAATTTGCACCAAACGGCAACTAATATCATTAACTATAAAAAATTACAAAAAAACTAATGAATATACGTTCTTACTTCCAGAACTAGCCCCGTCTTGGACAACTTTGAGATTTGGACACAACAATGTAACCAGGACAACATCGATGAGTCTTCCAGTTGTAACTACGGTAACCACAACAACTTGAGCCGTTGCGTTTGGAAACAATTCGACCACGGCAACATAAAGAAACTTTGTTATTGTACAACCGACTTCCACAACAATAATAGCCACTTCCTCCAAAAAGAACTCTGCCACTACAACATTTATGAGTTCTATATTTGTACAACCTACTTCCACAACAAGAATAACCCCTTCCACCTAAACGAACTTTGCCGCTACAACATTTATGAGTTCTCGTGTTGTACGTTCGCGCTGAAATTCCCCAACCACAACAAGAATAACCACTTCCTCCTAAAAGAACTCTGCCACTACAACATTTATGAGTTCTAAAATTGTACAAACGACTTCCACAACAAGAATAACCACTTCCTCCTGAATATACTTTGCCCCTACAACATCTCTGAGTTCTGGTGTTGTACGTTCGGGCTGAAATACCCCAGACACAACAAGAATAACCACTTCCTCCTAAAAGAACTCTGCCACTACAACATTTATGAGTTCTATAATTGTACAACCGACTTCCACAACAAGAATAACCACTTCCTCCTAAAAGAATTCTGCCACTACAACATTTATGAGTTCTAAAATTGTACAAACGACTTCCACAACAAGAATAACCACTTCCTCCTGAATATACTTTGCCCCTACAACATTTCTGAGTTCTGGTGTTGTACGTTCGGGCTGAAAGTCCCCAGACACAACAAGAATAACCACTTCCTCCTAAAAGAATTCTGCCACTACAACATTTCTGAGTTCTATAATTGTACAAACGACTTCCACAACAAGAATAACCCCTTCCACCTAAACGAACTTTCCCGCTACAACATTTATGAGTTCTCGTGTTGTACGTTCGTGCTGAAATTCCCCAACCACAACAAGAATAACCACTTCCTCCTGAAAGAATTTTGCCACTACAACATTTATGAGTTCTATAATTGTACAAACGACTTCCACAACAGGAATAACCACTTCCTCCTGAATATACTTTGCCCTTACAACATTTCTGAGTTCTGGTGTTGTATGTTCGTGCTGAAATACCCCATACACAACAAGAATAACCACTTCCTCCTAAAAGAATTCTGCCACTACAACATTTATGAGTTCTATAATTGTACAAACGACTTCCACAACAGGAATAACCACTTCCTCCAGAATATACTTTGCCCTTACAACATTTCTGAGTTCTGGTGTTGTATGTTCGTGCTGAAATACCCCATACACAACAAGAATAACCTCTTCCTCCTAAAAGAACTTTGCCACTACAACATTTATGAGTTCTATAATTGTACAACCGACTTCCACAACAAGAATAACCACTTCCTCCAAAAAGAACTTTGCCTCCACAACATTTATGAGTTCTATAATTGTACAAACGACTTCCACAACAAGAATAACCACTTCCACCTGAATATACTTTGCCGCTACAACATTTCTGAGTTCTGGTGTTGTACGTTCGTGCTGAAATACCCCAGACACAACAAGAATAGCCACTTCCTCCTAAAAGAATTCTGCCACTACAACATTTATGAGTTCTATAATTGTACAAACGACTTCCACAACAAGAATAACCACTTCCTCCTGAATATACTTTGCCCCTACAACATTTCTGAGTTCTGGTGTTGTACGTTCGGGCTGAAATACCCCAGACACAACAAGAATAACCACTTCCTCCTAAAAGAACTTTGCCTCCACAACATTTATGAGTTCTATAATTGTACAACCGACTTCCACAACAAGAATAACCACTTCCACCTGAATATACTTTGCCCCTACAACATTTCTGAGTTCTGGTGTTGTACGTTCGTGCTGAAATACCCCAGACACAACAAGAGTAACCACTTCCTCCTAAAAGAACTCTGCCACTACAACATTTATGAGTTCTAAAATTGTACAACCGACTTCCACAACAAGAATAACCACTTCCTCCTAAAAGAACTTTGCCTCCACAACATTTATGAGTTCTATAATTGTACAACCGACTTCCACAACAAGAATAACCACTTCCACCTGAATATACTTTGCCCCTACAACATTTCTGAGTTCTGGTGTTGTACGTTCGTGCTGAAATACCCCAGACACAACAAGAATAACCACTCCCTCCTAAACGAATTCTGCCACTACAACATTTATAAGTTCTATAATTGTACAAACGACTTCCACAACAAGAATAACCACTTCCTCCTGAATATACTTTGCCCCTACAACATTTATGTGTTCTGGTGTTGTACGTTCGTGCTGAAATACCCCAGACACAGCAAGAATAACCTCTTCCTCCTAAAATAATTCTGCCACTACAACATTTATGAGTTCTAAAATTGTACAACCGACTTCCACAACAAGAATAACCACTTCCTCCTAAAAGAATTCTGCCATTACAACATTTATAGGTTCTATAATTGTACAATCGACTTCCACAACAAGAATAACCACTTCCTCCTGAATATACTTTGCCCCTACAACATTTATGTGTTCTGGTGTTGTACGTTCGTGCTGAAATACCCCAGACACAACAAGAATAACCACTTCCTCCTAAAAGAACTTTGCCTCCACAACATTTATGAGTTCTATAATTGTACAAACGACTTCCACAACAAGAATAACCACTTCCACCTGAATATACTTTGCCCCTACAACATTTCTGAGTTCTGGTGTTGTACGTTCGTGCTGAAATACCCCAGACACAACAAGAATAACCACTTCCTCCTAAAAGAACTCTGCCACTACAACATTTATGAGTTCTATAATTGTACAATCGACTTCCACAACAAGAATAACCACTTCCTCCTGAATATACTTTGCCCCTACAACATTTCTGAGTTCTGGTGTTGTACGTTCGGGCTGAAATACCCCAGACACAACAAGAATAACCACTTCCTCCTAAAAGAACTTTTCCTCCACAACATTTATGAGTTCTATAATTGTACAACCGACTTCCACAACAAGAATAACCACTTCCACCTGAATATACTTTGCCCCTACAACATTTCTGAGTTCTGGTGTTGTACGTTCGTGCTGAAAGACCCCATACACAACACGAATAACCACTTCCTCCTAAAAGAACTCTGCCACTACAACATTTATGAGTTCTAAAATTGTACAACCGACTTCCACAACAAGAATAACCACTTCCTCCTGAATATACTTTGCCCCTACAACATTTCTGAGTTCTGGTGTTGTACGTTCGTGCTGAAAAACCCCATACACAACAAGAATAACCACTTCCTCCTGCAAGAACTCTGCCACTACAACATTTATGAGTTCTAAAATTGTACAACCGACTTCCACAACAAGAATAACCACTTCCACCTAAACGAACTTTGCCGCTACAACATTTATGAGTTTTATATTTGTACAAACGACTTCCACAACAAGAATAACCACTTCCTCCTGAATATACTTTGCCCCTACAACATTTCTGAGTTCTGGTGTTGTACGTTCGGGCTGAAATACCCCAGACACAACAAGAATAACCACTTCCTCCTAAAAGAACTTTGCCCCCACAACATTTATGAGTTCTATAATTGTACAAACGACTTCCACAACAAGAATAACCACTTCCACCTGAATATACTTTGCCCCTACAACATTTCTGAGTTCTGGTGTTGTACGTTCGTGCTGAAAGACCCCATACACAACAAGAATAACCACTTCCTCCTAAAAGAACTCTGCCACTACAACATTTATGAGTTCTAAAATTGTACAACCGACTTCCACAACAAGAATAACCACTTCCACCTAAACGAACTTTGCCGCTACAACATTTATGAGTTTTATAATTGTACAAACGACTTCCACAACAAGAATAACCACTTCCTCCTGAATATACTTTGCCCCTACAACATTTCTGAGTTCTGGTGTTGTACGCTCGGGCTGAAATACCCCAGACACAACAAGAATAACCACTTCCTCCTAAAAGAACTTTGCCTCCACAACATTTATGAGTTCTATAATTGTACAATCGACTTCCACAACAAGAATAACCACTTCCACGTCTATATACTTTGCCGCTACAACATTTCTGAGTTCTGGTGTTGTACGTTCGTGCTGAAATACCCCGTCCACAACAAGAATAACCACTTTCTCCGAAAAGAATTCTACTGCTACAACATTTATGAGTTCTATAATTGTACAACCGACTTCCACAACAAGAATAACCACTTCCTCCTAATAGAACTTTGCCTCCACAACATTTATGAGTTCTATAATTGTATGTTCTTGCTGAAATACCCCATCCACAACAAGAATAACCACTTCCTCCTAAAAGAATTCTGCCGCTACAACATTTATGAGTTCTATAATTGTACAATCGACTTCCACAACAAGAATAACCAGTTCCTCCTAATAGAACTTTGCCTCCACAACATTTGTGAGTTGTATAATTGTACAACCGACTTCCACAACATGAATAACCTCTTCCTCCCAAAAGAATTCTGCCGCTACAACATTTATGAGTTGTATAATTGTACAACCGGCTTCCACAACAAGAATAACCACTTCCTCCTAAAAGAACTTTGCCTCCACAACATTTGTGAGTTCTATAATTGAACAATCGACTTCCACAACAAGAATATCCACTTCCTCCTAAAAGAATTCTGCCACTACAACATTTATGAGTTCTATAATTGTACAACCGGCTTCCACAACAAGAATGACCACTTCCTCCTAAAAGAACTTTGCCTCCACAACATTTGTGAGTTCTATAATTGAACAATCGACTTCCACAACAAGAATAACCACTTCCTCCTAAAAGAATTCTTCCACTACAACATTTATGAGTTCTATAATTGTACAACCGGCTTCCACAACAAGAATAACCACTTCCTCCTAAAAGAACTTTGCCTCCACAACATTTATGAGTTCTATAATTGTACAACCGACTTCCACAACAAGAATAACCACTTCCTCCTAAAAGAACTTTGCCTCCACAACATTTATGAGTTCTATAATTGTACAACCGACTTCCACAACAAGAATAACCACTTCCTCCTAAAAGAACTTTGCCTCCACAACATTTATGAGTTGTATAATTGTACAAACGACTTCCACAACAAGAATAACCACTTCCACCTGAATATACTTTGCCGCTACAACATTTCTGAGTTCTGGTGTTGTATGTTCGTGGTGAAAAACCCCATCCACAACACGAATAACCACTCCCTCCTAAAAGAATTCTGCCACTACAGCATTTGTGAGTTGTATAATTGTACAACCGACTTCCACAACAAGAATAACCACTTCCTCCTAAAAGAACTTTGCCTCCACAACATTTATGAGTTCTATAATTGTATGTTCGTGCTGAAATACCCCATCCACAACAAGAATAACCACTTCCTCCTAAAAGAATTCTGCCACTACAGCATTTGTGAGTTGTATAATTGTACAACCGACTTCCACAACATGAATAACCTCTTCCTCCTAAAAGAATTCTGCCGCTACAACATTTATGAGTTCTATAATTGTACAACCGACTTCCACAACATGAATAACCTCTTCCTCCTAAAAGAATTCTGCCGCTACAGCATTTGTGAGTAGTATAATTGTACAACTGACTTCCACAACAAGAATAGCCACTTCCTCCTAAAAGAACTTTGCCTCCACAACATTTATGAGTTCTATATTTGTACAACTGACTTCCACAACAAGAATAGCCACTTCCTCCTGAAAGAACTTTGCCTCCACAACATTTATGAGTTCTATAATTGAACAATCGTCTTCCACAACAAGAATAACCACTTCCTCCTAAAAGAACTCTTCCTCCACAACATTTATAAGTTCTATAATTGTACAACCGACTTCCACAACAAGAATAGCCACTTCCTCCCAATAGAACTTTGCCTCCACAACATTTATGAGTTCTATAATTGTATGTTCGTGCTGAAATACCCCATCCACAACAAGAATAACCACTTCCTCCTAAAAGAATTCTGCCACTACAGCATTTGTGAGTTGTATAATTGTACAACTGACTTCCACAACAAGAATAACCTCTTCCTCCTAAAAGAACTCTGCCCCACAACATTTATGAGTTCTATAATTGTACAACCGACTTCCACAACAAGAATAGCCACTTCCTCCTAAAAGAACTTTGCCTCCACAACATTTATGAGTTCTATAATTGTACAACCGACTTCCACAACAAGAATAGCCACTTCCTCCCAATAGAACTTTGCCTCCACAACATTTATGAGTTCTATAATTGTATGTTCGTGCTGAAATACCCCATCCACAACAAGAATAACCACTTCCTCCTAAAAGAATTCTGCCACTACAGCATTTGTGAGTTGTATAATTGTACAACCGACTTCCACAACATGAATAACCTCTTCCTCCTAAAAGAATTCTGCCGCTACAACATTTATGAGTTCTATAATTGTACAACCGACTTCTACAACATGAATAACCTCTTCCTCCTAAAAGAATTTTGCCGCTACAGCATTTGTGAGTTGTATAATTGTACAACTGACTTCCACAACAAGAATAGCCACTTCCTCCTAAAAGAACTCTGCCCCACAACATTTATGAGTTCTATAATTGTACAACCGACTTCCACAACAAGAATAGCCACTTCCTCCTAAAAGAACTTTGCCTCCACAACATTTATGAGTTCTATAATTGTACAACTGACTTCCACAACAAGAATAGCCACTACCTCCTGAAAGAACTTTGCCTCCACAACATTTATGAGTTCTATAATTGAACAATCGTCTTCCACAACAAGAATAACCACTTCCTCCTAAACGAATTCTGCCTCCACAACATTTATGAGTTCTATAATTGTACAACCGACTTCCACAACAAGAATAGCCACTTCCTCCCAATAGAACTTTGCCTCCACAACATTTATGAGTTCTATAATTGTATGTTCTTGCTGAAATACCCCATCCACAACAAGAATAACCTCTTCCTCCTAAAAGAACTTTGCGTCCACAACATGTATGTGTTGTATAATTGTACAACTGAGTTCCACAACAAGAATAACCTCTTCCTCCTAAAAGAATTCTGCCGCTACAGCATTTTTGAGTTGTATAATTGTACAACTGACTTCTACAACAAAAATAATCTCTTCCTCCTAAAAGAATCCTGCCACTACAACATTTATGAGTTCTATAATTGTACAAGCGACTTCCACAACAAGAATAACCTCTTCCTCCTAAAAGAATTCTGCCACTACAGCATTTATGAGTTCTATAATTGTACAAACGACTTCCACAACAAGAATAACCACTTCCTCCTAGAAGAACTTTGCCTCTACAACATTTGTGAGTTCTATAATTGTACGTTCGTGCTAAACTTCCCCATCCACAACAAGAATAGCCACTCCTTCTTAGAACAAGTTTATGACCACAGCAGTAGGAATTTTTTCTTTTGACCAAAGCAGTTCCATTACAACATGTGTGAGTTCCATAATTGTAAATACAGCTTCCACAACAGGAATATCCTTTTGACTTTGGAAAAATTTCTCCAGAACAACATATGTAACTGCTATAGTTGTATGATCGTCCACCACAAATAGATCGACGGTCTCTTTCCTTTAGCTCTTTGGTATACGCTTGACATAAAAAAGTTTAATCATAGGATTTTTATTTTAAAAGAATTTGTGTCTCTGGTTTTGCTTCCAGCTATTTAATTCAACTTTTAAAATTTCAATTTTGATCATAATTCAGCCACTTTTTACAAGAACTTTTAGTTTTATCGTGATTGTGAAAATTATTTATATAATAAGTATGATGTAGAAAAGATTATTGGTAGTATTCTGTTTGTCCATCTGTCATCAGCAGTAAACATCGTCAGTTTCGCCACTTTTGAAAATTGCGGCTTGCCTCACTTGTAACTATAGAATTTTTGCGAAGTCAGATGCTTAGCAAGTTAGGGTCTAAGTCTTCAGTAAGTCCCGGGCTCAGTTGTGAAATTTTACAAATATTTTTAAAAATCAAAATTGAAATCTAAATATTTCTAAGACCTACATAAATTTTGCGAATGTAATAGTTCTCTACTGTATAAGTTTAGCAAATCATCTCCAAATATTATCAAGTTTTACTGATATGTTATTGACTTTTTGGTCATTTGAAATATCATGCCAATCAAGAGTTTTTTTTATTTGTAATGCTGCAGCTAGCCTTCGTAGTTTTGAAGGAGGGTGGGGTCATAATTTTGTTACATATTCCTTCTAAGTATAAGTTTATTTCTGAAATAAAATAATGAGAAAGTTATAGTTATATAAAACTGATAACGGAATTCATGAATATTGATCTTTGTACATAACATATTTCAATATAACAATTAATATCAATGTTATCAATGTGCATTGCAAGCAACTTATTTTCTTTGCACGCAGACAAAAAGGTCCATTCGCACACTCTGTGCTTCAACAGGCATCTTAGTAATACAGTAGCTAATTGTATATTTGTGTGGTTCGTAGATGAGCTTTTGCGAGACTTGCTTATCTTGGAAAACATACACGAACAATGAAAATAAACGTTCGAAAAAGTAACGAACTATTCTAAATGAGAACCATTTTGTAAGAAAACTTCTATACACATTTATAAATTTTCAAGAGACATGCGTTATAAAGTTCATTCGCAATGAAAGAATCTTTTTCACCCCTATATTAAGAGGTTCGAACGTTTAGATGTACAAGGTTTTACTGCTTCAAATTTATACAATTTTCATGAAAATTTGCGAGAAATCTTTCAGGCGCTTTACAGACATTTGTGTGAAACTAAACTATTTTTTTTCTGAAATTAGGATGGACAGCTGTGTTTTCAGTATAAAGTTAATTTGCTTGATCACTTTTCTAGAATTACCACCTACTGTCACATCAAGTGGTAGGATTGTTAAAAGCCATATAACACAAAACATCAGATGGCAGGGTTCCTGAGTATTACACGAATCATTACTTGGAGATAAAGTGAGAGCTAAAATGTAGAACTTTGTATTGCAGTCGGAAATATATATTCACAGTACATAAAAAAACTTCAAATCAAAGATATCCAGCTTACCTATCAATCCACTGACGTAAAACACACAGATTACCACAAAAAACCAATTCATCTTTAGTCCACGTTCATCAAAATTAATGAAGACTTCATTTATTGTACAATTTTTTCTTAAAGAAAATCTGAATAAAGTGTTACTGCTGGAACTTTCACCTTTCTACTGAATTATCCTGATCAATACAGAATGTTTTATTTTCTTTAAGAAAAAGGAAATGACGTAAATACTTTGTTTTATTATTGATTATTACTCAAGGAAACTGCATTGATGCATAGCAAATTGGTCAATTATAGAAAAAAAGAGAGACTTTATTGCAGTTTCTTTCATATGTTTTTTTTATCAAGTTGTCTCTAACATTGTTATGATAATTTATAACTAAGCCATAAAAGCGAGTACTAAATACATACCTCCATTTAAATATTATGTTTTTAAAATTTGTTTTAAGAGATGCTGTTTTGTGATGATTCCAGTAACTTTTAAGTTGACTACAGTTGCTATAATCAAACCTGATGTTACACTCTACTAATCGTCTCGTATTTGCTCATAAAACTATTGTTGAAACAATGGGATTATAATTCTTTTGCAGTTAGACACAAACGAATTAAGCGAGATATTACGTTCATCATACTGCATACACAAACAACGAGAGGGAAAATGAGCAAACTTTTAGTGTCTAATTCTTAGGATTGCAACCTATATCGCTAACAAAACTGCTACTACAAGATTTCAATTTCAATGGCTTGGGGGAACTAGAAAGCCATGGGTGTCAGATTGTCTACCTATCCAAAATTCTTGGAGTGTGGGTGTGCTTTATTGGCTAGACACCTACAAACGCTTGATTAGCTTGAACTTTTATCATGAATTAATGCCAACTTTGATGTTATAAAGTTTTAAATTAATGAAGAGAATCTTCCTTTTGACATAATGAAGTAAAATAAAACCGGATTAAAAATAACTAACAGTTTCATCATTAGTATTCGTTTCGTGGGTTATCACATCGTGAGCATAAAACACCTACAACTTATAAAGCTTTAAAGACCTTACTGGATTAATTGACAGACATCCACAAAATCCTTATAATAACGGGGGAATATATAGAAATGAAATTTAACATGTTGAAAATGTCCAAAATTTACTCTTGCTAACTTTTTGATTTATATCAACACATGAAGTCTGTCTGTAAACAACATTGCCATCCTCTTTCCTGTCTCTCGAGAAGTGAATAACAATCTCTAAAATAGATATGACCATGCATTACAAAGAGTCTTAATGCTATAGTTTAATTTAACTTTATAAAACATAACATTTTCATTGTTTTAGATCTCACTTTGAATATAAATCGTAAGTCAGGGACTAAAATCAGTTTGCGTTCTTTATTGTAAAGGAAATAAGAAAAATAGTTTAACAATTATGTCTTGGGTGTAGATAAAATTATTTATGTAGTTCAGTATTTAAAAAATTGAAAGGTCCTCAATAAGTATAAAGACTACAGAACTCTTTATAAATTTTTATATTGCTGGATTTACATGTCATTAGACACCTTTCTTTAACTTGTTTATAAACTGTCTAGCAACACTTTATATTCTTTGACTTAAATGAAAGAATAGTTTTCCAGCTTCCAGGATATAGTATTTAAATACAAGTGATAAAATCAATTGTCATAATCTAAACACAGTGATAAGCTGCCCAACAGTAATACAACCACATCTTAGCTCGCCATTGAGAGCTTAGCTGGTTTTATAGGCGTTAACAAAAAATTTTTATATAATAACCAGAAGAATTTGAGCAATTTCATTGGTCGAGTAAGTATAAAACTATGAAAAGTATACTATATGCAACGTAGTTTTCTTTGATCTTTGTGGTAATAACATATCACAATTATTATGGATATCAGGCTACGTCAATGTTGATTAGCAACTGTAGTCATAATTATCAATAAAAACCCAGATTAATTCTTTCAAAAATGTTAAACATATAGACCCGTATATTTGTTGACTCCTTCGCGAATTCTCGATATTTGCATGAATAAAAAGTAAAGCATTTGCATAATAAAAGCATTTTATCGATCCTGTAAACAAGTGTCTCTCTTCCTTTTTGGTATTTTTATGGTGAGAATTTGTAAAAATATGTGAGTGTATGAAAAGGAGCTAGAGACCTTTAAGAATTGGCCAGTTGTTAAAATATCAGTGATCTACAAAATTAGATTTTTGATGTCAGTTTGAATTGCTTGACAAATATTCAAATATGTTCAAGTATTCAACGCACGAGGTACTCAATAAAATAGACTTCAACAATATTTAGTAGCTTTTCATTATCAGGATGAACTAAATTGCTTTCTAAATTCCTCAATAACCAATGAGTGCTCTTTAAAAGTACATTTTGCGTTTGATGAGCTCTTCAAAGTTATTTTCTTCTTGTATTTAGAAACAATGCTCATTTTGGTGTAATCAATGGCGTAGCCTACGGGTGTGTGTGTGTGTCATACCTCCCAGCATCACGAAAGTGGTCGGTTAGACGAAACGTTGGTAACAGCACGTAGCTTCGCCACGTCGGTAAAACCGACAGGTTAATGGTATTGGAAATCTGTTAATTTACCAACTGATATCGAAATTGCTTTTGAAAAACTGGTAAACCGATTCTCGATAACAGTTATTGCTGTCTAATAGTTAGCGTTGTTTCATTCCCTCCAATAAGTTTTTCACGTAAAGTTGAGGAGAATGCATGAGTTCTCAATCACAAAATACGTTCATCAACATCCTTGGGCACGAAACACGTAAAAGCCTTTTAAAACAAATATGTTCTTCGAATGTATACGCTGTAATGGCCAATACAACGCCTGATGTCAGCCACCTTGATCAAATTTCTTTAAAAGTTCACCACGTTGATGAAAAGTTGCGGATAAATGAGCGACTTTTGAAAATTTCTGAAATTAATGATAAAACAGGAGCGGGTTTTACTGCCGAAGTCATCAGAATGTTGCAACATTTACAGATTTTAACTGCAGGTGTACGATTTCAGTGCTACCATATGACTGCTTCGATGTCAGGTGCTTATAACGGAGCTCAAGCTAAGTCCAGTGAGCGTCTAGGGCGGACAATTCCTTATATTACGTATCTTGGTCATAAAACGAATCTTTGCATTGAACATTCTTGTAAAGCATAATTGACGATAGAGGAATTTTTTACTATATTGCAATCCACCCACTAATCCAATTAGACGCTCTAAACGTCTCCAAGCTAAAAGCACGTGTAAATAAACATTCTCATTCTGATGAAGGCTCGAAGCAACGAGTCGAAAGCTCAGTAAAAATCATTTAAAATCCGGAGAAACTTTTATCTTTTATGTATTAAATGCCTGGATTACGAATTTTCAAACTTATTGCAAGAATTGTATACTTTTTTAACAAAAAGCACCAGTCACTTTAGCAAGTTTAAAGACAATATTGATGCATTACAGGAAGGACTCGTCAGGAAAAATCTCTCCAAAACTCGATGGATTCATTGGCAGAGTAGAGTCTATCAGAGCGGTTTGGGTCAGCTATGAAATTTTAATCGACACATTTGACGTCGTTGACGAGGTGAAAGATAATGAAGAAAGTGATCGTATATAAGTGTTTCAACTTCACATATCATTTCCTATATGAAATCAAATGTGAAATTTTTGTAAGGGAAGTCCTTAGAGTTTTATCTAAACATGTTGTTTATGAAAAGCATAATATACAAAACGAAAATCGTTGTTCTTGAAGTTCAAGAAGTTAATCAACATATCCTTGCCCGTTTAGATGTTATGGGCCAAACACGAGATGCATTGATTCGTATTCGTAGAGAAGATCTTGCATGGATGGTATTGTCACAGCAGCTGTCGACAAGTGCCAGTCATTTGGTATTGATCCCGAGTACGAATTTTGAAAGAAGCATCGATTGTGAAGAACACAAGGACGCATTGATGAGAACGAGGACAATACTAATTTAACTTCATTCAGCCAACATTTCGGACAAGAAATGTTTAAAATGGTAAACCACTTCGTTTTGGATATGGATGACATTAATAGTTATTTCTCAAGTATCGTTTTTCCTGTAACCGTAATAACCGCTTTCACAGAAGATTGGACTTATAGCGTTGCTGAAAATGTGTAAGCAACATTTTTACTTGACCTGAATGATTCCGATGCGTTATTAGCAGAGCTCGAAATGATGGGTAACGACACAGAAAAAAGTGGTGCTGAGAAGTATAGAGATGCTTGCTAAAGCTTACAAGTTAGCAATAACTTTCCCGTATCCGTTGCAAGCAACGAATGTTCTTTCAGCAAGTTAAGGCTAGTAAAGACTTATCTGAGGTCGACAATAAAAGAAGATCGTCTAGACGACTTAATGATTTTAGCTAATGAAAACGACATTTTGGATTGTCTTCACCTAGATAAAATTGCTAATGCTTAGTCCATTATTAATACAAGGAAAAGCAAAATTTAAAAAGATAAAGCATGCCCTGTTAATGATCGTTCTTGCATTTAGCAGTTTTGGGTTTTTAATGTTCATCAAATAGACTTACATAGCTGAAATAGTTTAGTCGTAGGGTTGTAGCATTCATTATGTCGATATACTCTAGTCCGTTTGTACAATTATTTTGATATTTACCAGCATAAGATTGCAAAACTGGATATATATATATGTACCATATAGTGGTTAAAATTTGCTTTTTCCATTCCCATCCCCCAGTTAAGAGTGTCAAGCTACGCCCCCCGGGTGTAATGTTTATAAATTCATTGATTAAGTTGTTGATAAATTTTGTATTGTTTTGATTTTGTATCGTTTTGGTTTTCTAGTTTTTGATTTCACAGAGAATACAGGTGCCGTTTTGCAATCTTCGTCTTAAAATATACTTTTATTATATGGCAAGCTTCACCATCACTTCCGGCAAAATGGCGCGCTTTGATTGGCTTACAAACATTTTTGCCGGTCCATTATTTTCCACGGTCCAAAAAGACTAAAACGCGCAATTTTACAGTCAGATGTAAACAAACTTCGAAATGCAAACAGCAAAACGCAAAATAAACGAAACAAGAAACCATTTACAAATGTGATTCGAAGGAAAAACACTTAAAAAACCATCCAGACGATACAATTTGAAACGTTTTATTTTTTATGGACGAAAACTAGTA